ATAGAAGCCGCGTGCTTCTTCATCGACAGTTCTAATAGCAATAACGTTATGAAGAGTTAAGTTTGAGACATATGGTAGCGTCAGTAGTAGATCCAGAGGACGGTGGAGGCGATTGTCTTCCCGTCCATTATCCAATGTACCCTTAGTTTTAATATACTCTTACCTTGATTCATCATAAATAATAACTATGTGCCTTATACGATTTTTCAAAATCGCCCCCTTCCCCGTTATCTTGTCTTGGATTCGCCCCTGGATGAAATATTGAAGAACCGTCGCATCGAAATTTTTTAGTCTGCTAAAATTATTTTTATATTAGACTTGTTCGCCGTGCCCCAAAGCTTTAAAGTCCATGAATCCAGATAAGCTCTAAAAATGATTTGTATACGAATAATTTTTTTTTTTAATAAGTATAATTGTTTTCAATTAGAAGAGGTCTAAGCATACTAATTTAAATGTTAATTTATGCGTAGTAATAACATAACTTTAATAATACTAACAAATGTATAGTAATGGCTAGACTAGTAATTTATTGGCTCACATTGGAGTAGTCACCGGTGTTTGTCTGATGTGTTTGCGCCAGCCCTTAAGTTGATTTAACGTTTATTTGACGTATATTTATTGGAATTTTTCGTTACTGCACCAGGGTCTGAGATTTTGTCACCACGCCACTGTTAGCCCATATAATGAAAATAATTCCTATATAGTATGTACGCCACTGACAATTTTGCATATTATATTATGTTTCGCGAATACTATTCTGGAGACAACTAGTTTAAGGAATTACCTAATTAAGAGGTTAATGAACAAATGTTTTACAATATCCTATAAAACGCCATTCGTAACCAATTTTTGATCAAGCGTAAAAAACATACATATAATATAGGTATACATATTTTTTTTTACCGATCGACACTATTTTCAATCTTCGTAATTGCAAAACAAAAACATATCTTTGGACTTGATTGAGTTCTATTCATTTTAAGGCACATTCAAAATCGCTTTTCAAACGCAATGATTAAACATTACGTATTTTTTTTTTTTTTTAATATATTAAAATAATAGGTAGTTCAATTTTATCTAAGGTTCAAGCAAAATTTTAAGTAACTTATTGTGCGAACATTTTTCTTTGTTTAGTTTTATAATCACAAACAATATTGGGCAATATAACTATAAGGGATAATAAAAATATGGAAAGTTTTTATTTATTTGTTATATTTTGATAGCTTTTGGTCGATTAGATACAATAGTAGCTTGATAAGAATTATGTAAGCATAATAATGAGTATACAATCATATAGACCATTTAACTGATCTCAGCTAAATGTCTTTATTATTATTAATAAAATATTACTGAAACTATACAATATATTATACTGTGTACATTCATAACCGTTGGTAAAAATATACAATACCACAGAAACTTGGCAATAGAGTTTTTAATTTATTATATCATGAATTATCGTATTTAGCCAGTACTGTAGCCATGACAATTTCTTGGCGGTCGAATCTTTGCTAAAATTCGTAATTTTTCATGTGATATAACTTATCAAAGAAGTCACCACTTCATAGTTCTAAAACTGAACGTTTTAGATTTAGATTAATGTGTTAAACGTTGATATATTAAACTATTATGCAATTAATCTTTTAAGACTTTTCGCGATCTTAAAAGTAGGTAGATTCGTTATATATATATATAAAATTCCATACGGTTAAACAATACTATTCGTATTGCCTTATAATTATAATACAGTAAAAAAATAAAAAATAAAATAATAATTTAGGTTCGATATGGTTAGGTTTGGTTTTCATTTTTAATTCTAAATTATATATATGTAAAATCGATACGTGTGTATTATTTGTATTTCATAGGTATCGATATTTTTGGATTTCTGACAAAGTTTTGTAGTCTAATTCTAAATTTGAATGTGCTTACATAGAGACCGAAATAATAATGACAAATCATTCTTTTATAACATAACTACTTATAATTAAACCATTACATGTGAACCGAATCCAAAAATGTTTTTCCATTATTTTAATCATTTTTAATAGTATTTACTATTTAAAAACTGTATTCCATAACTTTTATATGAAAACATTTTCACATAGGTATACAAATTTCTTATTTTCAATAAACATGATTTGGTAAAAAATAACAATAATATACTTATCTATATTTTTTTGAAATTTAAGTTCGCGTTGTTTATCACGATAGCCTGTAAACAAAAATATACTAATAATATATCTATTATTATACATATTTAATGTAATAGAATACCTACCTGTAATAAAATACCTTCATATTCCGAAATTTTAAATCTGAAATCAATATAGGTAGCTAACATTAAATATTAATAAAATATTCTGTGGTATTTATGTATCAATACTTGTAGAAAAAGTTAAATTAAAATTGAAGATGAAAATTTTATGAAAAATTAATAACCTCAAAATATTTTATAACCGTTAAATTACAATCGTGTGTTTTACAAATGTCCAAATAAAATATTGGTGTATTTAAAAATTCAAAATTTAAAAAAAAAAACAGCTAATAGTGCTCTTGGAGGTATCTCTATTGAAGGTAGGAAGTTGGGAATGTAGACATACACAGAGCAATTATTTCTTAACAGTAAAACATTGCTAACGAAATACAATTCTGAACGGCGTTCAGTTAAATATGTTTTCAAATATTTTGATTTTAAACATTTAAATGTAAATACAAATGCTTATCAAAAAACTACTACATCACGTCTTAAATTTTTTTAAACATAAAGCATTACTTATGATGAACTTCGTCTTAAATTATTTAAATATTTGTACTCGATCAAAACAATATTATTCTCATAAAACCGAATAAAAACGAAAAATAAAACTCAAATGCCAAAAATAGCTCAAAAGTCTACAATGGGCTAATATAAGTATTCTGTGAACATTTCAAGTCTATACGATTATGTTTAACCGAATTTTAATAAAAAAACAAAATCGAAAGTAAATTTTCGTAAACTTTCCCGTTTTCCTATATTTTTTGAGGGATTTTTCCATTTATTGAGAAAATTATAAAGAAAATTAAAAAACAACCTCTTTGATACGCCAACTAGATCCCGAATAAAAGCTCTAGTCTTTAATTTATTGAAACAAGATTTTCAGTAGAAAAATTGTCTACAGAAAGAAAATTTTTTTTAAAAAATGAACCTACAATAAAACTAATATATTTCTGGCTAGTTTCAGAATAAAAAATTAAATCTAAACTAATTATAGTTGTTTGAAAATTCAATTTATTTTTCTATCCATATAAAGAGTATTTATTTATATATTTCATTGAAAAAAGTTGAACGTTATATTTAATTATATTATTTATACAAAAGTATTATACACACTTATGACTTATTATAGTTGTATTGTCAAATCTTTAGTAGGTAGGTAGGTATAAACGTTTTAGTCTTTAGGGTGGGTTTCTAAAAAATTATTAAAATACAGCTGCTACAACATAATTGGTCTTAAATAATATACAAATTGCTAATTTTTGTTGGTGTTTAATATTAAATTCATTATTGTATTTGTACAAAATAATTGTATTTGATTATACAAAGATATGAGGGATTTTTTATAAGTTTTCCTTTTAATATCATTTATTTAGATGCATACTGTGTAGTCAAAAAAAACTATGATAAGTATTTAAAATATAAGAATTCTCAATACTTATTGAACAGGTATTAACAAATGGAAATAAATAAATTAAATAACAAAAAAATCATTATAGGCTGATTTTTTTCTAGAACTTTCTATTTAATAATTTTAATATTATTAGTTCTTTGCAGTTTGAATATAAAATAAGACAGAATATATTAAATAAAGTATATAGATATTAGATAACTTTATGTATAGATATAGTATATAGATACCTAAATTTATATCTTTAGTCCCAAAGAAAAAGGGCTTAAGTCAATTTTATAGAAAAAAAATTATTTAGAAAATATAATGGAAATCATAAAATGTATCTTAAATGGAGAAAATTATTTTTAAAAAATGTAAAAATCGACTTAAGCCCTACTTTCTTGAAACCAAATTAATAACAAGTTCGCACAATAATTATAGTAATTATTTAGCATAAATTAATTTACTTTTTTATTTTTTATTATAGCTTATGTGTCGGAACTCAATTCAATATTAGCAAAAAAAGGAGCAGTAAGTATACAGTATTATTTACATAAATATAGTCTAGTAGACGCAGTGATATTGTTTAAACAAACTGTTAAATAAATAAAAAGTTAATAAACATTTATTTAATAAGTCGAAAAAAAAACAAAAATATTAAAAAATATGTAGGTAGTTACTCGAATATCTTGATATAATTATAATTTATAATAACGTGTCATTTTTTTAAAAAATTATAATGCGTTGAGACTTACCTATAATTAACTAACTAGTTTATTGTTTTTTTATGGTACCTAACTATTAAATAGTATATATCAACATTATAAATAATAAAATCTTTCGTTCCAATTGTAATTTGGTATGTACCTATTATATGATTATACGTAGTTAATAAGTAATCAAATAGGATTTGTAAATTTATAAAAATAGATCAGTTTTAAATTGTAACGTGTCCTTCGATTTCATTCTTAAAAACATATCGTTTTTTTTTTTTATAAATACAAAAGAAACCACAATGTGGCTTGTATTTTTTCAAACTCATCGGCTGCGTCTACGTTATTTGGCACAGTTACAACTTCTAGCACCATTGGATATGAGGGTTTGGGCCATTAAAATTTTAACATTTCGGTTCGATTCGTGCTGTGTCGGTTAGTGCCTTGTGCCAGAGGTGGAAATTAACTTGAAAGAACATTCTAACGTATTATTACCACAGAAATATATAAACAGTCTGTTCCGACGCGAGTAACTGTTCGCATCATTATACATCCAAACGCGTCCGCGCTTCGCGTACACAATATATCAATTATAATGGTTTTTCACTGATGATTTTTATAATATCATGAAATTAACATGTCAACGTACTGTCGTATTACTGGCAAGAGCCGAGGTTTACCAAAACCTAACTATTTTCCATTGCTTCCACCAATCTCTCCAGCGGATGCAAAACGATTTTGCCGGATAACCGGAAAGTCATATGGATTACCAGCACATCATTATATACCAGTATTAGTTGGACGAAAAAAAACAAAATCTGATCAAAAACATGTAATGATTAATGGATATCGGTATGTATTTCCAATAATAGACGGATGCTCTGAGTTATCTGAGGTATTAAAAGCGAAGTATACAGACGATCGGAGATATGTGTACGCGGTGGATAAGCGTAGATGCAGTCTTGTTTTTCCAACTAGTTTAGAGAATGCAGTAAGAGATGGAGATGTAAAAGATGTAATGATGTCGGAAACTAACGACACTGTACTTCTTACACTACGTAAAGGTAAAACTGTTGAGTTGGAAATCAAAGAAATAGAAGTGACTGGAGTGACATTAATAGAAGGTGAAGGGTTTCGGAACAGGCCCAAAAAGAAAAAAATCTTTAAAGAAGATTGGAGAAGAAAAATATTCGAAGATAAAGAAAAGGAAAGTGATGCGGAATTAGAACAGGAAGAACTTATATCAAAACGTATAACATTTTCAGCCGGTCAAGGAAAAAAAATCGAATCTAATGAATCTATTCCAACTATTATGAATGTAAAATCGTTGAGCATTTCAAACATAAAAAATATAGTTAAACCAATTGCACAAAATATAATACTCGGGGATTCTGAAAATTTAAAACTTGAAGATAATGTATTACCCACTCCAATCTCAATTGAACCAAATATTATCGATCTCAATTCTGCATTTCCTGGAGTGGTGCATCAAACTTTTCTTAATGAAACCGATCTTATTAAATTACCTATGGTTCCAATAATATCACCAATAAATCCATTGATTAAAAATTTTAATAATCTTCCAATCGTTTTGCCTGACCCCGAGTCATGTTTAATAGATGAAATATTAACCGAAGACAATATAGATAAATTATTAACCATTGACGAAATTAGTTTATTAATAGAAAATATTAAATTAGGTACTCAAAAAATAATTTCTACGAGTCAAGGAACTACTAAAATATTCAAATTAGATATAATGAACACTGAAAAGTATGTTCCTGGACAATATATAAAAACGCCTGACGGTGAAAATTTTATACCTGGTCAAATTATTGATACAGCTAATGGTAAAATTTTTGTCCACGGGATTATGGTTCGAACATCAGACGGACCAAAATTTCTTCCTGGACAAATTATTGAAGATTCTGGAAAATCCATATTTATTGCTGGACAAAATATTGTAACAAGAGAAGGAGAATCATTTGTTCCAGGGCAAACAATTACAATTGAAGGTGAGACAAAATTTGTACCAGGACAAACAGTAATTACTCCTGAAGGTATGGGTTTTGTTGCTGGTCAAACAATTAACTGTGGTGAAGAATCAAATTTTATTCCTGGACAAACAATAATGACTATTCATGGACCACAATTTGTTCCTGGGCAGTTTTGGAATGGTGAAAACGCCGAGTTTACTCCAGGGCAAAGTATTTTAAAAAAAAGCGGTGATTGGGAATTTATACCTGGTATTTGTGTTGGATCTTCTTTTGTACCAGGGTTAACAATTGTTGAAGAAGATAAAAAAGAATTCGTCCCGGGAAGAATAGTTGAATGTAATAACGGCACTTCTTTTATACCCGGTATAACCACATTAGATGATAATGGTAATACAAGATTTGTATCTGGGATAAGTATCGAAACAGACCAAGGTTTAAAATTTGTGTCCGGAAACATTTTAACAGATAATTGTGGTAACAAACAGTTTATTTTGGGACATATATCAAATTCAGAAAATGGCGAAACAAACTTTGTAAAAGCAAAATCATTACAAGAAGCAATTTGTTCTGACGAAGTACAATCTGGAATTTTAACCAATGAATCATTTTATCCTAAAGGCGAGAAATCTGATGAAGTTTTTGGACACATGGTACAAACAGCTTATGGAGTAGAATTTTATCCTGGTGATCAAATAGGTTTACCAGCTGGTAAAATAGTTTCAGGGAAATTAATACGAAACAATGGTATAAGATTTGTTCCAGGTGTTGTAGTTGATGATAAATTTATCCCTGGGCAAATAGTGGTGACAGACAGAGGAGAACAATTTGTACCAGGACAAGTTATTGAAACTCAAACGGGTCCTAAATTTGTGCCTGGTCAAGTCGTAGAAACAGAAGCTGGTTCAAAATTTGTGCCCGGTCAAACTATAGAAACCAAGGATGGAATAAAATTTGTCCCTGGACAAATAGTAGAAACAAAAGCTGGTCCAACTTTTATACCAGGTCAGATTATTTTTACAGAAGAAGAAGGATCTAGATTTGTACCCGGGCAAGTTGTAGATACAGTAGAGGGTCCAAGATTTGTACCAGGAAGAGTGATAGAAACTGGTGATCACGTAACTTTTGTACCGGGCCAAGTAGTAGAAACTACAGAAGGTTTAAAATTTGTTGCCCCAGATCTTCAAGATGCAGACGATGGTGGATGTGAATTCAGTGTCCAAGGATTTGAAGTGTCTCCAGAAGAACTTAAAGTTATTCAACCAAGTTTTCCACAAACTTCGTACTATACACAAAATGGCAAAATGTCACTAGATTCTAAAATGTTAGAACAATTATCATTTGCAGGAATGAGTATTGGAAGACAAGTTCCAAGCGAACTTCCAGAAGTCGATGTAAGCACACTACCTTCAATGGAAGTAGCTTATGATGTAGGAGAAAAACTAGAACTCAATAATGACAATACAATTAAACTAGCCCATATAATTAATCGATTATGTAAGCTTGATTTAAAAAATACATATTTTGGATCACCATTAGTACAAAATTTAATAAAAAAATTGCCACCGATAAAATCAAATGAAAATGTTGCTGAAGTCATTGAAAATATACTTACAACTATTAAATCAAGTCCTATCACAGCTTTAAATGAAATATATGCCGTAATATTCGATGATGGTTTTGTTACGGATTTAAAAAACCCAAATAAAGTCAACATTTTGAAAGGAATTATAAACAGCTCTGAACTTGAATCTAAATATATTGCAGAAGCATTCAGTGAGATTCTTAACGATTCAGAAGACTCTAAATTACGTTTGGCATTTGAACATATCGCAGAAGAAAATATAGAATTACTAAAAGAAGTAAAATTGAAAATAAACATGGAAAAAGTAAACAGTGAAAAAGAAGCTATTGAAGCATTGCAGTGGGCAATTGTTAATGTAATCAACAAAAATAGTGAAATAACTGTTAACCAAATGTTAAAAGACAATAAAAGCGAACAATTCAATCGTTTATTATCTGATGCGGTAGGTCTCGCTAAAGCTCTAGGGCTAAAAGAAGTAGCTTCAGTGCTTATGGACGTTCTCGATGACCGAAGATCAGCTGATATCTTAGCATCAGATAAAGTAACAATAGAAATATTAAGACGATTAACTGTAATGAGAAAATTGGCAGAAAGACGACCCGAGTTTAGTGAAACGTTAAATGAAATGTCTGCGGACCCAATCGAAGCTAGATTAGACCCAAAATTACGAGAACTAGTTAGAGAAAGTGGAGTTTTATTACTACCTCCCGAAACAAACGTTGAAACATCTTTTGATGTGCCTGTTGAATTATTTAGTTCTGGAAATAGTTTAGCTATGGAAGATTTTATGGTAAAATCAAGAAAAATGGGGATTTTACTTATAATCAAAAATGGTCTTCAAGCTGTAGTACCGCGAGAAGCAGCTAGATTAGTTTTAACTGGAGAAGTACCTTACACTGTTTTGGACGAAAGTGGTATTCATAGATTTAAACCTATGAATGTACTAGATGCTTTAAATCTTCGTACCAAAAGTTCAGGAAGATATTCAATGTATAATTGTGCTGTTCATAAAACATTAACTGAAGATGAAGGAACTATTACTCGCGGTAGTTCAATTAGTCTAGATGATAAACAATTAACAATTGAAGAGGTTAACCATTTAATTTAACATTTAATAAATTACCGATTACTTATTAAATAAAAATTATACAATTTAAAGGATTTCAATTAACTTCAGTATTATTTTTACAGGGCGGCGGCGAGGAATACGAAGTCCTTCAAGATTATGAGACAGAACCAGTTGACGGTGCGGAAGAAGAAGATGATTTAATTTTGGAACCGGGTGACAGAGTTGTTATATTAAAACAATCTAAAGATGATCCATCAATGTAAGTTAGTTTGTAAAAAATCATATTTTACAGTTACTAGCTAACTAGTAATTACTAAAGTTAGGTACACAAATTAAAACTTAATAAACCATATTATAATAGTATAGTGCATTGTAGAAATAAATATGTTCTTAATTTAAATTTATTTATTTAAATTAATATTATATACTCTAAAATAAATTACAAAGTTAATTTATTGACTACCTATTATACAAATATAATAATATACATAAATATATATATATATATGTATATAAATTTATTATGTTAAATAATAATTTAATTTACTTGTGGGTCTTTAAATAAAAATTAACTCCTGAATTTACTATCATTGATAAAAAATGAACCGATGATTTTGTTGGCAAGTACTTATTATCCACAGACATAACAAATTGAGTTTATTTATTTGAAGTTGAGTGACTTGAGGCCGAATGAACCGCCTATAATTAGAGCATTTCTGGCAGCAATTTTTAAACTGTCAAATCATGATTGGTCTACTGAAAACTGTTATTGTGAAGGCCAATGTTGTTTTGTATGCAGGGACTTTAAGCGTTCTTTACGTATAATCTGTTATCAGGGGCGACGAGGTTAAACGAAATTTACTGTTGGACAATGCAGCGGCCAAGCATAAAATGTCAGTACGACCAAATAAAGTACATCCAACCAAACACAAATCCCTGGATACGGACGGGTAAAAAATGTCCATTAATTGAAATCGCTGACTTATGGTGCTTTTTGTTTCGCTTGTTGCTGCTTATTATACTTAGTAAATAGAATATGATTTTTTGCTTTATTAAACTGATGTAGTATTTGAAATATAAATTAGTTTTGTATTTTACATATTTGTTTCATTTATATATATTCAAATTATCTATTTAGAAATAATTACCTACAAAAAATAGAAAATCTTTGATTTGGTAAATTTGTCTAACACTTGTTGAATTATTTTAAATTAAACATTTGTATTTATTTATTGTATTTAAGTACATTTTAACTTGTTAGTACCTATTTATTGGAATTAGAAAAAGAAAAATATTTTTTTATACAATTTAAGAGGTATGTGGTTCATAGAATTATAACAGTTTTATTAGTATAAGGGGGCTGATAAGAAAAATGTTGATGTGGTGTCTTGTTTTTTAAACGTAATATATTACTAAAAGCTATTATACATCAATTTAAACGCTTAACAGACCATCTATAACACAAAATATTGTAGAAAATGATTTCTTCCGAATGTTAACTATTTTGTACCTATTTTAAATTCAATTTAGTTATTATAGTTTGTAAATTAAATTAATTTGTAATGTTTTTTTAGAAATATTTGGAAAATAACTATAGAAAATACCATTAAATTATGTTTAAAATGTTAGATATTATTTTTAAAATATTAAGACATTGTTAAAATTTCATAATAATGAATAAGGAATTAAAATACTATATTATAAAATGAAAGAGAAATGTGAATATATTATATGATATTAATTATATAAGAAATATGTATTAAATTGTAAATTATGACAATAGTTATAACTTTTATAATTTAATATATGATCAAATATTTCTTTAAGTAATTTTTAATATTTTGATTAATGTTTTTTCATGTCAATTAAATTATAAATGGCAGTGTTAATTTTTTCACCCCAAAAATTCAATTTATTTGAATAAAAGTAGAAAGTATATTGTAAACTAAATTACAAAATATTAATATATCACCAATAGAGTAATATAAATATTATTCAAATATTTTTGTAACAATAAAAATGAAAATATTTTTTTGTTCAAAAAATCAACTTTTAATATTTAGCCACATTATTTTTTTTTGTTAAATAGGTAGATATTATTTTCAAACCCATTTGACTAAGTATTTAATTTAATTTAATTTATATAATAAATACTTATTGAACATTTATTTTGTTCTATAGATATCATGTGTATAAAATCTAAATAATGAATCAAAATAATATTATTTATTAATTTAACAATAAATTTATTATACTTAAAAAATATAATACATATTATATTATATTATATAAATTAAAATAAGCTATTTTATGCTTACTCAATTAAATTTAAAATACAAAGTAAAGGTGTATTTTATAATAAACTTGTTAAATTTTATTATTCACTAAATATACAACAGAAGAAATGTGTTAGAATAAAATTTCATAAAATAATAGGAAACTTAATAATTGAAACATCTAGTCTAAATTTTAATAAATAGGTAATAAATTAAAATACAGAGTTTTAGGATTTTCAACAATAGATAGAAATAATAAATTAGTGACAAGGATGGTTGAAATTTCCTAATTTTGTGATTAAATCATTAGTCCGGGATTATACTTCGAGAGTAAATATAATAAGGCGATTCAAAAGTTATACAACTGAGAATATGGATTCCTTAATGTGTAGGTAATTACTCATAAATATAAAATTTTTGAGTATTTATTCGCAGAGATTGCAGTAAGATATCCTCAAAAAATGCCATAATGGACTATATTGATCTCGATTGACGTACTTGTTCTTCGTCGAGAATTAATTTGAATATACCAACGTTTTATTTTGTTTTTTTTTTTTTTTAAATATCCTTTATCAGACCGATTAATACAGTACAGATTTTAAAATATCTATAATGCACCGTCTATTTGACCCTAGAGATACGATGTACAAATCAAAATATTTTAAAACTATTATTTTCTATATAATTTTAAATAATTGTACTAAAAAAATGTTAAATTATAAAACTGTCATTTCTAAACTAATCTCCTTTAGTACAATTCTATTTTGAGTAATGACCTTATTGTTATAGTTACAGTGTGCTATAGGTAACACCCGTTAAAGGTACCTAATGTTTATTTATATATTTTATGCGTGACTTTTGAATCACTATATATAATTAGAACGAATGTATTTTACAATATTATATCGACTTCGCCTACCTATATTTTGTGTGTAATTTTAACTTTCAGGGCTATGTTAGAACTTAACATTCTAAACAATTTCACTACTCATAGAATATACTTACCACTTACAATTTACAGAAATATAATTTGATATAAGCTTCCCATATCAATGTCTGAAAGTTTTTATTATTTTTTTTTTTTTATTGAACAAACAAATTCTTGGAAAATTAACAAAATAACTTAGAATAAAATTGATGCCTACCTATATTATTATGTAAAAATAAAAATAAAATATCTGTTTAGAAGAAAATAATAAAGGGTCAATTTAAAAAATAAAACTGGATTTGTTCCCCTAAGTAACTACTTAAAATACACACCTTGATTAGGTCAGGTGGTACCTATTATTATTTGTGTTTTTAATGAAATATATTTTGACATGAATATATCTATGTAAGGACGCATTTTTGTAAACCAATATTGTAAAATTTGTTTATTGTTTAATGTCAAGTACTGTACTAGAACTAGTTTACCTAGGTACCTGTACTGTTTAAAGGTAGATAGATATATAAAGTTCACATTTTGAATCATATTAAAAATAAAATAAAATACCGAAATAGAAATCAATTCGAATCAATATTTAATATTATTAGGTACATAGTTATTTCTATAATCTTCTTTCATTTAAAATACTTAATTTTTTTTTGTAGGTACTTTTTAAAATTATTTTAAATAACTAATACCATGATACCTAATAATATAATAATTTAAGCCAATAGTTTAAAAAAAAAATTTTGTTGAAATCAGGTCATTAAAATAGTAAAGTATATTCAGTGAATATATAAATTATATTATATCACATAATTATTTTTTATATTTACTATCTACTGTAAAATAAAACAGAAAGACATGCATAAATCGTTTGAAACCGCATTAGTGCATTATTATGTCCTTCAGACATCATAAATCATTTCAAGACTATATAATTATTTACATTCCTTGTACCAAACAAAATAAGTACCTACCATTGCATATTCTGTATATCTACGCATTCAATTGCTGTTGATATACTTGTAATAATATAATAAAGAAACAAAATTAACTGTATAATATAAAAAGATAAAACCTTAGAAAAAAAAGAAAACAAAGATTTAATTGTTTATAACGACCAAATGGACCATCGAATTTCTGTGTAATATACTTTTTATACATTTACTTACTCCATTGTACGCCCACCAAACAGAAATATTTAATAATATGTGTATATATATATTATAATCTTTAGGAGTTTTGCCAGTTTCCCAGCGTAATGTTTATCTAAAGTACACGAGGCATATAGGCAATATGCAATATAATGCATATACAAAAGTTGATTTAAAATTACATTTTTTTTTTTGTAAACAAAATGAATACAAAAATAAATACGTCCATTTTGATATTCTAAAAGATAAAATTATGAATTATAACTACTCCTACAATCGTGTTTTAATAATACTTTTATGACAGACTGAAAGTTCAATATACACAGTTAGTTAACTGTTTTTAATACATGTCTAAACACACATTTATGTTCAATAAACTTACACTTAAATACATAATAATATGTATCTATGTTATATTTGCAATAACATAATATGCTTTTCAATGTATTATATACTCACTAATAATTGTTTATAAACTACTTTTGCATAAGCTATTAATGAAGTATTGTCACTTATAGTTATATACCTAGTTACAATATTAATTATATTTGTCAATGTTAATGTTTGCAATTTTAATTTAGGTCATTGGTTCAAAGTCTTGAAGAGCCGACTAAAATGGGATATGTACCGAATAAGATTCTCAAAAAAATACCAGCTCCTGTCAGAGCGACCGCCGTAGTTCCTGCAGCGGGACAGACTCTATCCAAAAAGGATGCAAAATTTAATAGAGAGTAAGATTGAAAAATAAAAAAATAAGGTCTTATTTTAAAATGCTGGATAATTTGTATAATACCTTACTGGGTATCATCATAAATACCAATAGGTAACCTGTTTTCTTGATAGGGGAACAAAAAGTCTAAATCACGTTTTAAATTGTTGTATTCATTTTAAAATTGAAAATAAAATTATGTTTAAAATGTATTATATAAATAATAATTATTAAAATTGCACAAAGACTAAAAGTAAATGCTATAAATATAATGTAATTCTGGTGTACCCATATTATATAAACTAGGTACCTAATTGGTACTACCTATATATTAATATTGAAAGCAAATTATTAGATTAAAATTATTTAACAGTTATTAAATATTTAAAACATCCATTTAAAATGACTATTCATAAAATATAAATAAATACAATGTATTATTATACTGTAATAAGTATGAATTATTATTATCTAAATTTTATCAAATTATACTATTTTTATAAAAAAAAAAGTACCCACCAACCTAAGTAAAATAGTATATGAATTACAATTTTTTAATTATAATTGTAATATTGTATAATTATAACTATAATACTATTCTTACCTATCATGAATTCAGATATACCTGAGGTGTATCTTAATTCAAGCCACCTACTTATAATTTAATAATGGCGTTGATAAGTAAATTCAATTTGTAAACTTTTTTTACCACGACTTCAATTAAACATATTCTATATGTAGATAAGATATACAAGTTTATCAATGAACATTTTTTTTAAAATAACGTAAGAATTAAAAAACTAAGTAGGAACCTACTAAATGTTTAATGGTCTGAATTTAAAAATTAAATAACACAACACTATAACGTGTGGTTTGCAGTTCTCAATACAATTTATTCAAACTTTTTATTAGTTTTCAATCTATTATGTATAAATTATATACCTAATTAATAATATAGTTCAACAATTTTTCTTCTTCTCTTTCACTTTCAACTATTTGGGGTCAGCCACTATTGTTCTTAACTTCCACTTGACCCGATCACCTATGTCGCATACACCAGCTATCTTCATATCGTTTTGTCCTCAATTGCATCAAAACACCTCTTTTTTAGTCTTCCTCTCTACCTTTTTTCCCTTGCGCGATCGCGAACGCGGTAGGCGACCGCGGTCAACGAACGCGATCGACGAACTGAGATCGTGGCCACAGCGTCTTGGTTTATTCAGGACGATTCTACGTTGCGATCCAGAGATTTATATAATTTATATTTCATAATTAAATATAAATAATTTAACATTCAGTCGTACTCAATACTTCGAAGTGCCAAGTCCAGAAGTCCACGCGCACTGCTCGCTTAAAAAAATTATTAGTATGGATACATTAGATACAGACATTTTGAAAATTCTTTTACCAGAAGAAGATGATGATGAGGTTTTGCTCTAGTATCTGTCTGAAGGAAAAAAAGAACATGATCCACTATTTACAAAGAGAAATACCGATGGTTATCATGAAATATTTATCAACGGCCATCTGAAAAATAATGGAATAATGGAATTTTTTATAATAAACCGCAATCAGTCTGATTTTATTGTAAATCTAATAAGAGATGATTTAAAATCGTCTTCAACTTTATTAAACTTGGACCATTGCAGAACTTAAGTTTACCTTTGAACGACCGATGTCGACGAGTGGTCGATCATAAATGAGTACCTATCATATTAATGCATATTATTTGACAGAATGCGGCTTATGTCAATGTAGCACTTGGCCACTGTTCAGTTACAAAATAATAATTATAGATAACTAGATTTAAATTTAAATTTCAGTTTTTAATTACATATTATTAATTATTTTCCAAACAACTAGTCGTTCGCGCATCGAACAAATTTACATCATCGACCACGATCGTGCAAGGAAAACCAAGTATATTTAATTTGCATTGTATCAACAGTCGCGCGATCGGAGCACGCGATCTTAGATCTTGGTTGACGTTCGCGATTACGCAAGGGATAACGTACCTTTATCAAAATAAAGCAGTTGGTATCGACTTAATTTGTGTTAACTCTGTTAAATATTAAATATAGCTTACAAATTTACCGTGTGGGAATTTTATTTAATACCAATATCAAAAACAAGGCATTTAAATACAAATTTGATCAAAATTCAAACAAAATTTTAGGAAAATTATAAAATGTATAATTTATAATATTTCAAAATCTTCGATTTTTTTTCATGTACTGAAATAACAATAAACGAAAATTATATTAAGTACCCAGTCTCAGTACCTAGCTAACTGAATTTCAAAATTATAATAGATTCTTTTTAGAATTAGAAAATATTTCTTTTCAACGTTTTATTTGAAAATTTAAATAACAAACAGTTTTAAAGTTTTACATTGCCATTATTTTTTTCCATCCTTATTTTCGGGAACAAACAACTACATAATTTTGATTTTCAAATGAAATCCCATATTAAAAATTCCATAAACAGATGGATTTAAACTATTAAATTTAAATCGTTTTTGGTGTTGACATTTTTAATTTACGAGATATTTCACTTTTAAATTTGGGTAGGGAGAGAATAGCGAAGTACTATTAAAACTTTCAAAACACTATTAAAACATAAATAATTTAAATCGATCTATGTATAGAAAGTTTTAATAACGGTTGTCATTTGAAAATCAAAAGTACCTAGGTAGTCGTTTGTTTCCAAAAATAAAGGTGACAAAAAAAAAAATGGTAATATAGGTATAATTTTAGAGCTGTTTGTCAAAAACAATTGTTTTGAAAAAATGTCATTACTCTTCGAAATAATGAGTATTCAGCTAAAATTGAATCGTCCTGTATGTATATAAACACATATGTATAAATTTATAAACTATTAAATTATAACATTTAAATTAGGAGTTTCGTATTATGGCACATTACATTTTATATTTAAATACAGTGGATTTCGCTTAATGTGGGCACGTTGGCACCAATTACATTTGCCCACATTAAATGGTTACCTATTTCAACCGAATTATGAATTAGAATCAGTACCAGATTATAATGCCCATATTAAGAGACTGCCCGCATTAAACGGTGATCACATTAAGCGGAATCCACTATGTATTATAGTCATCATTATTATTTAAATTTTGCATTACTTATTTATCTAATAAAAACAATAAAATTGTGTAAAGAAGAATAAAATTTGATCTTAAAAAATGTTTTAGTTAAATATCAAAATTTAATTTAATTTATTTGTATAGTGTTGTGCTGGCAGAATTAGTAGAAACTGAGGAAGAATTTGGTCAAGATATTCAAGAAGTAGTTGAAAGATATTTAAATCCATTAGAATTAAACGATGCACCAAGGATAGTAAGGGACAATAAAGATTTAATATTCAACAATTTAAAACAAATATCACAATTTCATAACACGTGAGATACATAAAATAATCATATATTAACACAAGAAATAAATAACTAAAAAGTGTATTTATTTTTTACTCAAATGTCACAGAGTCCTTATTGCTGGATTAAAATATGCAGCTAGTGAACCAAAAACTATGGGAAGAACATTTCTTCGTTTAGTAAGTAAATATTAGATTAATTGTAATAGCTTCAAATTTATCATTAACTGTAAACACACTTAAGTACATAGCCCTCAGCTGTGTTACCTATTTTGAATTTTCATTTACCAACTCCATCAGTTGAAAACTATTAGTTTATAATAAATGTAATAGTGTTTAAAACACTAAATCAATGTATGAATAAAATAGATTAAGGATTAGATGCTAAAATGTACAATATTTTGTTATTTATAATGTTTTTAATTTTAGTTTGTACATAATATGTTAAATTATATTAGGTAACCATATCTAATATTTGGGATAGAAAATAATTTATAATGTATAATTCCAAATTTAGGGTGAAATGATTCTCTACATGTATAAAGTATTACCTACCTAACTATACTTGCAAATATCTTTTTCAAAAAGGGGTTCCAAAAAAATGTAATTTAATTAACAATTACCAAGTTTTTGTAATATAAATATGTACTAGAATAATAACATAATATATATTATATTACTATGAAAATGATTCTAGAAATTATTGATTAAAATTTGAAGTTCAAGATGCCATCACATTGGCATTGTAAAATGTAAATTGAAAAACAAGGCCTGAAAAATTTGTTTTTAAAATAAAATACTTATTGTACAATTTGCAGATAACAAAATGTTGAAAACAACCTCATTAGCGTTTTACAATTTTCTAAATATTAATCTTATTATTGAAGATACGAAAAATTGTACTTTAAATTTTTTATAAATACTGTAACTTTTTAAATACCTAATTAATATTTCAAAAAACGCCGATGAAATTATCTTCAAAATGTATTCATCTATGAATTTTATCTCTAGAATTAATTTAGGGGTACTTAAATTTGTTAATTTTTTACACGTTTTTACATTGTACAATAAAAAAACAGAGGCATCAAATTCTACTGTGACGTCATTAATATATCAAATTATACATATTTATTATCAATTTTCATAATTATTAGTGTAAATTCCCTAGCATAATATTTTAATTTTAAGGTGAAACAAAATAGAAAAACATTATGCATAATTTGTATAACATTTTTAACAAAACATATTTACCCCTTAATTGTCAAGATTAATTGTTTTTACAAAATTTAAAAACAAATATATAGATGAATATGTGAAAATAATGGTTCATTGTAATTAAATAAATATTTTTATGAAATTTATTTGCAAACATCAGGCGTGAGGAGGGCGTTTTTTTGTAAGAAATCATGCAGTTTTGTGACCCTCCCTGAATTTATTACTATGTACTTATTAGTTTTCATTAATAATATTAGAAGTATTTTATAATTTATATGACCGAACTATGATTTACTCGAAAAAATATTAAGGAGAATGGTGAAATTTGTAACGGTCAATTACATAATTAGAAAAACAAATAGAAATAAAGTAAAAAAAAATAAATTCTAGTCATTATTTAAAACAATTGAGTTATTTAATTTAAATATATATTCATTAAATAAATCATTAATGAAAAATAATTAAACATGTTTTGATACCTATATGCTGTTATTTTTGAAATTTTCATGAAAATTAATTTGAACTTTAAATGTGTACACACAAAAGAAAAACTACTGAACAACGTTAAACTTTTTTTAAATACAACTCCTTATAAAAACCTCGTGTTAAATTTTCAAACATTTCTATTTGGCCAAAATAATTTTACTCGCATATAATCAAAAAATGTTAAAATGCCTATAAATAACCTAAAAAAATCGTCAAAATGTTACTTTTATTAAGAGCTAATATTCTGTGGAAATTTCAGGTCTTTACGGTTATTCTCAAACAAATTACAACAAAAAAACAAAATTGAAATCAATAAAATCTTTATTGCCATAAATTGTCCAGTTTCTTTTGTGCTTTTTCCCGAGAATTGTGACAATTCAAATAACTGTCCTTTAAATTATTTTAGATTAGTAGGTATACAATTTAAATTAACAAAGTATAGTCACCTATCTAATAAAATATTATGTATATTATTTAGTTTAATCTTAAATATTTGAAAAAATATACAGGTACACATAAAATATTATGTATTAAGTGTTTGGAACATTCTTGATTTGTGTAAATGTATAGATTATTTTCAATATTTAAAGTTGTTTAGAGAAATGTGAGTAAAGGTAGATTTTTGTTAAAATTCTATAATTAATAATTGCATTAATAAATATTTAATTATAAGTACCTAATGTTAATTTTTACCAATATTATAAAAATCAGTAAATGAATAAAAAGTATTTACATTAGAAATGTACAAACATTTTATTGTTGATCATGAACAATCAATATTTTAATTAATTTTAAATTAAGGTATAAAATACTATTTGCTGGCATATTTCGGCATATTTTGATTTTTTATAATTATTTTTATTCCTATATTTATTTATTTACTCAACTGTGGTATATATTATTTACTTATTTGTTTATTTATGTATGACTTACTTTATTACTAACTGTGAACTATTGGCAATTCGAACCGGATATGAGAAGAAGAAGAAGATTAATTGTTTATATTTGTGTATATTTATATTCATGATATATCATTACACGTCATTATGTTTTACTAAATAACTATTATAAAACATTTGTGACGTCTACAGGGTTGTTACATTAGCACTTTTAATTTTATTGAGTATATTTTATAATAATTAAATATTTGCTAATAATAACTAAGTAATAACTGCTTTACTGTTAAAGAACACAATGAAAATGTAAATTATGAAATAAGGAAATAATTTATTTAAACTAAAAATTATAATCAATTTGTTTTATAGGAAAGGGATTTCGATAGGCATGTTAATTATTGTCAGACAGAACCGGACGCACAAGACTTTTTGGAAGACAACTATGAAGTACGAGAATATTTTGAGGTACGTATAATATACATTTTGTTTTAATTAGTGTGCAATTGGTTTTTGTTTTTTTACAATAAACCCATTTGAATGTGATTAATTTCCAATTAAACAAAATTATATTTACATTATTATGTATGATAGTATCCTGGTTAATTTAAACTCGTCTTTAAAAATACTTGGTGACCTGAATTAAGCAAAGTGTCAAAGGAAATGGGGGGGAGGCCTTGGGATTTGGCATTGCCAGAAATTTCTTCAATATTATATTATATTTTTAGAAAAAAAATACTTACAACCCTTGAAAATATTCTTCTCTTTAAACTATAGTTTCAATCCGGATGCCACAATTTGTATTTTAAGTAGGTAATGTTATTTTATTTATGTTGCCCGTACATATAGGTGTAATATCATCTTAAGTATGTAGGTATCTTACCTACCTGCTAAATTGACTTCCTGTCATATTTTTATGGAGATAATTAGTTTTAATAACAATTTGTGAGGTTTAAATCCTCTCTCTAGATAGTTGTAATTGGTACCTACTAAAGATTTAATTCTTAGTTAATCATATCTATGTTTATATGTAAAATTAAATAGCCTTATTTAAAATATAGGTACCTAAATTTTTAAATTATGTATAAACATAATTTGACATTTCTGCTAAATCCTAATACCTAGTTTATTACTTACTTGTAAAACAGATGTTCTATCTTTATATACATTTGAAAACATGCCAATCTTATTCTAGATTATTTAAATAATAATTTAATCAAATATATTGTTACGAACTATTTTTGAACTATTTTCATTCCAGAATTTTAAACACATTTATTAGGTACTATCCTATAACGTATTTACCCATTTAAGACTTAAGTATATTACCAACCTATTTTAGGCGCAGAAATACATTAATAAGTACCTAGTTTATCCACAAAACATTCTCCATTGTAAAAAAAAAATATAACAATTTCTATTTAACACCACTGGGTACCTGCCTACCTACCTATATATCCTATATTATACAATAGTAATCAATGGTTACAATACCGTCAATAACTACCTACTAATAATTTAGATTTTCTGAAATGATAATATAAAAAAATAAATAAATCATGGAAATGATAACTTATTCTTATATAGGTATGCATATCTGCAAATTGTAGGCTAAAATATTAATGAAAATAATAAAATTTATTATAAGTGAAATATAATAGAATAGTAACAGCCATTTCTCTCCATCTATCATATTATTATATACCTACCTATTTGTACTATCAATGAAAATATAGTTCTATAATATAAAGATATATTGAAAATTAATAAGCAAATATAACATAAAGATATAATCAATAAATCATTTTTAAATATTATTATAATTTATATATTTTTTTTTTTTTTTAGGTTATTATATTATTATAGTTTACATAGCTATATGACTGTGATTATTAAATGATAATACATGATTTAATGTAAGGAAATGTATCAGATATTTATTTTAAATTTAATAATTAAACTATAAAATCATTTCTTTCGTGGTTTTATTTAGTATACACTAAATTCTGTTTAATAAAACTGCTGTAATAGGTATTGGCTGGTTGCCATTTGCAGAATTCTATTGCTGGAAATAGACAGTATGATATTTCTTAAGATTTTTATAGTGCAAAATACCACTAATAAGAAAAACATTTACTGAATTTAAAAATCGTTATTTTTAAATAAAATATGTATTTATCAATCAATATTAATAGTAAGACAAATCATTTGATAAATCAAAAAAAAATACAGATTTTGTAATATTATTCGGTTCACGTAAAAATTATAGCAAACAGCACGAAAATTCCATTTTGAGAAAATCTAAAAAAAGGCCTAACTCTATGATAGAATATACAAAAAAAAAAACAAAAACAAAGTTAATTTCTGGTCAAATGAGTATCAACATGATATCATCACTCGTCATTCTCGTAAAAAACGATGTAAGTGCCTACCAAAAATCCGTCGTTTAAGCCAAAGATCCTCCAAGATCTCTTTTTGCTTGTATCATATCATATAAATTTAAATAGCTCATTCAGCTCACTGTATCAAATTTTGGGTTTTGATTTTAAATTGATACATCAATTGACTTTAAAATAATCGATTAATACGAATATAATTTTCAAAATAAAGGTTCCCAAAGAACAAATGTGAAATTTTACTACATATGCGTAAGTCAGAATACTCGATGAACCGATAGTCTAGTGTTTCACTTGTTTCTGGGGAAACAAAATATACACAATTTAAATAAAACTATTTGATTATAAATTCATGTTGTATTTTGTGTATATAGTGTATGGGCGTGATAACTATAGTTTGAAATGGACAATTGTTTGAGGTTAAATATGAACAATTTAAACACAGTTTATAGAACCAATAAACAAGACACTATACAATTCAGCAAACATGTTTTATTTTAATTACATATTATTTTTTACATTATAATTAGGGTTTATTCAAAATGCAAATTTAGAGAGTATTTAAAGAGTAAGTTCCTACTATAGAAAATTTAATTTACTCACAAATCTAATATTTCCCAGCACGGCATTGAAATAGTATATACTTAAACAATAGGTTTTTTTTTAAATTTTACTTGTATAAATTATCATACATAATAGAGTAAAAACTTACATAGGTAAATGTTTTGAAAAAATCAGTTCATCATGGGCACCTAAACACTATTACATACACATACATAATATCACATATATCATTATACCACTACATTTTCTATATAAACTATTACTATAGTAGTTAATTACAAAATATGAAAGTACACAATTATTTTAAATAATTATAACATATAAATCTTAATTAATATTATTTTCACGATGACCAATTTTAAAAAGTATGAAATTAAAAATAGCAAATAAATTGCCTACAGACTAAATTTGATACTATAGTCTTACTTTGTGATCTATATGTTACCTAGGACTGAAATTTATGAAATAAAAATATAAAGAAAACCTATTGTACTTAAAAATTCTAAAGTTTTTTTATAGTCTGTAAGTGATACTTATGTTTTTTCAAATATTTTAAACATTTGTTATAACAGTCAATAAAAGTTGCACAAATTTCAAGCCCTAAACAAATGTTAATTTTATAGATTAATTTTATTTTCCGAGTTACAAAAACATAACAATAGTTTACAACAATTTGTTTAGAATGGCTTTATAATAATTCAATTTATCTGTTTTAACTAACTCTTGGTTGTTTTTCGATTATCTTTAATATAACTAGGAAATTTTAAAAATTTGCGTACTTATTTCAAATTTTGTATAACGTAATCCAAATTATGTTCAATATAGTAGTAAAAATGAATAAGCATTATTTTAACATATAAAATGTAATTTTAAACAAAACAAAAATGTACCTACCTCATCGTAATAATATTTGTAGCTTCTTCACTTATACTCAGAAACTAAAATACTATCAATGTAGACGACCCTTATTACAAAACAAATAACTTCCAACAAAAATCTGGCTATGTGCCTATGCTTCATTATTTGTCAATGTATAACAACTATTGCCATATTTTTTTTTTCTCCTTAGCGTTGTTCAGATGATTTTAAAATTATCTTTGTTTATGCCAACTGGCATCATATTATATAATTTCACATTACACCTTCCAAAATGTTGTAAATTAATCAATTTAAATCTGCCTCTTTGAAAACAATTAATACCATTTTCTTAATTTAAAATCTTTATAAGCAATTTTAGGATTTTAGAAACTTTAATAAATAGTTTGATTAATAACAAATATGTAGGTATTTAAACAAATAATATTTTTCAAAAATCATATCTGACGTTAGTTTAAGAGAAATTTTTAAGATACGAGTGTCATAACTTAAAATGTCCTTAAAGTTTTTTTTGTCATGATGGTCAACTTTTATGTATATACGGTGCCTTTATATTATAACTTTCAATTATAATATATACATTTAATTATAAATCGAAATTGATTCTATTAAATGAAAGTAATATGTAAAATTTAATACTACGCGTGTATTATTTTATTTAAATAATTAAAACTCTATAAGTAGATGTCTAAAATTGAAAATGGAAAACAAATAAAAATAACTTCTATCTTAAATACAAAAAAATTGATAGAAAAAAAAAGTAAGGCAGTTATATGAAATTACTATAAATATCCTAAGGGAGCAATAATTATTATGAATTCTTTTATTTTGGCAGACTTTATATGACATTATATTATTTAAGTATCTATTATTATATTTATTATTTTCAAGCGAACAGGCTGACCTATTCAAAAATGTTTGACATTTGGTTGATATATATAGTTCAATCAACATGATACATATTTACCTAGGTACTTACACTAATTAGAACGGTACATTACATTATACTATTTGCATTACCTACTACATTGCATAGCATAATAAATTTGGGATACCTAATTTAAAGGTGTCTAGTGTCAATATTTGTCATATCAAATTACTTATCTAACATTTAGTTTTTTGGTTATTTTGAATTTTAAACTCTGATTATGATGTAAGTGTCTTAAATGTATGCACTGAATCTAAATAATGTATCTATTTAAACGATTTGGAGCTTAATGTTTACATACATCAAATCAACTTTGGATTATAATTTGCATAAAAGTTTAACGAACTACAAATAACACAAATGTATGTACTATATACTCATGTGTACTAAAAAACAAAAATTAAATTACCAAAAAATTCAGATTTAAAATGGTCTAAAATTTAAATTTAAAATATTCTTAAATCGTTTTTGCATGCAAATAATTCACACAAATGTTTATAATAATGTGTATATTAAGTACCTACCCACTAGAGAAGTAAAAACAAATTTTCTAGGTTGACTACAATTATCATTTGATTGTGTTATAAATACTATCAAACTGAATAGATTTTGTAATTTAAAATTTAATTTATTGGTATAAATTTTATAATTAGCGAAATTAATAGATCATAGGAGAACTGGTGTGCGATTATTTATTTTTAAAACGCGCTATTTTAAATACACGATTATAACGGAAGAGTCGGGAAGACTACTTTTTATTTATACATACAACGCTCACACTTGTTGTGACGATTTCCTGAAAATTCATCACCAGTATATTTTTACACTGTCTGTTGTCAGGTTGAAATTCGGTCACTAGTGAAAAAAAAAATTAACTAACATCGAATGTTCACGTTTTATTTGAATTTTAGGATGAACGATTAAGATTTGGTGACGATAAAGCACTTTCTGAACATTTAAAACTACCAATACAACGAATCAATGACTATCAACTACTAGTCAAGGTTAGTAAAGACTATATGGCAAAATAATTTAAATTTGAACAGTGAACAGTGTTCGAATTTAACGAATCATTTATACACATATTTTTATAAAAAATGTTAAAACTAATTTGATGAGTACCTATATTATGTTTTATTGTAAACAATAAAAGTATTTTACTTTCCACATTTGGTAATGAATTAATACATATCGAAAATAGTCGTTATACTTGAGCAATTTATAATTTTATTAAAAATAATGTTCATAATAGTTATGTTATATCAACTTTGTATTTGTATGGTTTTTTGTCAATATTCGCCTTATAGGTAATCTATTTAATACAGATTTAACACTGTCTACCAAATTTATAATTATAACCAAAGTTTTGGACTTATACATTTGCTTATTTTATCGGCTAAACATAAAATCTTGCAGAGTGCTATAAAAATTTATATAATTTTTAAACGAATTCACATATAAAATTTTAAAGTGCTTTTTTTTCTTATTTCTAATTGGAAAAAAGCCGAATTTTACTATCTGTTTTCAATATTTATCGCATAAATATGATTTAATTTTCCAATTTTTTTTTACATTCATATCTAGAACTGCTCTTTTAAAATAATTTTTTAATTATAATTTTGTTTATTATTATGAAACTGTGCATAAATCTATTATATTTTTAAAAAGTACTGTTCATTGGATTTGGACTTTGGACTCTTTATAGATTTTTTTAGAATCAAAATATTTTAATATTTGTAAATAAACAATATTAGTTACTATTGAACTTTCAAAAAAATATTTTTAATATTACATTCAACTTAAATTTTACTTGTTGTAATAAATTCGTAAAATATTTTATACTTCCAGGAACTAGTTAAATATTCACTACTAATTGGAGAAGATACAACTGATTTAGAAAGAGCTCTTGAGTTGATGCTATCAATTCCACATCGTTTTACAGACACAAAATTTTTAACTAATATTGAAGGATTTCATGGCACTATACATAAATTGGGCAGATTATTAAAACACGTAAGTGAACTACGTCATTGACCATTAAAGGTTTATTAATATCATTGAAGGTCAAATTTTGTTATAGTAGGTCGTTTTTCCTATCTTTGTACAACATGTGTTTTTGTAAGATATATACGAACCTTATAAGATTGATGTATTTAAAACTTCAAATATTTTTTCGATTTAAAAACACATTAGGTATCTAATCGCATTTGATTAAATATTATAGGGATGGTACTACGTACAAGACGCGGAAGATCCTAAAGGGCACCAACGCTATTGCTTTTTGTTCAAATCTAGAATACTGGTTTGTAAAGTTCGTCGAATTTCAGAGGATAGATCTGTCTTTGTACTGAAAGACATAATACGAGTAATATTTTGATATTAAAAATAAGTGTACCGAATTGCATACAATATTATTTTTTGATCGCAGTTACCTGAAGTGACTGTAACAACAGCTCCCGACAACAAACGTGTATGGGTACTCCATCATAAACAAGGCGAAGTAGGAAATTATCCTTTCACTTTTAGAGCTAATGACGATGTAAGTCGGGATCAATGGATTACAGAAATCGAAGAACATAAAAACGATTTACGTAAGTTTTTTTTTTTAAACTAGAATAATTTAATATATATTTTAATATAAAAAAGGTTTTATCTTATCAAACTTAATATAATCTAAAACTTAATTTTATAAAATGGGATTGTCAATTAAAAGGTGAAAAAGAAGATCTACAAGAACAATTTTGGGAACAAGAATACGTTTCTATAACGGAAACAATTAAATCTTCTGTAACTGAAACCACTAAATCTTCTATAACAGGTTCTTAAAAATAGTTTATGCGTAAGCTTGAGTTATGCTTCTTTAATTTAAAAGTATATAATATAATTTACTAAAAAACTATGGTATATAAAAGAAATAAACATAATTCGCTATTAGATTGCAGTAATTAGCCAATGAGTATAAATACTTTTAGTAATTAATGATAACAACTAATTATATTTATTTTTTTTCTGATGTATAAGGTAAATATTACATTTTAAATTAGAGATTATGTATTTTAGTGACGAGTATTGAACATAACAGTGACGATATCAAAGTACAAAAACAAAAAGACGAAGATTTATTCGAACCTCTCAAAGGTATTGAATTAGATATATCCTCAGAAATTGAAGAAGGTTTAGATCCCATTGAAAGAAGATTAGCACCAAAACCATTAAAACACGTCGAAGAGCCAAAACGTCCACCACTTACACTTCCACCTAAAGAACCAATATTTGAATGTACATCACCACCACCTGAATCTAAGAAACAACCTGAAGAACCTCAGGCAGAAAAAGTTGAAGGTTAGTTTAAATTCATATTTATTAATTTTATAGCATATAGGAATGCAAAATACTGAAAAAGTTAATGAAAACTTTAACACAACTTACATTATTTAAAAAATAATGAGGTTGACACCATATTTTATAGATTTAATTTTTAAATAATTATAGTTTATTATTTTAAACGGTTCAATTTTAAAAACTGGTTTTCCAACTACACACTGTAGATGAGCTACTTAGATAAATGTTCACTGACTAAGAATCCAGTATTATTTTATATATTAAAACATAAAAGCAACAATAAATCATTGAATTCAAAATTTGATTAGTTTAGCGTCATAAAACCTAAATAAAATCAAATCAACTTTTGATCTTGAAATGCGTATTTATTATTTCAGAAACTCATACATTTTTATTTTATATTCTGAGGGATTTTCGGTATTTATCCCGACTCAAATTTCCCGAATGTCATTCTTCCCGAATAGAATATACATAGTATTTCTCCCGAAATTATAATTCACGAACCCTTTGGCCCAAATGTTATTTTCCGTGATTGTTATATTTTCCGACTAGTATATTTCCCATACTATTCGGGAAATATACCATTTGGAAAAAACGACTTTCGGGAAAAACGTCGGGAACCATTCTGAGTTCAGTGAGTAATGTATTGGTTGGTGGGTGTGTTTCTCTCTGTAAACAAAATCTCTACCAGAAATGTTGCTACAATTTAAAAACAACAAAGATTTTTTTGTAGCATTTTGGATTTAGTCAGTTCATTGAGAAGAAATGTATTTATATACCTTACAGTTTATAATAATTGGAACAGGGGAATATGAATAACGAGAAAATCCATAACAACAACGGCTCCTTATTTTTATATTTTGTTGTAATTCGGTTAAAATAATCGTAGAGACCTAAAATGTTCATAGAACACTTATATTAGCTCTTTCTAAATATGCTGAGATTTCAGTGATTTACGAGCTATATAGGCACTTGATATTTAGATAAAACTGAAAATTTAACATGTAGTTTATTTAAGTTATACCTGTGTGGTAAAAAAATAAAAATAATATAGTAGTGTTTATTTTTTTTTATATACATTTAAAATTCAAGCTTTTGTTGATAAAAAAAAAAACCTAAATTTAATATATTAGTTTTCATTTCTGAATCTGTTAATTCATAGTTAGTTTTAATTTTTATTGAATTTAATATAAAATTATTAAAACTGGAAAATTGAAACTAAAAATAAACGGACATTCTTCATACATGCGTGGGCACTGTTGTAGGTGAGAAGTTGGGAAGGTAAAGGAGAAATTTAATGTATATCTGTATCAAACAATTAACCATTGCTAACGCAAAAAGACTCTGAGCGGAGTTTGGTTAATAGTGTTGATTTATCAATAATATACATGTCATGGTATAGTAAAATAATTAAATACAGTACACATTTTCTGAAATAATATATATTTGTTTAATATTGTGTCTATTTTCCTGTTTTTTTTTCTGGTTTTTACCATGTTTTTGGCATTTTTTAGTAAAACTCTTGGAAAAATCAACAAATAACCTACCTAAAGTACCACCCTAGTTATATTTTTTTTCAGAAAAAGTGCTATCACAGTAAATCGGAGCAAAATTGCTAGTAGAAATGTTGTTCACAGGAAAAAAAAAGGCCGTAATATTATTTAACTAATCCTTACATTTCTTATATTTTCCTGTTTTTTTATTTCCCCAGTTTTTTATTGGTTTTTCACATTTGATGATAAAATTTCTAAGAAAATCGAAAAATTACCTCCCCACGTCAATTTTCTCTCAAAAAAGGTGCTACACTTAAAAATCGGAGCAAGATTTCTGGTAGAAAAGTTGCGCACAGATAAAAAAAAAACATCTTTGTAAAACTATAAGCTTTTTCGCTCCACTCAGAATCTAAAATAAACATCTTTATAAAATCAATAAATTTAAATATAATATCATTTTTTGCTACACTCAGAATCTAAAATTATTAATATTACTGAAATTAATAACTAGATGTCCTTTGCAACAAGCATAGGCCACTGTTGTAGGACATAGGGTAATTTTATAAATATACTGAAAGTAACGATAAATCATTGCAATATAAAAAAAAACGATTCTGAGCAAAGTAATATAAATCATATTTTATTCCCTAGGAGTTCATGATAACCCAGAAATTATCGAAAATTAAATGGATGTACCAATCGAGATTTATTTCTTGTCAGTTTTTTGAAACTATTGATAATTTAAAAATTGAATACAAAATAATTATCTATAAAAACTAAAATGAATATCAAATGAAATATAAAATATATCTTTACACATATAAATTTAACAATGTACACATTATAGATTATTACTGGATTATTTTGTATGTATTTTTTGAATACATAAATATTTATGGAAAGTATATAATTAATTACTTTTTATAGAAAAATATATATTTATAAATTTGAAACAAATCAGTTTGTATTTTTTTTTATGTAATCTTATAAATATTTTTATAGAACCCCCTGTAATTGAAAAAATGCCAGTCTCTCACGAAGAGGTTAAAATTGAAGAAACAAAAGAAGTACCTATTCCAGAACCTGAGCCAACAGAACCTCCTCCACCACCTAGGTCTCCTTCACCTAGTGAAGAAGTAATTGAAGCTGAACCATTAAGTTATATAGAAGGTGTATCAAAACCATTCTTCCATCGTAATATTAAAGGAACTAGCCATGGAGGTTTGTTAACAAATATTTTATTTTATAAAATACTTTTTCAATATTTGTGTATTTAATAATTCTCTTATAAATAAAATTATTGATAAAACTATATCGTTAACTGAAAAAGGTGTTATTGAAGAGTATAATGAATGGTGGGACACTAAGGGTGAATTTAAATCAGGAAGATCGATGAATAATGATTCTTCTCTCGCAGGTGATAAACACGTGAGAGTAATGCAAATTTAAATTAATTTTTAAATATGCTTTTATTCTAACCAAAGCCAACGTAGTAGATTGAAAAAATCGTGTTAAAAAAGCTAAATGGTGTTCATCAAACAAATAAATGCTTACTATTAATACTGTGATCTTTTTTTTTTCACTAAATACATTTCTTTTTTTTAATTATTTTTTTTTACATTTATGCTAGTTGGGGAAAATGGAATTTTTGAATGTGAAATTGAAGGCGCTTCAAAGGTTACATGGTTAAAAAATAACATGCCTCTACCGAGTAGTATTACTCAGCGAACTGCTATAACTGAGGATAAAGATAATAATTTATACAAACTGCAAATTAATAAAGTAATCTTATCAGATTCGGGAACATATACAGTTAAAGCTGAAAATGATATTGGAGAATCTACAAGCACAGCATTATTATTTGTTGAGAATCGTAAGTTATGAAATGTACTTAATCATTATATAAATTAAAGATGTATAATAATCTTAAATATTTAAAGTTTCAGCAGATGAAAAGAAAGCAAGAGCTAAAGCAAATGCTCCCATTTTTGCGGTTAAACTGGCTGATACACAACTTTTAGAGAATACACATGCCAGATTTATGATTGAAATTAAAGGAAATCCAGTACCTAAAATGAGATTGTAAATTAAATTACCTAGTTAATTTATCTTTTAAACATGTCTTATAATAATCTTAAATTCATTAGTTTCAAAGGAGATAAAGAAATATCTGATAATGATACAAGAATTCAAATATTAGAAGTTAATAAAGAAAAAGGTCTCTATGAAATAATTCTCCCTGATGTCAAACCAGAAGATGCCGGCGAATATCGAGTGGTTGCCAGCAATAAATACTCGGAAGAGTCATGTTCTTGTCAAGTTACAGTAACTAGTATGCAATTATTTTAGTTGAACAAATTATTGTTTAATTTTTTAACATGAAAATTCATATAGGTTTTCATTTTTTTGTTTAGATGAAAAAGATATTTGGGCTGGAATGCACACTGAAGTATCTGATAGTACACCTAAATTTACATGGTTGAAGAATGGAAGGCCATTTAACCCAGAAGAACGGTTCAAAGTATTATTCAGGGATGACGAGGATTCATTAGCCTTAGTTTTCCAAAATGTAAAACCAGAAGACGCTGGATTATACACTTGTATTGCTTCAACTAGTCATGGAAAAATATCATGTAGTGCAGAACTTAGTGTTCAAGGTACCTATATTTAAAAATATTAAAAAGTATTATATTTAAATATATTTAATATCAATGTACCTACATTCATATTTCATATTATTTTTTATTATTATTATACATAATATTTATTTATGTTTTATTAATATTTAATATTATTAATTAAAATTATTCTTAGGTGTTGTTAAAGAACTAAATTTGCCTTATGCTCCAAGAATAACTACTGAAACTACAGAATATGAAACCAAAATTCAAAGCACTGCAATTTTAGAGGCTAAAGTAATTGGTGATCCACAACCAGATATAATTTGGATTAAAAATGATGAAGAAATAAAAGAAAATGAACGAATAAAACTCATGTATGAAGATGAAATTGCTGCTTTAGTAATAAAAAATGTTGAGGTTGAAGATGAAGGAGAATATAAAATAATGGCCAAGAATGATATAGGATCTGATACAGAAACTATTAATCTTTTAATAAAAGCTGCTCCGAGATTTAGAAAAAATTTAACAGATTATGAGGGTGTTACTGGAAAAGATATAACACTAACAGTAGAAATTGAAGCGTCTCCAAAACCAATAGTACAATGGTAGTGTATAACAATTATATATTAATATACATAAATGTAATAAAATAGTAGTTATATTTTATTAATAGCCAATAATTTGTTTGATAAAGGTATAAAGATAGTAAAATTATTAAAAAATCAAATCGAATAAAATATGTCACCGATGAAGTATCTGGTGAATATACTCTTATTATTGAAGATTGTAAAATGGAGGATGTTGGGTTATATTCTGTAGTTGCTTCAAATCAGTACAGTCAAATATCTGATGCTTGTCGGATTAATCTTCAAATGCCTCCTCAATTTATTGGAGCTTTAGCAAAAGAAGTAGAAACTTTAGAAGGTGATTATGTATCGCTGAGTGTGAGAGTAGAAGGAGATCCACCACCTGAAGTAAAATGGTAATAGGCATAATTATATACATAATATATTATAAATAAATCACAATGATATTTTATTTTTACAGGTACTTTGAAGGCAATTTATTAATTGCTGATAAGACACACATAAAAATTAACTCTGTAGGAGATGTACATACTCTTTTAATAAGTAATCTTACGAGGGAAGATTCAGGCAAATATACATGTGAAATAAATAATGAGTTTGGAAAAAACACAAGTGAAGGAAAATTGTTTGTCAAATGTCCACCAGTTTTTGAAACACCTTTATCCGACACAAAAGCAGTTGAAGGAGACACTAATGTCGAGTTTACCGTAAAACTTAATTCCTATCCAAAATCATCAGTTAAATGGTAGTTATATGAAAAAAAAAAGACCAAAAAAGTTAAACATAATATTAACTCATATTAAATAGGTATCATGAAGAACAAGAAATAACAGAAACAACTACCGAATTCACATGTATTGAAGATGGAGATAACCACAAGTTAATTATAAAAGAAGCGAAAACCACATTATCTGGTGTATACAAATGTAAAGCAACAAACGAAATTGGAACATATGAGTCAGAAGCTACTCTTACTGTTATGTGTAAGGCTATTAAATGTATATGTTCGCATTTCGTTTACTAAATTATTATTTTATTTTATAGCACTACCAAAATTTAAGAAGGAATTAAGAGACATGGAAGTAACTGAAGGAGGATTGCTTAAATTACAAGTTACTTGCTTTGGAAGTCCTATTCCCGAAATTAAATGGTATAAGGACGGCAAAGAAGTGCGTAGTGGGGCTCATATTAAAATATCAAGAGACACAAAAAGGGTGGAAAACTTCAGTCTCACTGTTAATCTCGTCAAAGTAGAAGATGGTGGAGAATATGAAGTTAGGGCTACTAATGAGATGGGAACAGCTGTTACTAAGAGTATAGTGAATATTCTAGGTAAGGAAATAACTATAATTTTAAATGTTCTAACAAATATACAAATAAATTTGTTATTTAAAATATTTATTTTTTGGGGTGAGTAATAAGTATGTAGTATGAATTTTAAGCATGATTTTAAAACCCTATCATTGAGATCCCATATAATCAAAACATAATCAAATACATGTTGTAGTACTTGAACTGAAAATTTCTCGTTTTTTTTAAAATTTAAAATCTTGATATTTTGCATGAATTTTCAAAAATGTAGCGAAACACACAACCGATTACAGTGACAATGACAATGAGGCAAATGAAGATAAAAATGAAGATGTCAAAGAAACAAATAAAACAGAAAAAGGTTTGCTAATTTTCATTTAAATTTTGTGTAAATAAAGAAGCTATTTTACGTATATAGTTATCTACAGAAATCTGTGGGTTTTGGTAGAATAGAATTATATATGCTAAAAGCTTAAAGTTGCTATAAATTAATTGTATAATAAAAATGACATACAAAAATGTTAAAAACAAGGTAATTGAATTTATTAGTGTTATTGCCAACCAACAATATGGAAAGTACCAAGGAAAGATTAGTGAAAATAAATGTGGATGAAGACAGAGAATTTTCATCTCTAAAAAATATAGGTATGCAATTATTTACAGGGATCATCAGGGACATATGTGTATTTATGTCTTCATTAAATTGGGTTATTGTAATTACCTAACCCGTTACAGATAGTGATCGATCCATCAAAACTGAAGAAAGTTTGCTTATAATGAACAGTCAATCGGGAGAGTTCAGCTGTGTGGAAATCAGTTGGGAAGAATCTTCTATTAAATGTAAAAACTATTATGGGGTTGTTGAAGAACCAAAGGATGAACGTATTATACCAATTAGAATAGACAGAAGTATTTCAATACATACAGCCTCTGATGAAGAGGAAGAACCATTTTGGGTTATTGAAAGTGTTAAAAAACACGAAGAAGTACGAAATGAAATTAGAAGAATGAAGGAAAATAAAAATTTAGAACAGGCATCATTAGCAAATAATTTGTTTGAAGAAGATGATACTTCATTAAAAGAATTATTACAACGTGTACAAAAACAACGGAATGATTTAGAAGATATATTAGATAAGGAAAATTATAAAAGTGATATACTTGAACTAAATCATACTGACAAATTACTATCCAGAAGTAATAGTATGTTAAGTGAAGCATCGACTTTTAAAGCAAGCTCAATTTCAAGGTTATCATCATTAGAAAAAAATACTGAGGTAAACAAATTACCAGGCAATTTATTAAATCTATCAGTTGCTGATATATCCAGTATACACACGATAAATAAAAATGAAGGCTCAACAATTACAGAAAACATTTCAAATGAATTGATACCAAATATAATTCATAGTTCAGATATACCAAAAAAAGATTCTTTAAAAATACCTATACTCAATCATACAATAGAAAACGATTCTCTCTTGCAAATTGAAAATTCAATTAGGAAATATTCAATAAATGAATATACTGTTGAAAAAGCATCAATATCAGGATTGTATTCAAAAGAAGAATGGAATGATTCGTTTTCATCTAAAGAAAGTATAAGTAATTATTCTAGAAGTCCAAAAAGAGCTTCAATATCCAGGTTTTCTTCTAAAGAAGAATGTGATGACTCCACTGTGCCCCAAAAACCTATAAATGAATATTCAGCAAGTCCAAAAAGAGCTTCAATATCTAGGTTTTCTTCTAAAGAAGAATGCGATGACTCCACTGTGCCCCAAAAACCTATAAATGAATATTCAGCAAGTCCAAAAAGAGCTTCAATATCTAGGTTATCTTCTAAAGAAGAATGTGATGACTTATTTAAATCTAAAAAAAGAGAATATTCTACTGAATATACAAAACAAAATTGTACTATGGAAACATTTATGCCACCCACTACCAAAAAAGGTGAATCAAATAATTATAATCATGATTCTGCAAAAATAATTGATATTAATAATGAAGCGGACATTCGTAGAAAATCATTAATTGAACAATCTAGTATTTTAAGTAAAGCTCTCAACGAAATGTGTAATGATATTCCTGAAGATTCAAAGTATAGTAATCAAAATAAATCTATTAAAGAAAATAACAAAGATATTGATTGTATCCTAAATGAAAAAACTGAAAATGATTTATCACAACTATCAATGAAACAATTAACAACAAATCAACAAATTCTATTAGATAAAGAACAGCTTATTACACCTGAACAAACAATGCTATTAAAAGAGCATTTGGCAGGTAAAAAATATGATGCACAATATATTGAACCAAATATTAAAGAAACAAAAACTACAATTCTTGAACAACCTTGTCTGAATAATATAAGTAAAGAAAATTTCAATAAACCAATATGTGGAATAGAACAAATTGGAGGTATATACAAATCCAATGTTACAATAATTAACATTTTTGTCTTTTATGTTTTTGTTCGTCCAGAAGTCGTTCTTATACAGGTTATTAAATTATAAAGCTATTATATTGTTTTTGTTTATAATACACTTAATACTGCATTATTTTACCGCATAATTCCTATATCCTAATTTATAATATAAATAATATTTTGTGTTTTGATTTGTGATCGTAACATTTGAATATCGTACATTGCCCTAATCAATTGGTAAGTTTGGCTTGATAAAAAAATTTTGTATTAAATAACTGTTTAGTAATAATAATTTTAAATATTTAGTTCCTCCGGAAATTTTATCTGGTATGGATGATGTCGATAACTACGAATCACTTACACAAGTGTTCAATGTCAAAGCTCGAGGTGTTCCCAAGCCAAAAGCCCAATGGTAAATTATATGTACATATAGTATATAATATATAAATTATTTGTTTATTAAAATACAACGGAATTATATCTAAAAAACAATTTTTAAAAAAGATCTGATACTGGGGACTAGTCTACCACTGTTGTAGGTGGCAAGTTAGGAAGTACAACATAAAAATGTATTTTATTTATATCTAAACAACGATAAACCATTGCTAACGAAAAACAATTGAAAAGCTATAATATTTACAATGTTCATACAAATTTTATCTTAAAACCACTGTACCTTGTATTAAAACTTCTGTAAAATTTTTAAGCAATTCTGTTTGTCAAACAAATATATCCACATAGTAATGACTAAATAAAAACTGTAAAAATACTAGAAAATAAAAAATGACTATAAATAACTCAAAATTACGTTTAGAATATTTTTTAAAGTTTATCACGTTAAGAAAATTAAATACAATATTTCTGTTAAAATTTTAAATCTCTACAAATATTTTTAACTAAATTACAACAAAAAATTAAAGTTGAAAATAATGAAACTATTATTTCCGTAAAAACTTTCCATTCTTTCTGTCATTTTCTGATTTTATTCAACTATAAAAACTGTTTGGAAAATCTAAACGTTAAATTAATACGGAGGTTTTTTTTAGCATTTTTTGATTAAAACAAGGTTTCTGGTAGAAATCATAATGCGAAAAAATTTAGAATAATAAAATTGATAATGCCATAGTGTAGGTACCGTAAATATTAGTCAGTTTTTCCTGTAATGTTGTTCCGATTTTTCTCAATTACTTTGAAATCTTCCTGAAAAATCAAAAAATAACCTATATAATATACCAACTAGATTCAAAGTATAACAAAATAGATCTCATGTAATTTTTCGGTTTGGAATAAGTTTTCTGTTCGAAAAATTTACAGAATTTTATAATTTCAAAAATTTAAAAAAACACATCATATAAAACCAATACATACTTCGGTTCTTTCTTAATCTAAAATAGGTGGAAGGTTTAGATATCATTATAGAGTAATTTAATTTATAACTGTACTCAATTTAATCATTTTTAAAGAAAAGTGACAAAGTTCGATTAACATGTTTTAAATGTCATGATTTTCACAGATTTAACGTTGAATCCTTAAAAAAAAAAATATATTACATTGCATTTAACTAAGAAGTCATTTATGGTGAACATCGTGATAAATTTTCAAACATTTTTACTGGATCAAAATAATTTTATACACATAAAATTAAATAAACACTCAAAAATTTCAAAAGTTTCAAAAAATTACTGAAAAATTAGGTACTGTGGTAACGTTACCCCGGCATATGTTTTAATAAAATTTCAAAGTATAATATTATGTACTACTTCATTTTGTACAATTTTGTAGAACTCATGTTAAATTTTTTTTAAAATCACCGGAATTCATTAAAAATGTTAACACGTTCCGTGAAGTGTCAAGTTTCTATGATTATTTTTAATTTAATTACAAAAAAAAAAAAAAAAAAACTGAATATAATAGAAATCGTTTTTTCCATATTTTTCCAAATCATAAAACAAATTACAAAGATTATCAAAAATTATCTCCTCAATGCATCAACAAGACAACATTTTTTTTTTTCCAAAAATAACCTCTTATATAATATATTAATGATCAGAGCAAGATTTTTGGTAGAAAAGTTGTTAACAGATAGGTACAAATAATAATAATAATAAAAAAAAAAAACACATTATAAAATCAATAGTCATCTGATTGACGCTCAGAATCTAAAATTTCATTATAAAATGTTAAAATAAGTAACTATGTACTAAGTACAGTGATAATAAAAATTTTAATTAAAATGAAGATAGAAAAATATTATTATTATTTATTACATATTATATATAAATTTTTTTTTTTACTGCTTAGGTTTAAAGATGGTGACGAATTATCAAATACAAGGAATATTCAAATTAGTGATTCCGATGAAGAGGAAACATTTAAATTAATTGTTAAAGATTTGAGAGTAGCTGACTCTGGCTCATATTGTTGTAAATTAACTAATGAAGTTGGAGAAGATGTGAAGTCAGCAAAACTAAACGTACAAGATGTTGAGTTACTTCGAGGTCCAAAAATAAAGAAACCCCTCTCTGACTTGGAAATAATAAAAGGCCAAAAAGTTGAATGGTCAATAGTTCTTATAGCTGACCCCATTCCTGATGTTGAATGGACTTGTGATGGCAAAACAGTAAATGCTGATTTTACAACTGATTCCGTGGAAATAGCTAATGGACTTAAGGAATGTAAATTTACAATGACAATTCCGTCTTCCAAACTTAGTGATACTGGACTTTACCGAGTGAAAGTGACAAACAAGTTTGATTCGGCTGAATGTAGTGCTAATTTAGATATAATTATGAAACCAGAAATAGAAGGGTTCCATGATATTACTGTAATACCTTCAATGGAAGCTGTATTTGAAGCAATTATTAAAGCAGTACCTAAACCAAAAATTGCATGGACAATTAACGGAAAAGATTTAGCTGAACGAGAGCTTGTTAACCTCACAAGTGAAGAAGTGGAAACAAATATAAATAAATTTAAGATAGTCATTGGAAATGTGAATCCTGAAGAATCGGGTGAATATGTAGTTAAAGCTTGGAATAAAGTTGGTGAAACTACTGCTATTGCTAATCTTAAACTTCATAGTAAGTAAACATCCTTAATCAATTATACAAAACAATTGATTATCATTAATGTATTTCAGCTGAGGTACCTTCATTCGTTAAATTGTTGGAAGATAAATCTATAGAAGAATATGAAGAAGTTCAACTATCTGTACGAGTTAATGGAATTCCAAAGCCTAATATTACATGGTAATATTCAATAGTCTAGATAATTTATTGTATATATTAACATTTTGATTTAGGTTTAAAGATGGTGAAGTCGTAATCCCTGACCTCAGAATCAGTGTGCATACAAATGTCGAAGGTCAAATGAAAAGTACTCTCACTATAAACCATTTCAGCAATTTGGATATTGCAAACGTAAAATAAATAATATGAATTAAACATAGGTTTTGGTTTTTAATCTTTTATTTACATTATAGTTCTCAGTTAAAGCTGTAAATATGATTGGTGAAGCTGAAACATCATCTAATTTAAAAATGGCTGAAATTATGCCCTCATTTGTAAAACCTTTTGAACGAATAACAGAAGCTGTTGAAGGATCACCAATTGAACTTCAAACAAAACTTATTGGCAGTCCTCGTCCGTGTGTTTCGTGGTATAAAGATGGTGAAGAGCTTAAAAATAATGAAGAAGAAATTAAAGATGATGAACCAAAACCACATGTAATACTAGAAGCAAAACCAGATGGTATTGTTTCAATTAAAATTGATAAAGTTGAACAAATAGATTGTGGTGCTTATAAAATTATAGCAATAAATAATTTTGGTACAAGTTCTACTAATACCGCATTAGTAGTAAATGGTATGTTTATACTATAAATATGCATTAAGTATATAATATTTATTGAATTATTGTCTTCTTATTTAGTAAATAGTAATTTTCATCTGTTAAATTTATATTTTATTTGACTCAAACAAAATTAATTCACGAGAACACCACATATTCTTATTTTTAAAAAACCATATCTTACAAAATATGTTTTAATAGAATAAATTGATTTTTTTTTTTTTTTTTTAGAATTACCAAAAAAACCAATTATAATTAAGCATCAAAAACAATTTGATATTGGTGAGGGTGAAATTTTAAAAATAGAAGCTCAATATGTTGCTTATCCAGATGCTATAGTAAAATGGTACAAAGAAGGACATGTATTACATCCTTGTCCTCAATTAGATTTTGTTATGGGTCCAAATGGCAATATTGCTCTAGTAATTGAAAAAGCTACCCTTGAAGATGCTGGTGCTTATGAAGTTATTGTATCAAATGATTTGGGTAAAGCTGCTGCTCAAATTAATGTGAATGTAAAACCGGCAGCTACTGCACCAAGTTTCATTACACCTTTGAGAGATTCGAAAGTAGTGGAAGGATTTCCTGCAAAACTACAATTTAAGTTATCTGGTTTCCCGCTTCCAGATATTTCATGGTAATTATTAATAATTTACTAGATAATAAATTATTATTGCAGTTAGTATTATTTTTGGAATGTTAATTGATGATCTTATATTAGCACAATAAATGATAAGCCATTAATTATGGACGGAGAGAATGTAAAACTGGTCCAAGAACCTGATGGTGTCCATTACTTGTTAATTGAAAAGACTGGTCCTGAACACGCTGGAAATATTTTAGTGATTGCTTCAAACGATAATGGAAAAATTACATCGGAAGCAAAACTTTCAGTTACTCGTACGTAAAAAAAATGATATAAATAAATATTTTAAATATTATGCAAATTATAATATAATTTACCTTAATATTACTTACACCATATTATGGTGTTGGTATTTATTATTATTATTATATTCTGTATAAGAAAACATACATGAGTAATAAACAATTTAAAGGGTTTTTAAATGTAAAATGTATTTTATTCATTAAAAATAATAAACTTCAATCATCTGAAATTTTGAATTACCTATAAAACCTGTTTAACACTAATGTTTTTATATTTTATATAGTATTTAAATTTTATAATGAATTAATATAATATTATTAAATTACAGCAAAAATAAGTTCAGAATCACCAGAAACTAAACCTCTTTTCCTTAATGGACTTAAAGATACTACAGTAGAAGAAAGCAATCCATTATCATTATTAGCTCCATTTCTTGGTAATCCTATACCAGATGTTAAATGGGAGAAAGATGGAAAAATATTACAATCATGTAATAAAATCCATTTCACTTGTGACGGTTATAAGGTTGGACTTGAAATACTTGATACTAATACTGGAGATGCTGGCCTGTATACTTGTACTCTAACTAATCATTTGGGAACTGCTAAATCAGATTGTCATGTTGGCATTCGAAAACTTTATCAAGCGCCTGTTTTTACACAGCGTTTTTCACATAATCAACAGGTATATTAAAATGTGGTTTTAGATTCTGAGTGGAGCGAAGAAACTTATAGTTTTACAAAGATGTTTATTTTATTTTTTTTTTTTTTTTGTCTGTGCGCAACTATTTTACTAGAAAACTTGCTCTGTTTTTTAAGTGTAGCATCTTTTCTGAAAGAAAATCGGTGTGGAAAGATACTTTAAGGAGGTCATTTTTCGATTTTTCCAAGATTTTTTCCCAGAAAATGTGAAAAACCGAGATAAAACATAGGAAAACTGAGAAAAACGTAGGAAAACTGGGAAAATCGATATAACATTAAAAAAATATTATTAAAAAAAATATATAAAGTAAATTTAATTGTTTTACTATAAAATGACATATATATTGTTGACAAAGCATCACTATCAACTCAACTCCTCTCAGAATCGTTTTTCGTAAGCAATGGTTTATCATTGCTTACAGGTATATATAATTTTATCTATAACAGTGGCTGCACCCACTGGGACGGCCTCATTATCCTAGGACGTCTTTTTATATATATATTTATGTAAATTTACCTATTATTGCTTTAGTTGCTTTCGAGAGATGCTAAATACCATGCTCGAGTTACCGGGGTTCCATCCCCAAGTATTGTATGGCATAAAAACGGTCATCAACTGACAAATGGTGATAAGTATAAAATAAGACGTGACGGGGAAGTCTGCAGTTTAACTGTAACAGATGTCAACAATGATGATGCAGGACTATATAGTTGTATCGCAACTAATCGAGATGGAACTGCCACATGTGAAGCACAACTCTCAATAGCTCCTAAAATGTAATGATAAATTTTAAATGTCTCTATTTAAATTTAAATTACACTATATATATGTATGATTATTATTAATTTTTTTTAGTGTTGATGAGTCTAGGAAACAAGAACCACCTTCTTTTATGAAAAAAATTGGCGATTGTGAAGTTTTTGATGGTATGACAGCTAAATTTACTGCTTGTGCTACTGGATGGCCAGAACCAGAATATGAGTGGTTTTTAGATACTAATAGATTATATGAAACTGAAAGAATCAGAATGGAAAAAGAAGATTCTGGATTATTGAGATTAAAAATATTACACGCTGACTCAATTATTGATTCTGGTCGATACAAATTACGAATTTATAACCCTCATGGAGAAGCATATTGCGAAGCGAGCATTATATTTGACAGTAAATCATCAATCAAAAATAAATATTTAAAAATAAATATTTAATAAATTCAATTATTTTACAGATGGGTTAGATTCACGTTCTAAACGACCTGTTGGTGAACTCTACAAAGACTTTGATCGATACCGTGCAACAGGCGCACCATTACCACTACCTGATCCTCCTACAATAAGTCGTATGACTGATAAAAGACTTACTCTTTCATGGAAACCTTCATTACCAATTACACCGAGGACACCCGTTACATATTTAGTAGAAATGGAAGAACAGCCAAAAGGAGATTGGATTACAGTCAGAGCCGGTATTCGTGGTTGTGCTTGTGATGTGCATAATTTAATACCATTTAGAGATTATAAATTTAGAGTGAGAGTTGAAAATAACTATGGAATTAGTGATCCTTCGCCATTTGTTTTGACTTACAGGTATAATAAAAATAGTAATACAATTTCAATACTAAGATGTATACATTTTTTTCTTTATTTTATATTTTAGAGAAACTCTAGAACCAGAACCACCCAAATTTACTCCTTATCTTCTGCCAGGGACAGACTTTAAGCCAGAATCATCCCCTTATTTCCCTAAAGATTTTGATATTGAAAGACCTCCTCATGATAACTATGCCCAAGCACCAAGGTAAATTGTTTACTGTAATATTATTTATTATCTACTTATTTCATATTATATTACCATAAAAATACATACAGGTTTTTACATCAAGAACATGATACTCAGTATGGAGTTAAAGGTCATAATGTTAATTTATATTGGTTTATTTATGGATATCCAAAACCAAAAATGCAATATTATTATGACAATCAATTAGTAGAAATGGGAGGCCGTTATGATTCAAGTTATACACGAAATGGTCAAGCAACATTGTTTATTAATAAGTAAGTTTTCAACACAAGTAAATAATATAAACATAGCATAAATGTAATAGAATTTTTCCATTTTATCAAATAGGATGATGGATCGAGATATAGGAATTTATGAAGCTGTTGCTACAAATGAACATGGGACCGCTAGACAAAGAGTTAGATTGCAGATTGCCGAGTATCCAAAGTTCTTAAAAAGACCCGAAGAAATGTATGTAACTTTGCGCAAAAATTGTAAACTGGAAGCTAGAGTTATTGGTTTTCCATATCCAGAAATAAAGTGGTTTAAAGACTGGAAACCATTAGTTGATTCGGCAAGAATTCAAGTTAGTGTATAATTTGCTTCATATTTATAAAATTCAATATTATAAAAATATTGTTTTTACTTTTAGATCGAACAAGTAGAACCTGATGTTTGTATAATGCGTATTGAAGATTTAATTATGAAAGATGAGGGTTTATATAGTATAAGTGCACGTAATTTAGCCGGATCAATATCTACATCAGTAGCTATACATGTTGAAGATAGAGAATCTGATTATTCATATAATGGTAAAACTGATATAAAATGGAAAAAGAAGGAATTATCAGAACTATATGATCTTGGAGACGAATTAGGACGTGGTACGCAAGGTATTGTGTACCATGCTGTAGAAAGATCAACAGGTAGAAATTATGCAGCTAAGATTATGCATGCAAAAGAAGATCATCTATTGAAATTAATGGACAATGAGTTAAAAATAATGACCGATTTAAGCAATAGACGAATTATCCGTATTCATGATGCATTACAGACTTCCAGAACATACACTTTAATTACAGAACTGTATCCTTTTATAGTATTGGCATATTATATGAATTATCTAATAATTTTTGATAATAATTAATAACACTTACTGTTTTTATCTGAAGTATAAATAAAATAAATGCCTTAATAAGTTTCAATAATAGTATAATACCTATTTAAACATAAATACATAGATACATTTTATATTATTGATTTTTTTTTCAAATAATTTTGATTTTAATATTTAAAAGTTCACAATGGTCTTATTATTGGTCTTTTATTTATTATATTTGTTAACTCAGTTACCAAATGGATCACAAAATGTTAAACTTACATAAAATTTTTCCTCAAAATCGATAATCTTAATCAATGTCTTGAACTAAAATCTAACCTTGATATTTTTGCAAATTGGACGCATGATTTGCTTTAATACAAATAAATACCATATTATAACTTATTCTAGACATCGATCTTCTATTCACCACAACTATTCTTTTAATAGCAGCACTCTTGACCATATTTTTCTCCATAAAAGTCTTGGTATACATTTTACTCCATCTTTAAACTTTGAACATCACATAAATGTAACCGTAGGTAAAGCATTAAAAGTCTTGGGATTTATTAAACGCAACACCACTCATTTTTCTTCTGCAAAAGGCACCACAGATACTCCTAATCTCCTATCAAACGTAAGTTTTTGTATCCCTTTCTTCTTCTCCAAACTCCTTCTTTCTAGGACCAACCCACGGTACATCCTACAGTAATAACTACCCCTTACATAGAATACTTCATAATTTAAATAGCCTTAATTTTGATTCCAACTATAAGTAATTAAATTTACGACTAAATGTAATGTTTTTAAATTTAATTTAATTTTTTATTTATTTATTTATTTTTTATTTTTTTTCATATGGTAGTAATATATCACCATCTAATTTGTATTTTTTTGTTTCTGCATTATTTTCGTTATTACTGTGTATTATTAGCATTATATTATAAATAACTGTTACTTGTAAACCAAACCTTAGATGTAATCATAAAATTGCCGACTGGCGTTTATAAATAAATAATTATATGTTTAACTTTAGTTACACACAAGACAAAAAAATTATTTTTGTAAAATCCTTAACTTTAAATTTAGTGCTGGAGGAGGTGAACTTTTGGATATTCTAACCAAACATTCATTCCTCACGGAATACGATATAGCTTTATACATAATACAATTACTTAAAGCCTTGAAGCACATGCATGATTTCGATATTGCACATTTGGGATTAACAGTAAGTGCTTAAATATACACATTTTTAAATTATAGATTTAAACATGTATCCATTGTTAATTACCAAATTATATTATTAAATATAGCCTGGAGATTTATTAATATCTCACCCAGGAGGTGATGTATTAAAGTTGTGTGATTTTGGATTAAGCAGAAAAGTAAATAGAAGAAAACTAGAACCAGTTGACTATGGAATGCCTGAATTTATTTCTCCAGAAATAGCCAAAGGAGAAGGAGTTGACCTTTCTTCTGATATGTGGTCAGTTGGAGTGACAACTCATTTACTTTTAACGGGAGTTTCATTATTCCGTTGTGTAAACGATGCTGATACTTTAAATAGAGTTAAAAGTGGCTCTTATACACTCAGTTCCAAAATTAGTGATTTAGCTAAAGATTTTATTTCAAAACTATTAGTATTTAACGCTAATGATCGCTTGGATGTAATAACTGCTCTACAGCATCCATGGTTACAACTCGGTGAAGACATACCCACAGACTCTAGTCGAATAAACACTGATTCTCTCAGAAATTATTACAACAACTTTAAGTATGATTTTTTATTCTTATAATTGTATTTTTAATAATATTATAATTATATTTATAGAGATTGGTATAGTAATGCTTCATGTAGAAACTGGTATCGACGTCGTCCATTATCTTCAGCATACACACACCCATCAAAAATGATTTATCCACCTGGTTTAGCTTTTACTCCTAGTCCTACTCCAGAACCAGAACCAAAAAAACAAAAAAAACATGTTCCATCATGGAAAGATAAACTTCCATCCAAAGAACCAATTGATACAGAAATAGGAATCATAAAATCAGAAAGTCACTATCAATATGGTCCTGATACGTATTTGTTACAGCTAAGAGATACCAATTTCCCTGTACGGTTAAGAGAATATATGAAAGTTGCCAATAAAAGTCTAACACATAGAGGAGGAACTGATTCGCATCTAGACTGGGAGGTAATTTAAATTAAAACATGTTATAACTCATTAATTAACTTAAAATGTTATGATTAGGCACCCGTTATACGCGAACGAAGAAAATTTACTGATATCATGGATGAAGAAATTGAAGATGAACAAAAAGCTAGAATAAGTCAATATGGTGCTGACATATACACATTAAGAAGACTTAAACAAGAAATAGGTTCCAGACCAACTGCCCATGTAGAAGCTGAAGCAATCTTAGAATCAAGAATTGATGGACAACCTCCCTTCTTCAGAGAAAAGCCACAAGTATTACCTATCGAACCCGATAAGTCAGCTGATCTTATGTGTTTAGCTGTAGGAGTTCCAAAACCATTAGTTCAATGGTTTAAGTAAGTTATTAAAACCACATTAATCAAATATTTGTTTTATTTATATATTATAAATTTATATAGAAACGATATAGTTCTCACTGAAAGTCATAGAATTAAAATGTTAGAAGATAACGACGGAAGATCGATTCTCAGATTAGAACCAGCAACTGAACTGGATCTGGGAATTTATAAGGTTGTAGCAAGAAATAAATTTGGACAAACAACAGCTCGAGCTCGGTAAGTCTAAATATATTCTTTACATATTTTAACTAATGTTTACATTTTTAAAGACTTGTTTTGGCTCGTTCACCTGGAGTTATGGAGGCTCCAATAGTGAAAGAATATTCTGACACAGAAATTTTATTGCAATGGGACCATCCTAAAGATGATGGAAATGCTCCAATACTATGTTATCAATTGGAGATACGGGAAAATGGTAAGAAGTTTCAGGTTAAATTATGTAGATAAATAATTTCGTTATATCTACTAGCTATAATAAAATTAAATATTTTATAAAGTGCTGTTTGTTTATTTTATAATAGTATAAGTTATATATTTTAAATTATTATGCTTTTAGAAAATGAATGGGAATTGGTGGCAAAAAATATTGATCATGAATTTTGGCTTATGCAGAACCTTAGACCATATACAAATTATGAATTCAGATTAGCAGCAATGAACTATATTGATTGGGGTCCTATTGGACCACCTTCACCAATGGTTCGAACCCATTTCCCAGGTAAGAATCCTGATAAATATACAAATTTAATCAAGTATTATTTTAACGACTTATTAAATGTTTATAATTAGATGCTCCGAAGTTGAATGTTTCATCGGCAATGATAAATCTACAGATAATAACTGAAAGTGGACGAGAAATAATTGGTGACGAGCCACGCAATAATTTAGATTATTCACTTGAATATAAACCAACAGATTGGGCTGAACAGCCTCCTATTGAAAAATATCGATTTATTTCTGAAATTGCTAGGTAAGCATATACTCTTACTATTGTTTTCAATTATTAAAAGTATTTAAAATAAAAAAAAATTGAATTATATTAATAAATATATATATATTTTATGAAGAGGACGATTCTCCGTCATACTTAAGGGAATAAATACATCAAACGATTCAATTATCGTAGCAAAATTATTAGAAATTACACCAGATACTAAAGAACAAGTTACACATGAGTTTAATGTTCTTAGAACATTAAAACACGAACGAATAGCATACCTTATTGAAGCTTTCAAGTAAGTAAATACATATTTAATAAAACAAAAATGTTTAACAAATTAAAAATCGAAGTTCGATTTAACATGTTTTGAAATGCCGCGATTTTTACTTTTTTTGTCAAAATTTGAATTTCAATATGTATAAAATTAATAAAACAAAAATGTTTAACAAATTAAAAATCGAAGTTCGATTCAACATGTTTTGAAATGCCGCGATTGTTACTTTTTTTGTCAAAATTTGAATTTCAAACGCTTATAAAAGAAACTACTAAGCACCTATTTGATTGTAAAATCAACTTTTTATTTTTACCATTTTGTACAATTTATAATAAACTTCGTGTTAAATTTTCAAACATTTTTATCTGAGTCACAAATATTATATTATATTCACATAAATTTGTTTTTTATCTCTGCGCAACTTTTCTACCAGAAGACTTGCTCAGATTTTTAAGTGTAGAATCTTTTCTGAAAGGAAATCGGTGTGTAAAGGTACTTTAGGGAGGTCATTTTTCGATTTTTCCAAGAGTTTTTCCAGAAAATGTGAAAAACCGAGATAAAATATGGGAAAACTGAGAAAAACGTAGTTAAATATTATTAAAGAAAATATACAAAGCCTATTTAATTATTTTACTATAAAATGATATATATACTGTTGATAAAGCATCACTAGAACTCTGCTCAGAATCGTTTTTTGTAAGAAATGGTTTATCATTGCTTACAGGTATACATTAAACTATCTATAACAGTGGCTGTCGCCATTATCCTAGGACGTATTTTTACCATTTTTAACCTCCTTAGGGGTTAGATTTTAGAAAAATATTTCTTAAAGGGTCTCTGTATTAACAAAACAAAATTACTTACCAAATTTTATACTCGTAGCTTCAGCGATTCCTGCTAAGCTATGATGGATCATTTAGTCGAGACATTTTATTTTATCTATATATAAATTATGTTTTTGATAAGTAAACTAGTTATTAGTTTACATAATTTGCATAAACTTTAATAAATAATAAGTTATGATAACTTCAAATAAAATAAAAATTTGAAGACCATTTTAAAATATCTCACATACAAGACTAATAAGCTAAAAATTTAAATTAAAAGATCAACTATCAAGAGATTATTATATTAATTTATTATGTTACTTTCCCATTTAAAAAAACATATTGTGTTTTTTTTATTTTGTTGTAAATACATTTTTATTTTCCAATTTCAGGTTAGAAAATGCACCTGTTGCTGTTTTCATACAAGAAAAATTACAAGGTGCAGATATTCTTACCTACTTATCAACTAAAGAACAATATTCAGAACAAACTATTGCTACTATTATTACACAGGTCAATATGTTTTATATTTTTCAAGCTAAATTTATGATAATATAGCCCACATTATACGGGTATAATGCATAGTATTTGAGACAAGCGTCCCGGTGTCCTGACCAAATGTTTTGAACATTACTTTTGTCCAATATTTTAAATCACCCATTCCATAAGTCCCTTACCTTTCCTTATTTTTTAAATTATTCAACTCATATTTGTTTTATCTTTTATATCTAGTTATGTTAAATAATTTTGTCCACAAAATTGTTTTTGAATTAAATAAATTGAGATTGACAATCTCAATAATATAACATAATACCAAGAAGATCAGAATTTTAGTTTTTTTTTTTTTACTATACCGACTAACAGTTAGTACGGAGAGGGGCAGTAACCGTGCGATATCATGAGATTGGGTAGTATCACTGTAGACAAATTAAATTTTTGAATTTATTGACATATTAGTAATATGTCAGTTTGATTTTAACATCATTTTTCGTACAAAAAATTACCTAAAAAGTAAACATTTTGATTTTGATTGGATAACTTTTGAGTTACGGACTAGTTTTGAGAGCTACATCCTTATACCGTCACCCTTCTCCTACCACATGGTTTGTTGCAATATATGTAAATTTTAAGTGAGATTTAATATGCTCTGTATTTATAGTACCTAAATAAATCTGGCATTTCTATATTAAATACATTTTGTTATAACTTTACAAAAACTTTTCTAACGAAAATTGGTTAAGTGTTTAATATTCGAAAATATAAAAATAAAATAAATAATAAGTAGTAATTTTGTTGTAATTTATATTTTGTTTGTTCATGGTAAGGGTCAAACTTGACAGGAAAACACTTCTTTATTGCCTATACAGATGTATATATACCTATCCTATACATAGAATCAAATTAGTTCCATGTTAAATTTTTGGATTTAAAATATAATTTTGTGAAATACAAGATATTTTTAATGCAATTTTAAAATAACATTAAAAAACTATTCTTCAGTATCTACCTAATTTCGTTTAGGTGCATAAAATATATGAATAACAAAATTATAATCTGTCTATAAAAACGGATCACAAATTTGTATTGTAATAAACTTATATACGGCAATATTATTATTGAAGATCTTTTTACAAAATATCCGAAAAAATTATGTATATTGCACAGGTACTGGACGGATTGCAATACTTGCACTGGCGGGGCTACGCCCATTTGAACATGCAACCAGACAACATAGTGATGGCGTCAGTACGGACCGTGCACGTGAAACTAACCGACTTTGGTTGCGCTCGGAAAGTGAGCAAGCTGGGCGCGGTGGTGAACTCGAACAATGGTGTCTTGGAGTTTACAGGTATATATCACAAATACGCCTCTTCTTCCTCTTAGCGTTATTTATCCTACAAATGTGGAATCGACGAATCTAGGACGTTTTGACCTCGTCGAAAAAATAGCTGAAATTTTGTCCCGAACCGTTAAGGATCGATAATCGATATTTTCAAGAAAAAATGTCTGTAATATGAAAAAATCATTAAAAAAATAGGGTTTTCAACCGTTTTATCAACTCGTGGTATTCAATTTAAAATATAGGATCGGGTATCGGTTTTATATCGGTAACTAAAACCGAAATATTGGATATCGGAAAAAAGTCTTATAGGCTTACCACTAATTATTTAGTCCCCAAAAATTAATAATTTTAGGATAATATGTTTTTGTCGTCAAGTTTCTACAATAGAAAGCAATTAGCTTAGTTACCTAACTTAAGTTTAACTACCTATATTAGTAAACTTGTATTGAATAGAAATAATAAACTTTATATTATTTTATTATTTAAATTATATCTGTGGTTTAAAGTAATACTGTGGACCAAAATATCTCGCAGTCAATATTGTAGAGATGAAACGTTCGTTAATCGGGTCAGCTACTTTTAAGTTTTAGTTTTGCTCTGTCATCTATGAAGATTCATATACATCCTTATTTTTAAATGACCTTTCAAGCATCAAACCTCTTGCCACTTACCTTTGGCCTACCTCATCTCTAGTATCCACCTATACCTATTCTTTTGACTATCTCATCGTTTCTTTTTCTCTCGATATACCCGTTCTTGACGAGTACGCAGGGGGTGTTTTGGGTGTTTAAACACCCCCTCCCCCAAAGTATTTAGTTTAACCTCACCTAACTTAATCTTTCATATATTTACTAAAAAAAAGTTCTAATTTTCAATAACTAATTTAAAAAAAACACCCCCAAAACTTATTTCTGCGTACGACTCGCTTTCATTTTGCTTTTAAGACTATCCTTAATCCTATCTATAATCCTATCTATCCACATGTATCATTTTTTATCAGTATGTACCTATCAGTTTTATCAGTACCTACAAATGGAACAAATGCAGTTTGTTCCATGTGATTTTTTTAGAATTTTTTTTTTCAAAATAAATATTAGTATATTTATGTTTTTTATTTTAGTGTTAACAAACTACGTAAAACTCAATTATAAAATTATTTCAAACATTTGCATATAGGTAGTAAAAATTAATACATTTTAAAAAATAAAACCCCGATGGGGTGATTGTTGGTTACATCTTATTATTACACCAAATAAAAAAAATATTTCCAAAAATTTTGATTTTTGGTATTCCAAACTTAAAAATACGATTTTTGACGATAACTTCTAAGGGAAGTTTGAGTGACTTTTTTTTAAAAGTGCCATCAAATTAAGCATACAAAGACGCATTGTGAAAAAAGTTTTAGAAGCTAAACTGAATGTATGCTAAAACTACAACCGCTGGCTTCACATTCCCAGAATAGTTTTATGCAATTTTTCTTGTATCCTTAATGTCACTGTTATCGCGCAACCCTCCTTTGCTTACTCCATCAGGCTACTGATTATCTATGATTGCCAATTTATTTTCTATTTTCTTACACCACTAATCCTAATTTGAACCAACTTGAACTTTTCGTCTCAAATTATACTTAGACCTCTGTGTTCTGTTAATTATATACACGTCGTACTGAAATATTTTTATCACCAACATATATTGTCATTTAGCGCCTGAGATGCTATGTGACGAGCCCGCGTACCCATACTCAGATATCTGGTCGCTTGGAGTAATCGCGTACACCCTGTTATCCGGCATGTCGCCATTCCGGGGTGCTAATGACATCGAGACCAGGCAGAATATCACGTTTGTCAGATACAGGTTCGAATACCTGTACAAGGACCTGTCGCAGGAGGCCACCAGGTTCCTAATGTTGTTGTTCAAGAGGACGCCCACGTACGTATATCCAATTTCGTAAATTTCGCTATAAATTATAATACAACCGACCTGACGAGACGGCGTAGCGAAAGTCTTACTTTTTTCTTATACGCGAATGTTCAAAACGTGGCATACTAAATAGCTAACCACGTGCTATGACTGGGATATGTTTTTAAAAAATAATTTTCCATGTGGTTTTTATTTTTATTTTATAGAAAACGGCCGTCAGCAGAAGAATGCCACGAACATAGATGGCTGTTGCCAACGGAATACATGATTAAGAAAAGAGAAAAGACCATGTTTAATTCATATAAATTACAGGTGAATGTTTTTATTAAAAATCATATTCATGTACTTAATTTTGCATTATTAATGTGTTGGTTAATTTATACTATTATTTATTTATACTAAAATTATACTATTTACACGCTGGTTCAATTTTAAAATCTTTTTAACCAGTTATGTTGCAATTTATGAAAAAAAAAAATATATTATATTACCTATACATATTAATTTATTAATTAGGTATTAATATATTTTTCATAGATTAATTAAAATTTGCAAGCTGATTTAAAAATATTTAAGGGAAGACATAAATAATTTGTAGCTATTGTTGTCTCCGCTTTAGGATGTAACCACAAAACGTACTAATCATCTACTTTCTAAATTATTCTGTTTAGCATTTTGCCAAGGAGTATCATGAAAACAGGACCAAATTAGCAACTTCTTCACAAAAGTTGTTAGGCGCCTTAGGAACACGGCAAATTGGACTTGGTCGATCAAATAGTGTAGTTGATGAACTGCTCATCTTCAAATAAATGTAGCAGTAAAGACGAATTACCATTTAAATATAAAATTAATTTTAAATCTGTTGTTATATCAAAAACATTACAATATTGTTACTTATAACTAATGTAATTGTATATGTTTTATTGATTAAATTATTGTTAATTTAAAATTTAAATAGTGATTTATTTCAAAAATATCCATGCAAAAAAAAAAATAATAATAATAATAACATATTATACAGTATATATTGTACATACACATTAGGCCATTAGGATGTTTCAGAATTTTTTTTTTATCAGATGTTCTACTTCTCTTGATATTGTGTTTTTTAAAGTTTAATAATCTTTTCCAATTTCTATTAGATTTGTTAATGTCGCGGGCATCGTTTTTAAAAAAAGTTAAGGTTTTTTGTTTTTATTTTTTATATGTGTTGATGATAATTTTTAAGGAAAAATCATTAGATTAAAAATTATCAGAAAAAAAAACAAACATACTAATATTTTTTTCAAAATAATCTAAATTGTACGGATTTATATTCTCTTATAATCCACAAAAAAGCGTTTTAAAACATCTAAAAATCACTGAAAAAAAGCACTTATAAATATTGAAAAAAGCAAAAATGTAGAAGAGTTCAAAAGCAGATTTATCTTATAAAACATTTTCAAACACCACAAAACTTTTAGTAAAAATTAATTAATTATACGTACAATTTTATTTAAAAGAACTTATTTTGTGTGAATCATTTTTGTAATGTTAGGAATAAGCTGAATTTAAATAAGTTAAATTCACTTAAAAAAGGAGTTTTGAACTCCTCTATTATTTTTGCTTTTTTCAATATTTGTAAGTGTTTTTTTTAATGTTTTAAAGCACCTTTTTGTGGATTATAAGAGAATATAAATTCTTTCTCTAATGATGAGTAAAATTAGTGAAAGGAAATTAACTTATTGCCTAGTACAACATTTTAACAAAAAGATGGATGAAAATGCGGTCAGTTTACAATTAAAATTAATCATTTTGCATAATTTTTTTTGCCTGCACGTGACAGAAAAAACATATTCTATATGCAACATAATTTTTCTGGTCTGCATTAAAAAAAAATTCTGAATTTTTCAATATTGAACCTTTATTTTTTCTTCATATTTATTCCATAATAATATTGTTATATATAATTTATTTTAATTTTGTATTAACTCAGTTGTGTATATTTACTATGTACCTACAATCTACACACACCATACTTTACTGTAAAATGACTAGGTAGTCTTGTTAACTATAAAACAAATAATTGTAAAAATAATTTTATTTGAGTGTAACTCACTATACAAATATAACCATTCTCGCGGTAACTAAATGAAGAATAATTTTAAAATATTTAAGTATGGTTAAAAAGAATTGATTTATCAAAATTATCCAAAATTTTACTTTTAAAGGTTTAAACAAGAGGTAAAATTTAGATTATTTAATTTGAAAAAAATATTATAATACATTTTTATCTTCTGATAATTTTTGATCTAATGATCTCTCTTTAAAATTATTATTTACACACATAAGAAAACAATATTTTTAATTCAACTATAATTATTTCTTAAATATACTTATGTTTTCAAACAAATTTCTAATAAAAAAAACTGTCCGGCAATGCCTGGTTAAAGCTGCTAGTATACAATAAAGATATAATCATGTGTATCCCACAAGCAATGCAATTGTCAATAACATGACTTATTTAGTTTAACTGTAATTAGAATAAAATACTTAAAGATATTGCATAGTTTTCATAATTTCATATTACAATCATATTTTCTATAAAATACTTATATTTTCAAAAAATAACTCCCATAAAACTTGGTAATCTTATATTCTAAAATATTACATTATCTTTATTTTTTCACCTTTGTTTTTAGATGTGAAACCACTACCCACTGTTAATTTTTAAGTGGCAACCTATATTTTAAAATTCCATTAATAGATGGAGTTTTAATTTTAATAGAAGTTTTAATTTAAATAAATTTAAGTGTTGTAATTTTTAAATTCTGTTAACCCGTTGAAAAAATATTCCATTTTTAGAATAGTGAAGCATCATTTATGTGGCGACACAGTATGCAGCATTTGAATAATATTCCACTACTTTATCTTTGAGCACAAACATATTATTTATTTAGTTAAAATTTACTATTAAAGACTAGATTTATATACTCTTAAAATCCACAAAAAAGCACCCAAAAATATAAAAAAAATTTAAAAAACAAAAATGATAGAGGGGTTTAAACCTCATTCCTCTAATGTCTAATGGCTCCAACACTTTAAACTGAATTATTCAACAATATAAAAATGATTAACACAAAGTATTTTTTTTACTAAAAAATTGTGCATATTATAATTTTTCTAATAAACTATGAGTCTATAATTTTATTTTTTAAATTTTAACCTTTTAAAACTAGCTACCACATTCAAAAACAAAAGATAATTCTATAGTACATGATTGAATATATATTTAAAAAAGTATTAAAAACTGATAGATTCATAAAACATAAATCATATGTGATAATTGTGTTTATTGCATTAATTTATGCACCTCATGATTCATACACATTTTTGTAATTCAAATACTAAAACTAAAATCAATAAACCTGTAATTTTGTTTTTCTAAACATAATTGAACTCTGGTGTAAGTCACCAGAATCAATGTTGATTCTCGTTTTCAATACTAGATTTTGGATAAAAAGATGTTTTATGGTGATGAACTGGAGGATAAAAATAATCATACGTTTTTTCTAAGCCAATAACAGTAGCTGCCAATCCAAATGCAATTGTGAGTCCATTTTTACCACGGAACCAACATTTAAAATATTGTTCATAACGGTTTCTGGTTTGAGGTGGATATCTCCATACTTCATTTCTGTAATAATTACAAATATTTCAATATTTATAATTATAGAAATATAACCGTTATAGTAGAAAAGTAAAATAGTAGGTAACCCCAATAGTTAAATTTTTTTTATCAAAATTTAACAGTTAACCACAACTCATATACAGATGTATAATATTATGTGTACATTAATATTTCAATTATTGATACTGTTTAAGTTAAAATTATTTAGTATCGACTATCAACATGCAGGGTTAAACAGTACCTAAGTTACAATTTTAGCTTGCATCACAATATCATGATAGTGTTCTAGAAAGAGAACTATTGCAGTTTACAACCATATAATTATTTAAATTATTTATTTCAAAACCTAGATAAATCATCATTTTAAAAATTATAGCAAAATTATAACAAAAATTTGTACTTATCATTAGTTTCGAAGTTATAGTCAAGTTTGTTGTTTTTATGGATATAGTATATGTTGTTATACTTATTCAGAATGTTTTAATTGAAAATAAATCCTGATTTGTTAGCAAAACCATGTAGGAACTGGAAAGCAACAGGAAATATTGAAAAAAAATATAATCGAGATATGGATTCAAATTTGAGAGTTCTGGAATGATAACAGGTACACATCATCACTAGACTGCGACAACCAAGGTCCAAGGAATTAGAATATTGAATTATTTAGTATATCATACATAATATTTATAAAATGATAAACTTAAAAACTAATGACCATAGCTAATTTTCGTTTGCACCATCATTTTTAAAATATTGTTCACCTAGGTTTTGAAAAAAAAATTTAAAAATCACATGGCAACTAAATTACAATTATATCAAAATGTCAAAAAGTGAGAATTTTAATTTTTAGATTTTTAACACTTTTCAAGCTTTTGAGTAATTAAGACAAAATATTAATATGTATATTTTCACGGGAAATTATAAAATGGATATTCTGATTGTAGAATATTAATAAAGTAAGAGGGAAAAGGAAAGAAGATAGGGGTGTTTTTTCTGTATTTTAATTTATTTTTTTCAAGTCAACTTATACTTACAGGCAATATAATATAAATAAATGGTAATTTTGTTTTATTAAAAATAATTTTACCTTAACCACGGATCTTTCAGTCCTTCAGAAGCTAGAATGTTCTTCACCTTCACAAGGTCTGGAACATCATCGACTTTATATATTCTGTAATCCGGTATTTTGATTTCGGATTCGTGATGACCACCCATCGCTGTGAAGTTGAAAAATATATTCTTTATAGAATATTGGTTAAACTTAATATGAATTATACAATATATAGATTCCTTTTAAAGTAATACTTACTGTTTTAAAAATACCGAAACAATATCCTAAAAATTATTCGCAAATAAATTTTCTGTGAAGGATATCAAAATTAGTTTATCGTTAGCGAACACATTTGATAACAGAAACGAACAGCTGATATTTTTCAAAGACGATTTAACAAGTAATATTCGTGATAAGAATACAAAGTATTATTCAGTTAACAAAAACGATAATTAAAAAAACAGTACACAAACATTCTTATCTAAGGCGTGAACTCAACAAGTTACAAGTTAAAAGAAGGAACAAACATCAAATTTTGAATATATCTTCTTTTGGTATTATTCGTTAGTTTCAGTATCTATTATAATTATCCATTCGAGATTACTTGAAATTCAATATTTTAAATACTTATACAACTGATTAAAAAATTATAATAATTTACAATGAGTTCTGACAGAATCGACTACCCAAAAGCGTCTAGTAAGTTATGTTGTACAATGTTTATACGTAGGTTTTGATTTTACAGTAATATCTCCAAAATTTGGACACCCATTTTATTATTATTATTTAAATGGTTTATTATTATATTTACAATTTGTACTAGGGCGTATAACGAGTAATATTTTTTACTGTGTATAATATAAAAGGACGGTGAGAGACTTGAAGACGCTTCACATTAGAAACGCCTGAACATGTATGCTTCACTTAATAGAGATATGCGTCAAAGATTAGGTAGGTCTCTTGGCCATTTGCGTTTTAAACGTTTTACTGGGTTTCCTGGATGATGATTAGAATAAAGTTGAACAATTCGGCTATTAGGGTGATGTTCCGTTTTGGATTGAAGGCGTGTGTAAATTATGGTAGCTATTTGATTGATAGTAGTGATTTTTAGTTCATTGTGTTGTCTGACATTGGTAACGTACCAAGGAGCGTTGATAGTCATTCGTAGGCAAATGGCTTGTAAAGCCTGGATGGTTCTGGTATTTGCTGGTTTGGCCGAACCCCAGAGGGCGATTTCATAGGAAATTTCATAGGTTGAAATAGACATTTGTACAATATACGATATATTTGTACAGTATACGGTTAGAAGTGTGCATTCTTAATTTGAGGAGTGCACTTAGAATATGTAGGCAGCTGTTCAGTTGTTTGCGTTTGTTTTGAGTGGTGGACCCCAAGTGAGTCTTTTTTCAAACAGTAGACCAAGGTATTTCACTTCTCTTGTCTGCGGGATGACGACGTTAGTAAACGTTATGGGGGGACAGTCTCCCAAGCGGAGGGCAAATGTGACATGAGCCAATTTGGAGTCGTTGATTTTAATTTTCCACGAACTGAACCAATGGGATAGGTTGTTCGGGTGGTTTTTTTAGTTGAAGCCTCCAACTTGGAGGTTTGCTTCATGGTGGCTGGATGATAGTACTGCGGTGTCGTCGGCATAGATCCCGATAAAGGCGGTGTCAGAGGTTGGGATATCTGCTGTAAATAGTGTATAGAGAAAAGGAGCGATGTCATGATCTTGAGGGACTCCGACTGAGATTAATTGTGAGTTAGGGAATGTTGTTTTTAATTTGAGTTTAAATCTTCTGTCATTTGGGAAGTAAATATTTTTTTTGAAATTTTTCTTGAGTTTGAATAACAAGCCGTCATGCCACACGGTGTCGAATGCTTGTGCTACGTCTAGGAAAAGATCTGAGCAGTATTTTTTTTCTATTTCGAGTGTTGTGGCGATGTAGATAGTCTACTACTCTGTGTGATTATTGGAACGTTGGTGTTTTGCACGGAAGTCAAATTGAAATTCGGAAAGTACATTTTGTTTAAGGGCGATAGCAGTGAGTCTCTTGAGAAGTATTATTATTCTAAGGAACAAATGCGCTTTACCACGCCCCTCACGGATTTCAAATTTTTTTTTTTAATAAGACATGTTTTTCGACACTGATTTTGAAAATATTAAAAGTAATTTGTTTAGAACTATTATTAAACAAGTTACGGCAATAAAACTTCAAAAATGCAGACTGTTTCAATCGAAAATAACCATTGATATTTTGTGCAAAACCACGTCGGATAGGTAAAACAAGGGGAAAACAGATGCATTTTAGGTGTTGGTACATAGAAATCCGGAGAGATCACTACTTGTTCACTCGGAATTTTACATCAACATAACTTCTAAAATATTTATAAATAAAAAACTGATAGCACCATTATTCTCAGCATCAAAAAACAGCAAAAAAAAAATGTTTTTTTTTAAAATTCGAATTTTTTTTTGTAATAATAATAATAAATGGTATCCATAAAAAAAATGTTGAAATTCATGAGGGGCGTGGTAAAGTGCATTTTAGCCTTATTCTGATTGAATATTATGCGAGTTCTATTTAACGAGTAAAGCATACTTATATTAAATTTAAAGTTTTTTTTTTTTTTATTAAAATGTAGTTATTCCTTGTTTTTATTTAGTTGGTAGTTACTAGTAGCATCAATGTTCGAAAGTGTTAAATATTTGTTATAGTTTTGTGAAGTATATGTATTTATTGAATGTTGATAGATTTAAAAGTAAACTACAATACACATTTGTATTGAAATGCCATTGTCTACTTATGCAGAAATCTTAAATTAAAAGAAATATAATCAGTACCTTCCTACCTATCTGCTGTAAAATTTAAATTATTTTTTTTTTTTTTTAAACTTTTATTTAACTATTCTGATGATAATATTGATAATAAAATAATTATGTAAAAACAAAATTATAAAATAGTTAAAACTTGTTAATAAATACATTTAAAAAAAAATTAAATTTAAAAATCATATACGAACAAATACAATTAAATTAAAAAATAATCTTTTTAAATTAAATAGATGTAAAATATTGATGAATTAAAATAAAAATAAGAAACTTATTGACCAGTACAATATTATAGGTCTAGGAAACTTACTAAAAATAATTTTAAATACTTTATATTTACTGTTAGGCATTATTTTTAATTTATATTATTTCATTCTAGAACAAATAAGTGATGCTGGTGTGATTGTTTACATTGGAGGTGTTTTTTTAGTGATTGCATTCTTAAGGTAATGGAAAATGAAAACCTTGAAATTTATTTATTTATTTTATTTTAATATGTTATTTATAGTCCGTATTGGATAGAATCATACGATGAAGCACGCATGGAATTTAAACACATGGGCTTATGGACTTATTGTTTTAATCATTTCCGATATCCTCATTACCAATTTGACAAATTATTTACTGGATGCGGTACAGTATTCAGTGAAGAATATTATGTTATTCGAGAATGGCTATTACCGGGTTAGTAACATTGATTGTTGGTAACTTGACTGCAATTATTCATTATCAATGTTCATTTTTTATAAAGGATGGTTATTATTTTTGGAACTCTGCATGACATTAGCATTATTGTTATCGCTCGGAACATTGGCATTAATTGCTTCCATTTTAACAAGGTATCCTCAACGTCTAGTTCTTAAATACGAATACATGTTATCAGCTGCATGTTTTTTGGCGACTTCAGTATCTGGTTTGTAAAAATAAATGTTTTATAGTTTTTTGTTTGATATGGTTAAGTTTTGACTTTAAACATTAATGTTTGTTTGTTTAGCCACTTTAATATTTGTAAGCTTAATCCTGTTTCCGTTCAATTGCTGGAGACGTGATTGGCTCCAGAACCCAATGTTCAACCACCTTTCTTGGTCATATTATACTGCGGTCTTATCAGGTTTTATACACGTGTATGGTGCATGGTATTTGTACAAGGTTTGTCAATTTAATTTATTTTGTTGATTAAATCACAATTGTTAACAAAACTATTGTTTTTCAGGATGCCCGAATCACTTATGAACAAAGAAGAGAGAGCAAAAACTTAGTTATGCAGATGTATCCTCCTCACGAGCGTAATTTTTATGATCAGTGATCAGATTAATTTTTTTTCAAACCTATGAATTAAGAATAAAAAAAAAAAATATAAAGATACCGTCCTTTATAAATGTAATGATCCGTCCATTTATTGTTTAATTATAGGCTATACTTATTATAAAATATTTAACATGGCATCTAACAAAATATTTTATTAGTATAATAATTGTATTTATTTATATTTTCGAAATATAAATATTGTTTTAAATGTTTCAAGATATTATAGGAATCAATTAAGTGATTTTTTATTATTTTTTTTTTTTATATAATGACTTATAATTATTGCACTAAATATCATTATTTTTAAGACACTGCAAAAAATACAAAAAAAAAATCAAGAACTTGAAATTTGTATAATTCATTGTAAAAAAAGTATTTTAAACACTATTTTATATATATATTTATATTTTTATTGTAACATAAATTATAATTTTATTATGTTTATTGTTAATATATTTATTTATGTTAATATTATAACATTAATGAAAAAAAAAAATATTTTTAATACTGACGATAAGTACAATATACTTGAATTTAAATATTTAACTGAGCTTGTTATTTATTTTAGTTAACATGATTCTAAATAATATTTATTAGAATGAACCTAATAAAGAAAAACAGAAAAGAATGTGTACTGATTGATAATCAATATAATATGATGCACCTCCTTCCTAATTATCAAACGTGTGTCACCAATTATTTTTTTATCATTATTATGAACACATATATTTAAAAATTGATTTGCCAATCAGTTATTAATTAGTGGTTCTAATCTTAAATACCAACAAATCGCTCATTGTTACTTTGACAACAGTATCACTTGTTACTTATTATGGTTATTTTAAAAAATCACTGCAAAATAATTTGTCAACTACATTATATTTAGAAAAATAAATTAATACATAAGTATTACTTTCGTAATTAATACTTAACAAAAAAGGATTAACATCTTTTAATAAAGTATATCAATTAAAATCTAAAATTTATCTTTTGTAAAAGACAATAAAATATAGTAGGTAAACAATAACATTTCAAAATGAGTGAGCAATTTGACACATGAATACTGAGCATAATATGTTTTGTTTTTTCTATTATGTAATTAAGTAATGTATAACATTATGAATAGTGTTTTTGATTGGTATACATCAAATATTGCTCACACAATATATAGTATTGTATCTCATCATATGTGTCAAAAATATTTATTTTTTACTTTGTGTGCATTAAATCAAAAACACTACCGCTGAATCGAAGCGGTCATGTCATTAAAATAAACATGACTTATCAAAAATATATTTGCATGACATTATTATATAAAAAATAAAAAATAATTATTGTACAGAAGTAACTAACATAAAAATAATTGTGAGACCTAACCAAATTTAGTTTTATTTTTCCAGGTATTATACAACATTGAAAAAGGTGATAGTTATAATAACAAGCAAAATATTAAGTACTTGAATTTAATGTAAAAAATATAATATTAAAATAATATGTATATAATAGTGCCTAATAAAACTATGTTAGATATGTAAAAAAACGGATAAGATAAAAATATTGCTTGGCAAGAACACTTGAAATATTTTTTAATATGTTAACTGATTATAATATAAATTGTAATGACAATCATGTTATTGTAATTGAACAAATGATATTTTTGAAAATTTATGAGTGGTGAAAAAAATTAATCTATAGAAAATACTATATTTCTCTTAAGTAAAAGATTCCTTAAGTCAAATATATAGACCATTTAAAATAAAAATTATCGCTTTCGATGTTACTAAACAAAATAATATTTGATTATTAATTTTTGTTTTAATGTAAATATTCTATAGACACAATATAATAACAACAAATATATTACACATGAATATAATATATAATAATATAATATGTTTGCTTAAAAGAATAATTATAAATCACCTTATAAAATAACAAAATATTATTTTAAAAAAAAAAAGTATGTAGTAACATATTTAATACGTTTTCAGTGCAGCCGATATATTCAATACTGTTTGAAGGGTATAAATGTTGTAGACTAAGTTCAAAGGCAAATCTACTAGCTAAATGTCCAAACAGTTCACCCAAAGAATGTCCAGTGATGTTGGACAATCTATGAAATATACTATACTGTTTGCCTGCCTAGAATTAGAAGATAAATTATCTGAAAAACTGAGAAATTACAAGAAATAGTGTACAACAATAACCAAACAAAGCAATAAAAAAAAAAGTATACTTCGGTCAGCAAAATGTCATTGGGCACTATATAAATTGCCAGAAAATTGCGAATCTACTGTATTTGCATTTAACTCTGAGTAATATTTAAAAGTTAAAATACATTTATTTAAGTCCTATGTGTATTTTGACGTGAAACTTTTTTTTTAATATTATAAAATATGATTATTTACCAACAAAAATAAACCAAATGTTTATAATCTGCGACAACATACAATTATTACTAACACAAACCATTTTTTTTTCTTTTTTTTAAATAAAAAATAATTATAATTTGTATGAAATATAAACAAAATACTTCCAAAAATTACAAAATAATAACAATAGTTTTAAAATATTAATTTAAGAAAGCACTTTTACGTACTTTAAAAAATCATTATCACTGAAATGTTCACATTCACAAAATAACCTATGTATAAAAAAAAAAAAATCATATACTAATGAAATAAATGTAAAATATGAGAATATTATTTACTATTCAGTATATAAAAATAGTTGATTAAAATAATTTTATTTTCTATATTAAATAATGAATGTTTACAATCACATTTGTTATTTAAGGTACACAAGGCACTATAGGTTTGAATACTGTTTTAAAATAAGTATGCAATATATGGTTTAATAAATGTAGGCAGAATGCAAATTGTCGTAATGACTAGTTTTGTATTCTACTCATACATAGACTTATTACTAATATCGAAAATACTGATGTCAGGAAAACTATTATATTAATTTGAGGGTTTCTTAAATTTTTAACAAATGTTTACATTTATTGGGTTTAATATTTAAAAATAAATTTGTTCAAAATTTGTATCTAGTATTAAGAAAAAGTATGTTAGATGTATAAGTCACAAAATTCAGATCCTGCATAAATATTTGCAATTGATAAAATAAATCGATGCTATTTAAATATTTCATATTTTTTTTTTTACCATTTATAGAATAAACTGAAAAGTTAAAACATAAGCTGAATAATGGTACGAAGTAGTATAATAATTTTCCAAACATTACTTAACCTGACATTATAATTTTATTTTTAAAAATAAGTATTTTTAATGAACTGGCAATGTATTATACATACATAAATTAATATATGTATAATTTCAAAACAATCATTTGCTAGACGTTGTTAACTACCCTGGTGAAAAGTTGAACCCAATAATAATAATAATAATAATAATAATAATAATAATAATAATAATAAAATAATATTAAAACAAATATAAATTTAAAATTTTCTATAAAAAAAAATATTGCAATCGTAAACAAGCGACATAAAAATGTTTTTCTAACAAATTTATAAAATCACAATACTAACATCTTAATTACACATACCATTAGTATTCCTTTATGGAATGATTATTATAATTAGTTCTAATGTTATAGTCATATCACATGTGATCATTGGAGGGGTAATGTTTCTGTAACATAGCTTTGCATTTGGTAGAAGGTAACTTCTGTAGTTTTTATATATAATTCAGAATTTACATCAATCCACTCCAGCGAAACCTTGAGAGCCTTCAATTGCTTTAATTAATTTGTTTCTCAATTCCTGGTAGCTTTCATAAGGTGGAAGGTCTAACCTGTTAAAACTATACAAAAATAAAAAATATAATTAATCATTGTAGTATTCAATTGACAGTCAAACTATACAAATTATTACCAGGTATGAGCCCTAGGATAATTTTCTATAGTACCCCATCGTTCAATTGTAAATAATTGTGGCCCATTACTTCCATATAACTCCTTAAAACCATTCATTGGAACTCTGGATGTACCTGTTACAAACTGCAAAAGTCTTGATCTCATCTCGTTGTTGAATGACAAAACTCCCTACAACAAAAATATTAAATATTATAATACTGATAAAATAATATTATTTTGTTATTATTTATTGACAAAAAAAAAAAATTTGTGACCATGAACATTACAATGTTATCCAGTCTACGTGTACAATTTCCAAGTATATTTTGAATATTTAAGACCATTGATTCATAACTATCTAGTATCATAACATATTTCGTGAGTCTTTATAAATTGGTCAAAAAAGCTATTGGCAATGGGTGCCATATTGACGAGATACGAAAAAAAATTTACTCATATATAATCCAATAATTAATAAATATTAATATTTAAACCAAAACTAAGAGACTTTTACACAGTCTGCATAAAGTAAATCATACTACATTGTCCATTAGTTGGACTGAGAAAGTACATGCAGGTATAACATTCTCTTAAAGTCCTCTACACATGGAGCTACTCAAAAGAAACTTGTTCATGATTTAAATTAGTTATCGATAGTTTATTCTATTGACTGTTTGGTTATGAAGTAAGACCTGCATCAGTATTTTTCAACACCATGGATGATTCTAGTGATGAAGAAATGTTAACTGCATATTACTATTACCATAACTAAATAAATAGAAGAAGAAAGGTTCATCTATATATCGAAATACATTTTTAGTAAATTTATATAGAATGGAATGTTTCTCTACTTCTACTAACTTTATGTTAGTTATTTATTGGTTCATCTTTTTATTTTTCTTAATAGAAGAAAATCAGAAAAAATAAGATTTTAAAAATACACATAATTTTACGAGAGTACATGACGCAATTCGGAAGTGACTCGACAGTTGGATCACTTGGAACTGATCACTAACGCGTTAATAACTGATTAATACCAGTAGCACTATCTGTTGTGTTCCATTGAATAACATACATTATGATTCAAAGCTTGCTAATTAGTAATTTGCGTCAATAATTAGTTTCTAATGAATAGCTCTGTGTCTTACACGGCCTAAGTGATAATAGTAATATTATTATAAAATGTACATACCCTCCAAAACCATTGAATGACAATATTATTGGGTGAGTAATCCCCTTTATAATGAGTATTTTCTTTCCAGTCTTTAACGTCAATATTCTGAATACCACACATTAAAAGTTCCATTTCATTTTCATCAAATATTTTAATATAACTTAAAGGCACTATGGAACCAAAACCCTGTAGGAAAGCATTCATTTGTTCTTGTATACGGGATACAAATCTCCATTGAATCACTAAACTAAATGGAACAAATTGTGAAAAATATTTTTTTTAATCAAAGAAATAATCTATTTAAACTAACTAACCTGATGTATTCATCTTTGTTTTCTTGAGTTAAGTGAATATTTGCACCATCTGGTTTCAATTCTCTATGTGAAGTATGTCCCAGAATATCCTCATCAAGAGAAAATGTCAAATCTAGTTCGGAAGGATCATTTTCTTTTATCCATAAAAGTGAATTATAATATTCTGAGTCAACACTTTCCATATCTTTTAACTCAATTGATTTTTCCAACATCATTTTATAAAACGGACGGATGAAGAATGCTACACAAATTAATTATATTAATAAAATATTATACTATTTATTATATTGTACATATATATACAAGGTGTCACAAGGAGGTATACCCATTGTGGTATCTCTAAAAATGGTTGGAAATTGAAAATTTCAACAGTAAAATGTATTTAATTCAAAATTATCTATTTCAGAAATGTTTAATATAATTGTCATTTGAAAATCAAAAGTATGTAGTAGTTACAATTCCAAAAAAGGGTGAGATTTGTTTTTAAAGAAATGTAACATTTTAGAGCTACTTGTTTTCAAATTGTCAATAAAAAATACTGAAAACAATTTTTACTTTCCAAGATATCTTTATGAAACACCCATATAATACACTACTAATTTATCAAACACTTAAAAATGCATGTAATAATTACCATCTAAAAGTTTTCCATGATAAACAGCCATTCCAGCAACAGTTCCAATAAATTTAAAATAGTGAAGATGTTCTTCATTACATAATCCTGACATTGCATTAATTTGTAGTGTGTAATTGTCCATAGCAGAATATTCAAAAAGGCCATAATATGGATTGAACATTTCTTTAGACAACAAGAAAAACCATTCTCTTGCTAGACCACCATAATCAAGGCCTACCTCTTGTTCAAATTCAACCCACAGTTTTGCTCTTAATTTGTCTGGATGCATTGAATTAATAATACGGAAAGAATCTTCAAGAATATTAGATCGTCGTACTTTAATCTCCATTTTAGCTGGTGGTCCATGAGCCTAATAAAAATAATATTTTAATTTTTTTATAAAACGATCAAAAAAATCAAGTTTTATTTACCATTTTACTCAATCTTGTTTTGAGAGACTCATACTTTCTTTTGTAATCACGTGAATAAGGCAGAGCCTTTAAATAAAAAAAATATGTTTATTTTATATTATTAGTCTTATGAACTACAGTTAAAATTGTGTAGAAAATAATCAACTTACAGGACCCGCAATATTAGGATTGTTTAACCTTGGATCTTCCCATTGAGTTGTCCTTGTATCTATATATTATATATATATATATAAAAAAAACAATTAATATACATTTTATTTTTTCTATTATTTATGTTAATTTATTATTATTTAATGTTTTTAATAATACTAAATTTGTAAAAATGTATTTACTTACTATGATCAATGAAAAATATTCTTCCATCTGCATGAACTCTTTCTTCCCACCCCTCGGGTAAAGGTTCCAATTCATCATTGTAAGCAGATGTAGATACTATACGATCTGCTGCAGGTGGTTGACTTTGATTAGGCATTGAACTTGCCCTACCTGTTCTAGGATCTACCCAAGTAGTGGCTCTAGTATTATGATCAATAAAAAAGGTTCGACCATTAGGGGCAACTTGCATTGACCACCCTTTTGGTAAACCTTCAGATCCTTCAAGAATGTTACCTTGAACAGCAGTAGTACTACTTTGTTCATTATTGGAATCTACCTGATCACCCTTAAACAAATTTAAAAATACAATTTATTATTAATGAAAACAATTTATCACTAAAAATTAAATCAACTATATAAATGACTGTAAAGTATAATTTAAATAAAATCAAATAACTATTGTTCAACTAATTAAGCAATAACCCGTGGCACAAGGAAAAATGTTAGTGAAAAAAATGTGAGTAGGTTACAAAATAGTAAATAAAACATCAAACCGTTTACCCTTTTCAAAGTATTTTAGTTGTAAAAATATTTATTTATTGTTTTAAGATGCTAAGATATATAGATAAATATAGATAAATAAAGATTTCTGTTAAATTAAATCATTAATGTTTAACTCCCTCCCCCAGGTTGAATCACTGGAAACAATCCAAAAACGAATCATACCTGATTCAGGTGATCAGCTGTTACAGATACACTGGAAAGCCTTCGATCAATGTTAGTAAGTGGATCTGACTCTTCATATCCTTCGTCACTTTCATCATCTGCATCACTTTGAACAGCCTTTTAACATGCAATATATACATTGGCAACATATAATAGCATGCATTTTGAGTACACAGTAAAAAAAATAAATGACTGAAAAATTAATAATACCTTTGAAATATATATGATTTCTCAAGATTCTGATCCCTCCCAATTAATGTGCATGTATCATCAAAATGTAAAGCTATAGTAAAAACTGCCTAAATGTGATCTACATAATTTGAGAATAATATGGGGATCCCGGGTATGTGAAGACAATGTGATGGATTGGGTCAAGTAGAAGACAAGGGTGACTGACCACCAAATAGTTGGGATTAAGAGGAAGAAGATGGCTTCTCAGAACAATGGCCGATTTTTTCCACCCTCAAATTATTTTATCATGTTTAATGTTAATTAGTATTAATGATTGTATAAATATTTTTTTGGCAAAATTTAAATATAAAAAAAAAATAATAATAATAATAAGGTACACTATAAAACATATGGAAGCTAACCAACTTAATTTGATTTAAATGTATTGGTTTTATAATGGTTTTTTTTTATGCTGAATACAAAAATTTTATTAAAATTTTTCCTGAGGTAAGTACTACCTCAGATATGTCATTTTTCCTATCAATTTTCAAAATAATTGGAAAAACTGGAAAAAAACGTAAGAAATATTGGAAAATTTACTAAAATATTTTCAATTTTGTTATTTTGTTGTTATTCAGTTAAACATATTTGTAGACTTGAAGTTTGGACAGAAACATTATATTTTCCTTTTCTAAATGTGGTAAAATTTTCAAAATATTTCAGCCATTTTTGAGCTTTTAATACACATTTTAATTTTGAGAAGTTTTACTGTAATATTTATCTGGTAGGTAGTCTGTGGATAAAATTGTTAGTCTGAACAGAAATGCTTGAAAATTAAACAAGAGGTTCATTTTAAGTTGTACATAGGGGCATAAATTAATAACCAAATTTTAACTGTTTAACTAACAAATGTATAAATATCTACATATTTAAAGGTTATTTTTCAACAAAACTTGATACGTTAAATACATTAGACCTAAATTATTCGTAATCTTTATTATCATACAGATAAAAATCATACAAGTTTTATTATATATTTGTATTTTATTAAATTATTGTTTTTTATTGTATTTACAATCAATAAATACAAGAGTGAATTTTTAGAAAACATGCTAATTAATTATTAATAAAAATAAATATCAATATTAATCATAGACCTGTTAACATAGTATGTTAAAATAAGTCTATGATATTAATATTTTTTTACCTTTTTCCTAGAAGGATCACCTTTATCAGTTTCTGGAGTATCTACACTGATATGATATCTTCTTTCAAATTCTGTAGCGGCTAATGCCAAATTTTGAATGGTATTCACATCAGTTTGATCACTAAATAAATAAAATATTATATTATATACATATCATTTGAATTTATAAATATATTTTTTTTAATAATAAGCTTGTATTTATAAAATTAAACATTTATTTTAGATTTTAATTCTATTTACATTTTAAATGACAAATTAATTTTAACTCTGAAAAAACACTTATTAATGCATACAAAGTTATTAAACTATTGATAATTTTAAACTCACGTTACTGTTGGTCTTTCCCATTGAGTAGACCTTGCTAAATGATTTACATAATAAGTTCTTCCATTGGCATCTTGTCGTTCTTCCCAGCCAGAAGGCAAAGCTCCTTGTGGTTCAATTGCATTTGGAACATAGGACTACAGGAAAATAATTAAATTCTAAACATTTAACAATTCTACTGTAATCAATAATTTCTTACTGAAGGCGTGTGAGATATATTTAAAACTTCAGCATTTTCAATCATTTCCCATTCACCATCTGCAGATAGACGACCAGAAGTTCCTGGTTCTTGTTCCAGAACAAAAGCAAGATACAATTCAAGGTAGCCCTTTACTCTTGATCTTGCACTAAATTATTTTAATTAATATTTCAATTTTAAATTTAAATTTAAAATATAATTATGATATTCATAATAAATTTCAAATAATTCAAACCTTCTGGGTTTCAGTACATATTTTACACTGCCTATATTTCTGCCAATTATTTCTTTGGGAACATTATGTAATGGTACCTCAACCATCCCAAGAAAATCGTCTCTTGTTAGACGATTTTCATCAAACACTTGCAAGACTAATTTATGTTCATGAGGACGAACCTACAAATAAAATAACATATTCGTCAACATTGATGCCAAAAAATGTATGCAGAGGTAATATTTTGATCATGAATATTAATAATATATTATGCTATTATATATATTTTAATTTATAATAATACATTTTATGCTATTGTTATTCTAAACATAAATGTATATTTTATTCAATAACATTAATTCCAATAATTTTGAATCACTTTGTTTAAGAGACTAGGTTTCAATTTTCCACATTTTGTAATATTTAAATATTTCAATAATCACCTAACGATACAAATTTTCAATTCGTTTTTGGCAATAATTTATATTTCGTTTGATGTTTAAAATAAAGTACAAGATAAATATGCAACAAGTAGTATTTGTATACATATTTCTTGTTCGTTTCACTTTTTTATATTTATTAAATTTGCATAATTTTTAAATATAAAGTAAGTACTTCTTTTAATCTTGAATTAGAAAAAATTACGTAGAGTCAAAATTAATTTCAGTATTATTCATCATCTAATTAAAACAATTTATTCAAGTGAATATATATTAAATCTTTATTTTTAAAGTTTTGCAATATAATTTATGATTATTAAGTACATATTTTAAATAAAACTAATACAAATATTATAAATTCATTTTTTAATAGTCAAAAATCTTTATTAATTATCTTATAAAGTCAATCAACAAAGCTAGTTTAAATTTAATAAAACTTAAGTTCAAAAATCTTACCCGAAAAACAAACTCTTCATTCCAAACTGGATTTAAAGTCTGAAAATTAAAAAAAATTTAGTTTTACAAATGTAATACTTCTAAATTGTAAAATAAAACAATGAAATAAACTAGCAAAATAAATTTAAAAATATTGTTAAATAGTTTAACCTATATTAACCTATTGTCTTATGTTTCGATTTCACCCCTCTAATGTATACATAAAATAATTAATAAGCTTAAAATGTAAAATTCCGCACTCAATTTTAGAAAATCAAAAACTTTTTGGGGAGCTGATGACTACGAGTAACTTTTCTCATAAACAAATTGTTTTCTGAATTCATATCACTGGTTAATTGGAAAAAATTACAAGTAAAAATGTTATTTTTCAATCCTTTTATAATGTTTAAACAACAAATCAATAAACAATATAAACACTTAAAATCTCATAAAACAATTTATACTATTTTTGTAATTCTAAATCATGACATTCAGTTAAAAACAAAACAATAAATAGTAATTATAAATATCTTATAAAATTAAAAAAAATAAATCAATTTTATTAAGCACTTTGTTATCTAAAAGCAATTATTATTACATTCGAATAAAAGCTATTAACAAATTATGTTCATTAATTTTTAAATAGAATTATGCATCTTAAAGTTACTTTAATACATAAGGCATACGTTTATAATTTTATAAATGTGATAAAAAATGCATTTACTAAAAGAACTAGTTACCAATTCCCATGTATGTATATTTCAACAAATATTTGATCGGAAATATTTTCCAATTAAGAAGTCACATTGAGAATTGAAAATTCTAGAAAGAGTCCATGAATACCAAATTTAATTGTATTATGTAATGAAAAATTTAATACACAAGATAGTGTTACACAAAATTATAATTAGTTATTTTGCAAACAATCATGTATTTTTCAGATAATTACTTTCATTAAATCATAGTAGCATTATTAATTAGATTAGAACTTTTTTAAATGTACTTTTAATAAACATAGTATACACAACCGGAAATTAGTTTTAACAGTTATATTTAAGAAAAAAATATTATGCAATCAATATAAAAATAAATACTATATTTACCTTTTTTTTAGTTTTAGTTAAAACAGAATCTATTGCAACATTTCCAACAATAGTATTTAAGTCAATTCTTACATAAGGATCGCTATAAAAGAATTATAAATTAAAATAAAATATTATTAAATTAAACAAAATATAAAAGAGGTAAATATCTACCTTGCGCCAAAAATATCTTTTTTTGCGAGTGAATGACCAGCAACTATCCGTAATCTTAGTAATGGATCTTGATTCTAAATTAGAATTAAATAATTATAAATTCTATACTAAACCGTAAATATATTATTATATTATTGTTTATTTCTTTGGAAAGATAACAAATGTGGGGGCCCTATGTATGTATTTTGCATTAAAGTCTTAAATACACTTACCTATATATACTTTCTTTATACAATTCATAAGTTTTAATTAATATTAATTTTGAAAAAAAAGTATTATTATAAAATTGTTTAATTGTTTAATTGTACCTTATAGGTATCTATAAAATGACCTTGTCTTATATTTAAATAGATAAATATGGTTTTCAGTGGTTTTAATACATAACTAATCAACCAATAGATATAAACTAATGGTTAAAAAAGCTAATACATAAATGTAAATATTTCAAACTTAAATTTAGTGATTTTATTTATCATATTGTAACATTAACTATTTTAATGTTAATTACTTAGATATTGAATTAACAGGCACATATATCAAAATTGCACACTATTTATTTTGTTAATAATAAGCTAATATAATTAATAAATATAAAATACAATGCAGTTAAATCATTTTCTCACTATTTCAATGGTAGGTACTATATGTCAGAAATGACAAACCATGGCAAATTTTTTCTGGGCTAAATGCCAAAATTTAAAAAAAAAAACCACGTGTATGATCAAATAAATATTTAGTTTCATTAAATTGATTTTAAAAAACAACAATTCAATTTTAATTTTTGATAACAATTTAAATAACAAATTAGTTACAATTTGTTTTTATAATAACTTTAATATCCTATTTAATCTAGTATTTTATATAGGTACCTAATCTATTTGTTGTTTTTTTAGTAGGTGCTTATCAATGGTTTAAAGTTGTTTTTTGTCAATTTTAATTTTATTCAATTAATTTATAAAACCAAATGAAATTTGTTTACCATTATGCATTTGGTTTATTTAATACTTTGAGCATCCATACTTTAGGCTTACTACTTATTATTTGAATAAATAACACAAGTTAAATAAATTTGAAAACTATTAATTTTATAGCCTTGATGGCATGACTAAATTACTATAAGTGTAATAAAGATAGATTACATTTTTACATCTCTTGTAAGATTGAAAATTGGAAAGTATTCTTATCATGAAAATGTTCATTCAAAAATATTATGATTAGGTTTATGTAGCCATATATAGTTATAGCTTTTATATGAGTACCTAATAACTAATATTACTTAGATACCTACATAAAATAAACTCTAAACGTTTAACCAAATTCAAATTAAGGGATTTAAGAAAGGCCTTGAAACTAACAAAGCTAACACCAGATGTAATACTTTGGGATAAATTGTAAGTCTGAGGACTGAAAACATCAGAATAACATTAATAGCCAGTATGGTTGAATAACCTATGCTCAACGTGTTCAGATGGCCAGGTGGTTTATCAGTTTAACATTGTTTTTTAACAATATGATATTATTGCCTAAGTAATAAATCTACAAGAATGGTGTCCAATAAAATTCCATTCAAACAATATTACAACAAATAATATGAGATATAATTTAACTTTAAAGAAATAAATTATCTATCCCATAAGGAGTAACAAACCTAGTTTTTAAAAAATTGTAAATAGTTGAAATCAAATATGATATACATTAACTGTTTATCGTTTGTTTACAATAGTATATGAATTACATAAGTACCTAGAACATTTGTTTCAAAATATATTTTAAATAAAGATTACTCTTATTAGATAGATATTATATCATTTTTATAAATTATACATTTACATAACTTTTTATAGGTACAATACACATATATACATATACATATTAGGTAAAGGTATATATAGTTTAACTAGGTATACTAGTTATACTTAAAATAAAATTATATAGTTCTTAATAATTTTAAAACTCAATTATAGCAATAATAAACATTTTACTTTAATTAGGTACCTAGTAAATTTCTATCATAGACCTATAAAGATCTTTTTAAGTTATGGTTACTACACTTCAATTTATCTGAATTTGCCTATAATACCTAATCAAATGTAAGAGTTCCAAGCAAGATATGAATATTATTATTTATAAACAAAATTCTATTTTAGAAAATAGGTAGTATTTAAAAACGGATTCAAATTCAAATAGTTAAAAATTCAGTAAAAACAATAATTATTTTCAAATAATAACTCACTGTTAGTGGTGTTTCCATTTTCCAATATCGGTTTAACCTAATATCTTGAGATCACGCTAAAATCACTAGTTAAAAGTTGTAATTTGTATTGATATATTGACGCATATTTGCAATTAACAACTATTATAATATTAGTAGTATGATTATTATTTTACGGAAATATGTGACAATTTAAAGAATAAAATAAAATTGATAGTCTGATATAAAAAACACTGGACAATGACCATTGGACGAGGGTCACCATATGTTTCCCAGGCTCTACAAACCACAAACACAAAAATGTTGTACCTACCTATTCGTTTACCCATGCATAGTTTCAACTATTATATTGTTATGTTCATGGTTTCAACTTAAATATCTATGTAAGTATGTAGGTATAGAAATACAATAATATTGCCATATTGACAATCATATTTTAATTTACTTTGTTTAATATTTTATAAAAAATAAATAAAAACTTTTATTTTATCAGAATTTGGTAGGCACCTTCAGTTATCATAGGAAAATATACCTATCGATAAATTTTAGAATTATTTCTACAGATACATTTTAAATTTAATATTGTCTTGAAAAAATCCAAATGTATTGATTTCATTTGCGTTTACAAAAAAATATTGAGGAGGGGGGGGTTCTTAAGGTTGTACACTTTTATACTCTTATAACAAAGAAGTTTACATAGATACTTTCAATTGTAGGATTATTTATTTTTCATTAAAAAATGTCAATATTTTATGACATTCAGTTTTAGCGTTTTAGGTAAGTACCTATTACTAAATTTTATATTTAATATATTTTTAGTAAATACAGCCTAAATGATAACGTGATTCATATTATTAGTGATGATAATGTAAACTATGCAATATTGCCGTAGCAATTATAATTTTCTAAAAGCAAGAAAACCACAACAAATTAGAAATGCACATGACAATGTAATAACAATATATGCAAAAATTGAATTTATCTTCCTCATTGACAGATACCACTTTTTAGACTTTATTAAAATATACTTAATCATAATTTTCATGGAATTTCGGGGGGAAACTCTGAACCGCCCCTCCCTTGTACACACACCTGAATTTCATTTGGCCGTATAAAATAACATTGTATTCATGTTGAAATAATCTATACATATATTACAAAATAGAGATCCATTTTTTGTATGTACCAACACGCATATCTTGAAAAATACTCGGCGGATTTTAGTAGGCACGGATTTTAATGTTAAATTAATTTTTCAATTTTAAACACCGTGAGGAATATTGGGTTTACTTTAATGTGTGTTTTAGATTCCGAGCGTAGCAAGGGAGCTATTGGTTTTACAATGCTGTTTATTTTTTATTTCTTTGTTCTAGTCTATGGACACATTTTTTTCTAGTAAACTTGCTCCGATTTTTCACCTTTTCTGAAAGATCAAGTTGTTTAGATTGTACTTTAGACAAGTCATTTTTTGATTTTCGACGCCATTTTTTTTAAATAAAAGCACTCAAGTGAGAAAAACGTAGGAAAACATACAATTTCACGATTTCATAATTTCATCCCTCCTCTAATCATTAACTTTATGGCGGTTTCTTGTTCTAAATTTTATCTATAAAAAAGTATTAGTAAATATACTAATTATATAGTTTGTGCATTGAGGAAGTCATTTTTGTATTTGCTTTGTAAATAATTGGGGGAAAAAAAAAACAGAAATATGTACAAAATAACAGTGGTTTATATTATTTTTGATTTTGTTTATTTGTTGTAATCCAGACAATTCACTTTAATATAATTATAATACAGAGATCTTCAATTTTCACTTACTCAAGTATTATTATATTAGCGCTTTCTAGACGTAGTATAATTTTCAAAACATTTTGTAAGTTTTTGAATTATTAATTATGAATATAAAATGTTTACGTTTATTATTAGTTACCTATAAATGTGAATACAATTTTTTTGGTTCAGAAAAATATTTAAATATCTGACACACGATTCATGAAAGGTTATACCACTGATTATACCTACATACTTCAGTGGTAAAAAGTTTGAACGTAGTATTATGTCTTAGATAGTTGGGTATACTAAATTTTTGTTAAACTGGTTTAAGTTTAAAAATTTGATAAAATTAGTTTAAAAAATATTGTGATTTATGACGCAATTGAAAATTATTAAATTTAAATATACCTACCTATCGAAAAATGTTTAACCGAACTCATCTCGGAATCGTATTTTGTATGCAGTGTTTTATCGTTACAAACAATAAAATTATTAAATTACCTGAATTACCACATTATATAAACCTATAGCCTAACTTCCTATCCACAGCAGTGATTTTATTTGGTTCATATTGTCTGAATTACAACAAAAAACAAAATCAAAAATAAATTAAACCGCCGTTATTTAGTAAATATTTCTTTTTTTTCCCCAATTATTAAGAAAATTACAAGGAAAATACAAAAATAACTTCCTCAATGTATAAACTAGATAAAATTTGGAACAAGAAACCGCCCCTGGGGTAAATGATCAGAGGACATTTTTAGTAGTAAAGTATTTCATAGCAAAAATACATCAAAGTAAAACCAATATTCCTTACGGCTCTTTAATAATTGCACGTGCTTAATATTATTTTAATTGTTTTAACCTTAATAAATTATTTGTTTTTTTACTAAATTTTGTATTGTCATTTGTCATTATAACCAAAGCTGAATACAAAATTTCAGTTTGATTGGATAATCAGAAAAGGCATAGACTCAAATAGCCCAAATATTTTGTAGAGGGAGAAACTTAACATTCCATAATATTGATTATGTATACTTAAAATGGTACTATGATATTATGATACTATTGAAACTTAATATTGTACGTAGTACTTGATAAGATCTTCATTTATGGGTGGCTTGATTGAGTTTTGGAGGGGCTAAGCCCCCAAGTCCCCCTATTTACCATTTCCAATAAGTTATTCTGATCGCGCCACTATACTATGTAATACAACCAAAATAACACATATCTACTTATTAAAAAAATATTCAAATTTAAAAAAAAAAAGTGAGTAGATTAGGGTAGGTAATAGGTATTACATACCTAGTAAACACGTGGTGTATTGACGAACAATGCATAAGTAACTTCATAATATTGCGTGACTCACTACTGGGTAATAATTATTAAAAGAATAATCGTATTTATTTATTTAATTGTTTAATACCCGCAAGGGGTAAATATTACAATAATTAAAGTTTAAATATGTACACAAAACAGGCAAATGATATACATTTTCATAATATAAAAAAATTTTTAATTTAGAAATTGGATTATGGTTGAAATGTAAATTTTTATAAGACATTACACGACTCGAACAAACAACATATTGGAATCAGGGTTGAGCAGTATCACAGATCCGTATATCAAAGATACAATTATATATTGTATCTGTATCGTGAATCATGATACATATTTTTAATGTATCATGTATCATGTATCACGATATATTTTATACTAGTACCAATGTATTGCCAAAGATTAAAGATTAAAAATTTGTATCAAGAAATTAAATTTGTACAGGAATTTGATTTCGATTTGTAGGACTCAAAGAACTTAAAATAAATGTAACATTTAAGTAGATCAGCTAATCTAATAAGCAGTGGCGTGTTCAGCTTTTTGCTATGGGGGAGGAGGTGAATTGTATTTTGTTTTGTTAATAGTCATTAATATATATATATATATACATATTTTTAGATTATGAGTGTAGCGAGAATGTATTGGTTTTACAAAGATGTTTCTTTTTTTTTTTCTTTTTTGTGAACACTTTCTATAAGAAAGCTTCATTTGATTATAAATTATAGCACTTTTTTTGAAATTCTCATTAATATTCGAGATAATGAGGAAAACCTGGTTCTTTAGGTTAAAAAAGATTGAAAGATTAAAAATAAGGTTATCATCGGCAACCGTTGACTCTCAAATGATGTGCAAACTCCAGAGTAAATAGAAAAATGACCTCCTTAAAGTAAGTAGGTCATTTAAGACCTCCTGTTAGATTTTCTTTCCGAAAAAATGTTATCATACTACCTAACCTAACCGAAACTACCAAGGAACTTCAAACAAAAGCATAAATAAAAAGTTCATGGGAGGATATGACACCTTAATCCCTCCTGAGTACGCCCCTGCTAATAACTAATATGCTATTACCTATATCTATTCATACAGATAAAAACTGGACTGGAATTTTTGTTCTAATAAAATATGATTTGTGAATCCACTACTTAGATAGGAGACCTACTTCGTACTTACATTACATTACATTGTTTAAACAATTACCCATCTATAAAAAAAACTATTTATAAGATATAATATAAGCTTATGTTCGTCTGCTCCTGTTGAGCGTTTATTTTGATGGTTTTATGCACTCACCCAGTTGACGTTTTTTGCGTAATCCATGTTTTGCTCATATATTAAAATATTAAAAATGCAAAACTGCTTTGGTTCAATAAGTTTCTCTAATGATTTTGGTAACGAACTCAGTTTTGAAATTGTTTGGTAATTTATAAATTTAGAGCGGTCGGCAGACTTCCAGAGAGGCGAGATAAAAGATAATTTCCATTTCAAGGGGAATTACCGGAATTTAATGATAGTGAAAACAAATAATGGATAGTATAATCGATATTGCGGTCGATTGTTGCTTCTACATCCTACCCAGTGGTGTAACTCAGTAACTGTACACAAATCTAAGGAGGAAAATAATATAACCACCATAATCAAAACTCTGAGCACCCCCCCTTCTCTCGCCGGTTAAAATATATTTTAAATTCTGAGCGGAGCGAGTAATGTATTAGTTTTATAATGATGTTTACTTTTTTTTCTACCACAAATTTCAAGTGTAACATCTTTTCTGAAAAGAAATTTTACTGGAGTGGTAAAATATAAGGAAGTCAATTTTTAATTTTCTAAGGGATTTTCTTTATAAATTCGAAAATTCGGAAAAAACTTAGGAAAAATGTATAAAATGTATTGTTTTCAAATCGTTAATATTACTACCTAGTACTTTTCAAAATATATATATAAACGAACTCCGCTCAGAATCATTTTTCGTTAGCAATGATAAATCGTTGCGTACAAATGTACATTAATTTTCTTTTCTATACTTTCCCAACTAATCACTTACAACAGTGGCCTACTCATCTTACGAAGTATGTCCGTTTGTTTTTATTGTATGTATTGTATACGGTATAGGTACCTAATTGTTTTGGGAGCGTTACGATTGCGTACGTTCTACCTACCCAAATTTAATGCAATGTTGTCGTTACATGTCCACAAGCATGACATTTTTGTACAATTTATAAATTAACTTATTAAAAAAACTCTAAAAGAAAATCGAAAAATGACCTTAAAGTACCACCCCACACCGATTTCCTTTCAAATATATGCCGTTAATATTTTACTACTTTGGATTATATTTTCTACGATACATATTGCTCCAATCGGAAAACGACAAGAGATTTTGTATTGCATTTTGGATCTAGTTGGTGAGTAAGGTTTTTTTTTTTAGATTTTCCGTGTAGTTTTCGTAATAATTGAGCGAAACCTAGGAAAAATAAAAGAACTGGAAAGTTATCGGAAATAATGGTTTCATTATTTTAAATATCGTTTTAAGATTCGAAGCAGAGCGAGGGATCTATTGGTTTTACTAGGTGAGTTTTTACAGTATTATTTTTTTTTTGTCTGTGAGAAACTTTTCTACCAGAAATTCTATTCCAATAAATGGCAAAAGATCTATTTTTGTGTATTTTGGATCTAATTGGTGCATTGGGGGGGTTATTTTTAAAAACTTCCTAATGGCTTTTCAAAATTATATTGAAAAACCGGGAAAAAAGTATAGGTAAAACAGACAAATATATTTACGGTGCACCATGGCTATATCCCATTTAATTTTTTTTAATTTTTACGCCCTATGTTTACAGAATTATTGCTTTCATCAAAATATCATTTTTTAATTTTTCAAGTAGTTTTCATGACAATTGACCAATTTATAAAATTATGATTTCATTATTTTAAATTTGTATACTTTTTGTAATCACCAGAAATATTGCTATAACTTAGAAACGACAGATACTTTTTTTGTTTTTGAATTTTAAATTTTGTTGTATCTTGGTGAGTAAGAAAGTCATTTTTAGATTTTCCATGTAGTTTTTTCATTAACTGAACAAAACCGAAAGAAAACGTAGAAAGAACGGAAAAATTTACTTAAATAATACTTTTATTTTTTTCAATTTCGTTAAAAATATTCGTAAGACCTTGAAATGTTGATAAATTTTAATAGCATTTGAGCCATTTATAAAAATTTTGAATTTACGAGATTTTACATGATTTGTATTACATATGTACTCTTTGGATAAAATTGTTTGACCAAAAACAGAAATAATTTAATATTTAAAATGACTACATGAGGTTCATTATAAGCCGTACTTTTTGGTAAAAAAAAATTGAATACAAAAAATTTCCAAAATATGTATAAACCAAGACCCAATTCTGCTTAGAATCGTTTGTCGTTAGCAAAGATTAATCATTGAGTACAGATACATTAAATTTCTCTCTATATCCTAATTTCGCAGCTTCTCATCTTCAGCAGTGGCCCATCTATTGAGCATTCTATTTTTTTTAGTAGTTAAGTTAAAAATATTCGTAGACTAAAAATTGTGATAGAAAACTGAAATTGTACTTTTCTAGAAATGGCAAAATCCTCAAAACATGTTAGCAAATGTTGAGCTTTTTATTGACGTCTTAAATTTATATTTTTTTTTAGTTTTAATCGGTTTTAAACAAATTAAATTATTTGTTTAATTAAACAGAAATGCTTGAAAATTTAACATAGTACCTAGCTGTAGGTTCAATTGTACATTGAACTTGGTGATAAAAAAAAAGTAGAATATTGGTAACAATTTTTTTTATAATGATTTTAAGATCAAATTTTGATGAAAAACTTGGATAATAAGTTTATAATTAGCAGTTGTTTGTCGTTGCTTACAGGCATGAATTATTTTAAAATGTAGTTAAATACCAATGTAAGTTTTATAATTTAATTTCCTAATTTAAGTATCACAAATAGAACATATTAAATCATAAATACATAAAATAATTATTGGTTACTTTGCACATAGTATTGGTAACTTTCATTGGTAACTTTCATTTACCGCAAGACCTTAGTTTTAGGTACCTACTTATCAACCTACCTTTAATACTAAGAATGTTACCATGTTAGCATAAGTTTTAATTTAAAAGCTTAAGTTCAGCAACACATTAGAAAAGTTAAAATATCTACCTTTATAATTCATGTTTTATAAGTGTACAAGACTAATGAACTTAAACCTGTCCACCTTTATATTATGTCAATGCTTATTACACCATACAGTAATGTTGCGCAACTATACTTACCTATCAAGTGTCTAGGTCAACTAAGCAAATAGGAAGGACTTAAAAAACTAAGCCCACCATAAAACGTATAGGTATAATATTTTCATATTCTTTCAGAGTACTCAGAGTAGATACGTTATTAAAAATATCTCGTTTTGATAAAAATGCAATATTCCAATGTTATGTTGTTATTCTTTTTAAATTTTTCAATAGTATAAATGTTAAATAGGTGCATTCTAAACATTACCTATTTTATAAAGTATTCAGGGCAGATTCCATGTTTTCAAATATTTACTTACCTACTTATAATTGAAACTATTTTTAATACTGATATACAGTATATACAAATTATTTTAGATATTAAGTAGAAAATAGATAGGTACTATTATTTTTAAAGGTATTTTTTACAACACTGGTAACTTTTAACCAGTGCACTTAATTAACCTAATACTGGTAATGTATAATTATATAATATGTGTAAAATTGTTGTATTTATTTAAAATTATTAATTATCATTATACATTCAATTATAGACAATTATTGCTTATTAGAATTAATTTATACCTATGTAGTTATTTATTAACCAAGTATTGTATGATAAAATAAAATAAAGTATTATTTGGATCAAGCCTTTCCAAGTATAGTAAATTTATATTACAATAGTTAGGTAATATTATATTCACTAAGCTTTATAGGTAGTTTAGTGATTATATAAGAGGTGAAATGAAATACCAAAAGAGGGGCTAAGAAAGTTTAATCTTCCTCTCCCTATTATCTGTGATAAAGATCTTCAATTTTATTCCGATCTAAGCAAAACTATGCACACTTGGTCACTGTCAACTTTTTGTCTCTAAATATAACCCTTAAAGTGTGGCTGACACAGTTTTTGCTATTTTTGGAATGAAAATTGAACTTTTTTTGTTGATTTATGGATTTCCTTGGCGGTGACACATATTAAAAAAGGATAGACATACTTCGCACATGGGTAGAACTACTTCTGTAGGTGAGAAGTTGGAAAGGTAGGATACAAATAGGAATTTGATGTATATCTGTAGGCAACAATAAACTATGGCTAACGAAAAACCGATTCTGAATGGAGTTCAGTTAATAGTGTTGCTTTGTCAATAATATATATACATATATATATATCATATTATGCTAAAATGGTTACAACAATTCCATGACAACAATGATTGTTTACAAAAGATTTAAAATAATAAGAACTTAATAATAACAATAAATAAATAACCTAAAAAACCAGATTTTCCTCAGTATTTCAAATATTACCTCTCTAAAGTACCATCAAGAGAACATTTCAGAAAGGACGCTATAGTTGATAATTAAAGTATGCTTTCTGGTAGAAAGTGTCCACATAAAAAAAAAAAAAATAATAATAATAAACATCATTGTGAAACCAATACATTCCTCACTCCACCCAGAATCTAAAAAAAATATATTATTTATATTGCTGCCATAGACAGGAAGTACCTCTTTTAATAGATAAATAATTAATTAACAACTATTTAATATGAAATAAAGTGAATAGCAGTAGTATGCTATTTACAGTAACGCTACTGTAATGTGCTACCTTTTTTGTAGCGTTACTAGTAAAGTACAATTTTATATTGGTATAAGTAGCGATGAATGTTGGAGACTCCTTTTTATAGAAATGTAGCAATAATGATTGTGTATTACATTGAAAGTAGTGAGTTCCAACCACTATATGAAAGAGATAAATGTAAGCTTAAGAAATATTGTGTACTTAATTCAGTTAGTTACTTATAAAATAATAACTATTGCACATTCGCACTACTTATTTAACCACAATTTAAGTACAAATAATATTGTGCTACATAACTATATATTTAGTAAAACTCATTTTATTTTTTTAGTCAAGTTTTCTAGTATAGCATAGGTGGTCCCTGTCCTCCTAATAGAAAAATCCTGGGTAGGGAACTTTAAGTGAATTTATAAAAAAATTAAAGTAGATAATTTATATTTTATTCTGACAAAGATTATTTATTGCAAGCTAAGATTTAGAGAAAGGAAAGAATAAGGAAGCAAGTTAAATCCTATTTTACCTATTTTTATCTAATCATAAGTTGCATTTAAATGTAGAGATCCTATAAATCTGTAGGTAATTATTTTATATTGAAGAATCTTTACATTTACCTTAATTCTAATATTTAGTTATTTATAAAGTTTTAAATGTGTTGTTAATAAAATTAATTTGATGATAATTTAAGATATATAGCTCATATAAGAATAATTTGAAGTGATTCACATAAATATTTATATCAAAATGCCTTATTATAATAATAAAAAAAAAAGAATCTATATTACTAATGTATGAAGTATAATGAATATTAAATTAATAGATAGAATTTATTGATTTAATGCTATTTAATTACATATTCCATATTCATAGACAAATTATGGTTTTAATATTATAAAGCACAATTTATTAGATCAATGGTATTTAAATTACTGTTGGTATGCTCTTTTTTAGTTTTTACCATAATTTACCTACTTTTATCCAAAATTAATTGTTCAGCTAGAAGCAATAATAAGTGTTCAAAATATGTTGATATATTTACAAGAAAAAAGTATCTAGCACCCAGTTTGATTTAATTTTAAAAGTATAATATTTTTCACAAAACTTCTGATATAATTTTGTTAGAAAACAAAAAGTTTAATTTTTGCGTAACTTCAGTTGTTTTTAATAGTAATACATTTGTTTTTTATCTATTTGTCATCTATTCTTTAAATAATGCATATTATAATTTTAGAATCCAAGCATAGCGGAAAAGCTATTGGCTTTACAATTGGTTGTTTATTTTTTTTCTTTGTTCTAGTCTGTGGACATGTTTTTTCCTAGTAAACTTACTCTGATTTTTACATGTAGCACCTTTTCTAAAAGACAAAGTTGTTTAGAGTGTACTTTACACAGGTCATTTTTTGATTTTTGACACCATTTTTTAAATAAAAGCACTTAATTGAGAACAACATAGTAAAACATACAATTTCACGATTTCATTATTTTATAAAAACACGGACGTTTTTTACCAAAAAAAATGATTTAATCGAAAAATCACAAGACTCCTTTTTTGTTGCCTTTTTGATTTACTTCCTTACGACATCATCGTCAAAACTTTTGAGTTTTTAAGGAATTAAAATTGTTGGGAGTTTTTGTTGTAAATCGGTTATAAATACACATAGAGACTTGAAACTTGGTCATAACACTTATATTGGACTTATTTAGACGTGGTAAAATTTCCAAAATTATCGAACTACTTTTTTTTTTAATAAACGTTTTGTAATCAAATTTAAACGAAAATTGCAAAAAAAAATTATGGTACTTCAAATTTTATATTACCAAACTGCGTTTTTCGTCAAACCATGGTTTATCGTTGCTTACAGATATAAATGAAATAACCATAAGGTATCCTACCTTTCCAACTTCTCATCTACAACAGTGGCCGCTCCCATTCCCAGTATCAGCTCTTTTTTCTAATTAAAATCATACATATTTATAGCTCTAATATTTAAATTAAAATAGGCATAATAATAATAATTTTTGAGATAAGTATAAACGCTATGCATAGAATTGTACGAACAATAGTTAAGTATACTATAGGGATACTACAAGTTAATTCACTGTTTACTCATATACTTGGAATATTTATTATTTTCAGTTCAATAGATACTTATTACAAAGTATTAATTTACATGAAATACTTTATCAAATTTACCGTTAAAAGTCCTATAGGTGGAGTAATGGTTGATTTTCTAGTGGGTCTTCTAGGTTCTTGAAGAATACCACTATGTCTACTTCCTGTTGAATGTCGCCGTATAGGTATAATACCTGCAAATCTTCTTCTTGATGGCGGTGCATTTTCATCAGTTGAAGGAACCTGGAGAAAGTTTGAAGATGTATTTGATCTAGAATTATTATTCATCTTTAAAAATGAATGAAAGTAAAAAAAAAATATAATAAGTACATAATTAAAATAAAAATGTTTTATTAAGTTTAACAAAAAATGACACCTATAATTGAACAACTAGGCTTATCTAACATACTAAAATGGACTATCTAATCTAAATGTTTCAATTGGTTATTGGCGTTTTATCTTCGAGCACGTAGGTATAATAAAACTTAGAAGTAGTAGTACCCATTGTTGATGAATTAATTTTAGTTTTTTTCTTTTTATCATAACAGTAATCTAAATACTAAATAATAAATAACAAAATACTATTAATATGTACCTAGTAAAGGTTTTTACACAGGTACCTATTAAAAATACAAATAAAAAATATATAACAATTTTATCTACAAAATACTTCCATCATTTATAAATAAACGTCCAATAAGTAACGGTTCTTCAGTTTCAATTGCAACTTCCACTATTGTCCCAACCATTTCGCATTTTAATTTATGTAATAACCATCCATTTTCTAACGATAAGTTATATATTTTGGAATTAGGAATAATACAACTGTAGTCATCACAATTATTGAAAAACATATTATTATCACCTTGAATGCCAAACTCCATTTTATATGGCATTCCATAAGGATCCAATGCGCCCAAAAATATTTTATGAGATTCATAAGGCTTTAATGCCTTAACAGTTATTTCAAAATATAATGTTGATTTGATTTCAAAGTGACATAAAAATATTCTATGATAAGTTGCGTTTTCATTGTTGCCATTTAATTTTAAGCAACCACCTCCTGTAATTGCTTCTCCATCAACATGAGAAATACAAGGAAAGTTACCATTAATTAAACATAATGGAACAGATGGCTGAAAATTTAGTTTTGATAAGTCGTACCAGGGATCCGTTGAAGACAAAACAAAATTATCAATTTTCTTTGCCCCGTGACCTCTACAAAAATATGTAGAAAATGGTAGTGTAGAAGGAACATGAATATACATATACGGATAAAGTTTTCTCCAAAAAATATCTTCCATTGCAATGAATTTACTTTTATCATTTAATGTCTCATAAGTCCATCCAGGCGCAAAAATAGCAACAGACAAATCATATTTCCTGATAATTTCTAATGATTTATAACAATCAAGACCTCCTATACAATTTCTACCAAATACATCTACTCCAACATAAACATCAACTATCCTACTTCCGGCATTAGCTACAGATTTCACGAGATCTTCTTCTTTCCAATTGTAATTCAAAAATATACCATCGCAAGCTTGAAATGCTAGTTTATTGTGATTATTTAATTGGTTTTGCCAAATAAGTTTTCCTGTTTCCATACTAACTGAATCATACCAAATAACTTCTGAGTGTGTTATTACAGTTTTCAATTTAGTTCTTAATGAACTTACAGTTTCTATCATATTTTCAATATTTTCTGATTCTAATTCATTTTCTACATTAAAAAGATAACCGTCAAATTTATAATATTTACATATTTCCACTAACTTATCTACTAAGATATCTCTTTTTTCTAAATTGCCAAATACTTGTAACCATAAATCATTTCCATCATTCCACTCTGTAATAAGTGTCCCAAGAACTTTAACACCATGTTTATGCGCTGCATTTATCCAACCAATTGGTGGAATAGTGATAAAATTGTGACTAAAATAAACAAATGTATCTATTATAGACCAATTATAAAATATATATTCATTACTAGTTTTTGTTCCATTGACAAATCGATCATTTAAATAACCGCCTTGCATGTCATGACATATGAGTGTTTTTGGAAGTCCTTGATTTAATAATCTTTTTGATGTTATAAATCGTTCATGGCATTTATAATCTTTGCCATTAATGGAATAATTTGCACGATCTTGTAAATGTATAACTGGTAGAGATTCAGCTAATGGTTTCCAAGATAATGCTTCATCTAATGATTTAATTGGCAATACTTCAGTAATTTCCATCTCTGTAATAAAAACATAAGGTTGTTAACGAGTCTAACAAGGTCCTAAAATACTAATTGGCTCACCATTAAAACGTTTGAATTACCAACTAATCAAAATTCAATTAAAACTAAATAAGTTCTAAATATAACAAAAATAATCTATTGTTATGCAATACAAATTTCAAATTTGTGTCGTAAATAAAATACTTAATATTTTTAGTTTATTAATTATTATCAATAGTTGTATTTAATATCATATAGGTATAATGTTTTTGTTGGCGCCATAATTTGTATTTTGAATGTAACTATTGATAAATCATAGGCGGGGGGAGGCTAAAGGAGGCAATAAGCAGTTTTCCGAAATGGTAAAGATCTGTGAAATGTTAACAATCCGAAAACGAAAATTTACTGCCAACCGTAAATTGCTATCGAAATGGGAGACCACTGTTATAGAGGAGTTCGAAAAATGATAAGAGCCTCGAGCACAATAATTTTGAAATGTTGCTATTACCAGCATAATATTTTTTTATTTTTAATATAAAATAATTTGACATTTTAAATATGTGTTTTACTGATATCATCATTTATATAATTATTATAATAAAACTTTATAAACTTAAAACTTCATTTAATCTGTACTATCCATACATAAATATATAAATTAATAAATTTACATTTAAATAAAATAAAATTTATTTACCTCTTGAAGCTAAGTTTTTTGTGGGGTAAATAAGGTATTATGAATTTTAAATGATTTAAATAACATAAATCTGTATACTAAATCTTTAAATAAATTATAAAATATATCATTTTTCCGACATATTATAGTTGCATAATTATTGTAAATTTAATTTTTACAATTATTTTAATAAATATTCTAAATAGTATCTATAGTAATTTTGTTGCTTCTTTGTAAAAGGTTTCTCTTGGGAAAATATTCTAGTAGGTATAGCTTTTGCTTATACTTACTGTTAAACACAGTTATGTGAAAACATTTTCGGCAATAATTAATTTAACCTACGACTGTATCACTAATAGTAAAACAAATTACTTTAATAGTATTATAGCATTTAATAGCATAATCAGTATATGAATACAATATACTCCTAACATTTCAAATAATTGAGATATTTAATTCTGTTATGTTGGTGTACCCGTAGACGATTAGTAATACAAATGTCTTATCATTTTCGAACATCTACTCTTGACTCACCATGATCATCATGCAACCCAAGGTGGATATCAATAACCACAGATTATAATATGAAACCATTGAACTAAAAGATAACTTATCTTACCAACTCACCTAGTTAATATGTTTGCTAATAGTCAACAGCAGCAGCTCTATCCATAGTCTATGATATCTAAGCTGTGTTATAACCGTGAGTTTATATATATTATCTCTAATAATATTTATGAAAATTTGTGATCAAAGATCATTGATAAAAATGCGGAATCGCAAATAACAATGTTGAGTATTTACAAATAAATTTAGTTTTAACGTTTAATGGTTTCTTATGTAGTGTACACGATTTAAGGTACATTAGTATATCTTTAATCGTGATTTTTTATTAAATTAATAAAAATGGACTGTGATGTAAGTAAAACTGTAAAATGTTGTATTCAATTAAAACATATTAGTACATTAGAAATTTAAATAAATAACTCAGGTATTGAAATTATTTTGCCTTTTTACACATTATAAATATTCCATTATAAAAACATTTTTAAATCTTAAAATAATTTTTGACATATTATAGTAAATGTTATAAGAAACAACATTACTTACCTACGTTGAAAATAATTGATGCATAATATGTATTAATGTTTAAAAAAGTATCGGTATAATTTTTTACCGATGATATGGCAAAACCTCTCCACAGTTCTCTATCTTGAATATATTTTTTCTTTTTTTAGTTGGATTCCAGTTGATCACCACCTTTATTTTTTCTGTATTTTGTCTAAACCGTGTACAATTTTTGGTGCTGCTTGGACATGTGGTTTATATATTATGTAATTGTTATAATATTTGTGTATTAGCAAAAAAAAAAAAAATAAATAATTGGAACAAATTTAAAAAATATTAGTATTGCTTGTATAATATTTGTATTATTAAGAATACTAAGGAAAACTAAGAAATTAAATTTTAATAAGTTTATATTTTATTATATCTACAATTAACTTAATTTTAAATTGTAATAATAAATTTGATTAAACTTATTATATTTTTATCTGAATAATTTTATATTCTGAGCAGAGCGAGGAATGTATTGGTTTTACAATGATGTTTGTTTATACATATATTTTTTTTTTCTGTGAACAACTTTTCTACCATAAATGTTGCTCAGATTTTCAAGTGTAGCACCTTATCTGAAAGGAAATTTGACTAGGGTGATACTTTAGGAGTCATTTTCTCAAGTTTCCATAGTAAAAATCATAAATACTTTGGCCTTTCAAAACATGTATATCCAAACTTCTCACCTAAAACAATGACCCACCCATCGTGCAAAGTACTTATGTTTGTTTGTTTTTAATTTATTTGTCTTTATAAAATATAGATGGAAACAATAAAAGATTCTTCATTACATGAAGCAATAAATTTGTTGGAACCCATACAAAATATATCGTCGTATCATTGGAAACTCTTAAAACTTAAAGGACGATTGGACACAATAACAGAGCGCATGACAAAAAGAAAAAGTGGAACATTAGAACCATACACTACCTATATGGATGAAGATTCTACTGATAAAATTGATAAATTTTTGTTGATGAGTGGGGTAAAACAAATGGAATCAGATGATGATCTGTGATGATTAAATAAAATAATATAAAGAAAAATATATAAGATCTTTTATTTTATAGTTTTTAAATAGTGCAATATATGTATATATCATACAAATGTACAAGTTTTTCAATATCATTAATTATTTAAAGCAGGCTTAATCACTACTCGTCAATTTCTATCACTTTTTCTTGGCATATTTTATCAACTATTTTATTAAATTCTTCAAATTGATCAGCAAAAACATGATGTCCAGCATTAGGAATTGTCTATGCACAAAAATTAATATTCAGTTTTGATTTATGAAAATTACATTTATAATACTTCAATATTTACTTCAATATGTACAAAAGAATTTGCCCTTTCTTTTTTAACAATTTCACCAACACTTTTATCCATCCAAGTATTTTTTCCATAAATGAATGTAATAGGCACTCTTTTATCTAAATACTCTAAACGTTTAATCATTGGATTTTTGGCCCAACCAAATCCAGTAACTAGTGAAATAAAAGCACTTTCACCTCTAAAATAAATTTAACTAAATAAATTATAAATAATATGGAAATAAATATTTTTATAATTTCTTTCTTTTATAAATTAGTATTTTAAAAAAGTCTTTTATGACCTTACAATACTAATTTAAATTACTTAATTTTATCTTTATTATTTATTTAAATAAGAAATTATGAAACATGAATATAGAAATGGTATATACAAATTAAAATCTTACGTAGCACGTTGAGAATTGCATTGGAATATATACTCTCCAACCACAATGGATTGTTCTCCAAGAACTGGTTCATACTTTTTTAATACATCAGATCGTAAATTTGTAACCAACCATTGACCTTTAATATTAACAAATGATTATACAAACCATTCTTAAATTTCAAAACCTATTATTATTATTATTTTTTTTTTTTTGTAGTGGTTCAATATGTTACATACAACATTTGAAGTTATAACTGGTGTCAAAATACAAAATATATATTATGATGTCATATAAATAATAACATTCAAAATTTACAAAATGATCAATCACAATTATTCAGGAAACAAAATAACACTTTTGAATCTTTCATGTGGAATGTACTATTTGTTTGTGTAGATAATTTAGACCAAACAGTTTTTATTTTGAACCACATTGATAAACCGTTGTCAGTTATGCACGTAACTAGCTAATTCAATTTTAAATAATATGCATAACATATAAAATCACAACAGTGTTTTTTAACACTTTGCTTGATTACTACTATATTTTTATTTTTAAGGGTAAGTAGGTAATTTTAAAAAAACTAGTTTTCTTAAATCACAATTTACCATAAGGTCCAGCAAATCGTACGGGCCACAATGGATTTAAAGATTTAAGAGCATAGAATATTCCTTTGGCCCACCAAGGAATTTTGTTTTTAATATCTTTATTTTCTTCAGGAAATCCCCAAGGATCAGCAAGTATTAGATGGTGAACTCTAAATAAATAATACAATTGTGAATTATAAAATGAATTACCTATGTAAGAATAGAATTAGTGACTATACCTTTCAGGATGTTGAATAGAATAAGCAGTAGCTAAATAGCCCCCAAAACTATGACCTAAAAGAATAAATTTATCAAGTTTAATTTCTGATCTCCATTTTTCAATAGCATTCACATATTGCACTTCAACTTGTTCTGGATCTTTACTAAATTGTGGTCTAGAACTACGACCGAATCCCAATAAATCCATAGCATATACTGGTCTACAGTTATTAGATATTTGGTCAATATTCATACACCAAAGTCCAATACCAGCAGCAAAACCATGTAATAAAACAATTGGTGTTTCACGTTTATCAGTGTTTACTTCAAGGGTCCATATTTTATCTTCTTGCTCAACAACAGGGCCTAGGTTAACGTACCGTGTTCGATATGATGATTTAACATCTAAAAAAAATTGCATACTTTAAGCACTAAAATAAATTATAGATAAATTGCATAATGTACATGCTAGTAATTTTCGTTCAGCTTCTTGTAAATATTTCCACGACATTGAACTCCAAGAGAACCAACTCCAAAAAGAACACCCTCTAAAATAAATATGGACATATTTTATTGTAGTACTAAGTATTTTAATATAGGTATCAAAACAGCATGGTTAAGTAATGTACAATAAGTTCTTACTTGTATATTGACAAAGCTTCCAAATCGGTTATTTGTGTCATTATTAAAATATTTGTACTTCGTTATTTACACGTTTACAAGCTATTTGATGCATCTGAATTTATTTGAAAAGGAAAACTAAATATATCAAATTGGGTACTATCATAGAATAAGTGGGTATTTAACCACATAAGTATAAAGTACTGAGTATTGAGACAAATTGCGTAATACTAACGTATGTAAATAAATGCTTACGAATAATTTATTTTTAATACAATTTATTTATTATACGCAATTTAATCAATAATTAATGCTAGGAAAAGAAACTAATAATAAGAAATCTATAAATTATATAATTATTATTTATTATTATTACTACCTATTCAATTAATGACGGACGGACACTGTAATCAAAGACCAAAGTTGTAACTTGTAGGTGGATGTAAGTACTTATTATCAAACAAAATAACGACTATCGAATACAGCCGACAATCGATTGTCTGCCTTCTAAGGTTGTGGTTTTTATCGATAATATTATGGAGGATGGTGCATGGCTGCGTATTTTTCGATTTTACGTTAAAAATTCTAGGTATATAATGTTTTAACGGTTGGACAAAAAAAACCATAACATGCAATCTTTATCTTTCCGAAAAATATTCTTTAAGTGATTTTGTTGTTATGTTAAATACTAAATTTCTGTGAAACATTGCATGAGTTTCTACCACGGATTAAGATATCTATCTTAGTTCTTAATTCGTGGTTTCTACCATAGATAGATAATAATTATTATTTTTTTATCTATTTTTATATGATTATTTTCACTAGTTATTTTATATTTGTTACAATTACAAAATACAAATAAAACAAACATGATTCTAATCATAATATTATTATAAATGATCCTTTTTCTCAAAATATATCATTTTTTAATTCAATACTCTATAGGCTTGAACGTATTTCATTAGATAAACATCATAACTATCAACACAAGCTCAATATTATCTATAATAAAGCCCATAGAAATAATTTCAATTTAAATACTAATAAAAAAATTCATAAACGTATAAAAGAAAAAATAATACACAGCTCACCAAATAATGTTATTAACTATTGTAGTAAGAATTTTTAAAAATAATATGTTTAAAGAATTCGCTAAAATTCTGAACAATAATACAAATAATGTAATAATCGCTTTTAAGACTAATATTAATTTTTATAGGTAAGACAAATAGAAATTTTAAAATAAAATACAAAAAACACATGTATAAAATAATGTTAAAAAGACTGCCTTTAATTCAAATTTCGCCAAACATGTTTTAGAAAATAACCATAATATAAGCTTTGATATTAATACATTATACAGACTTAGAGATATTAAATACCCAAAATAACATTTAGGTACATAAATTCAGTTTTATATTTTATTTTTTATTATTTATATTGAAAACATCAGTCCAGCCTATTAGGGTTATACCCACGATACATTCAGGAGAGTATAAATATTTCCTATCTGCTTTTCGTTTAACTGAGTTACTATATAAATGTTTGCCTATCCAGATACTTCCTATTACATTTTTCGTGCTATTGCTCGTTACATTTTTCTATTATTTGTAGAGTGTATGGTACTTTTAAAAACACTTCCCATATTGTATGTCATTCAACAACATTTTATGGAAGTGAAATTTAAAACCATCTTCTACGATCATTTTTTTCCTTTTTCACTTGTCATGAAATCCATACTTTAGTAATTTTACTAAATTTAACTTAATATTACGACAAAACATTTAAATTTTCACTTATATTTGCAACGGTCAGAATACGCGCCGGTCAATAAATATACATATATTATTACTGCGGACCAATTTGAATATTATCAAATAATATCGCAAACTCAACTTAAATATTGTCAAATAAATAATAAGCGATTTTTATAATGTAATGTTAATTAACGAAGACAAAATCACAATTGGGACAATGTATTTTTTTTCAGCAAAATTACGTTTGATAGGGGGGAGAAAATCAAAAATGTTGGATTCAAAGTCAATAAAATCTGACTGGGAAGCAATTAACATGAGATATCACAAAGATTTAGATGCAATATATTTAACAACACTAGTGTAGCATATCGAGTGAAATTCTAAATTTATATAGGTATCCACATTTATAAATTTCGCCGTCTTACTTGTCTGTAAAAAAACGATGTTGTATATTATTTTTCTACGATATTATGCATTTATGCTCAAATACCTATCAAAAATTTATCATTCATCATGAATCATGATTATGATACCGTTGATACCATAATAATTTCATAATATGATATAATCATTATAATAAAATAATATTAATGCATTGGATGTGTTTCGTAATAGCCGGTTGTCACGTAAAACATTATTCTTCGGTATACTCAATAGTCTATATATAGCGTATAAAAATATCGAGATTAACAACTAGTGTTTATTGTTTAACATTTAAATATAGGACAACTACCTAGTCCATAACAATGGCTAGTGCCAGTGGATTTTTTTTAGTACTACGACTGTGCGTGTGTGTTACTAAAGCCAAACCAACGCGTACATTGTATAGGTACTTACGTGTTGGTTAATATAAGTATTTTTCTTTCATGTATCATAATATTTATAATATTGGCCAGTGGCGTACCCAGAATTTTTCAATGGGTGGGGAAATTTAAACTAAAACAACTTTACTAAAAGTACATAGGTACATAATTATGTACCTACTACACAATTATGCAGTACGACTATTTATACTTGGTAATTGGTCGAATACCTAATAAGAAATTAAAATGTGTAATGAATCATCGTTGCGTAGGTAGGTACTTTCTGTGTGACTTTACTTATGTACGTTATTATGAGGACTAGCTGTGACTATAATACACAGGAAACGTCCTGCAGAACCGTCCTATATTCCCATCGGGAAGGAAATAATACGTATACACAAGACTTCCTTGTATTGTTAGGGACGGGTTGTAACAATCATTGAAATGTTTAAAATTACTAGTGCTAAATCCAAATGCTGCAAATCTTTAACTAAACCTTTTTAAGATTCTTGGTGGACCAAGGAATGTAGGAATTAATTCTAATGGTGTTTATTTTTTTTTTTCTATGAACAATTTTTCTACCGGAAATTTTGTTCCGATTTTCAAGTATAGCACCTTTTCTGAAAGGGAACTATCTGAGTGCTTTATTTTTTTATTTTTCATCTTCCAAGCTAAAATTATTAAAAAAAACAAGAAAATTTACAAAATTTATTACTGTCAATTTGTTTTTGTGTTTCAGTTAAATATATTCGTAGAGACTTAAAATTTGAACAAAAACTTTTATTTTCCTTTTCTAGATATTGTACAATTTTCAAAATGTTTTAACCATTTTTTAAATATTTCTGTAAATAGCTTAATATTTTAATTTTGCGAGTTTTTTTATGTAATTTTTATTCGGTAGATACACTGTCGACAAAACTGTTAGACCCAACAGAAATGCTTGAAAATTTAACAGGTTCATTATACCGTACTTTGTGGTCAAAAAAGAAAAAATTTAGTGTACCTAGATTTTTTTTTAAGCATTTTTATTTTTACATTTTTTATCAAATTTTGATGAAAATCTTGTATGTTACTGCCTTTTAAAACATATATAACCAAACTCCGCTCAGAATCGTTTTTCTTTATCAAAGATTAATCGTTGCGTACAGATATTCATTAAATTCCCCTATATATCTTACCTTCAAAACGTCTCACCTAGAACACAGGGCAGTATTTGAAAATTTTGCGCCCCGGGGCAACTATTCCGCCGCCCCTAATCTCCCGAAAAAAGCCATTTCATAAAATGTAAGGTATGACTATTTTGTTACATACAATTTTGGTCGACAGAAAATTGAGCCAATAACCTACATATTATGCTACTTTCACTAATTTAATATTGGCAGATTAGAAATATATACAATATTATACACTATAAACATTCATATGTGTTTTATTATTTTCAAGTTTATTATGAATAACAATAATGATTATACAAATTTAACAAAATATATTTTAACTTACTATAGGCTATAAATATTAATAATTTATATTATAGTTATTTCCTAAATCTCTAGAAAAACAAATGTTAAATAAAAAAAAGACGTTCTAGGATAATGGTGATCGGTGCAGCCATTGTTTTAGATAATTTAATGTATACCTGTAGGCAAAGATAAACCATTGGTTACGAAAAAACGATTCTGAGCGGAGTTTAGTTGATAATAATGCTTTGTCAATAATATATATGTCATTTTATAGTCAAATAATTAAATAAGCCTTTTTTTTTTTTAAGATTTTTATAACTAAACCAATATTTTATAAAAAAACAATAACAAAGTATTAAATAATTAATACAAATTACCTACACCTTTAAGCTTTTATATATTTTCTTCAATAATATTAAATACATACAATTTTATTTAAATAAAATAATTTTTTGTTAATAATTTGTGTCATGTTAGAAAATTATATTTAATAATTTAGAGTCATTAGACAGGGAATATTTAACTTTTCTACCATTTGGTCCAATAGTTATTTGTTTAAAATGTTTTTTTTTTTAATGTTTTTAAGCACTTTTTTGAGAATTTTCGGTGCTATAAGTCCTAGTTATTACCTACGAAAACTGAGCACTGACTTAAAAATTGATCGAAATATAAAATGATTATTCATCAACTACCTTCATCTGATAAAAATTGACTACAACTGCTGACGACCAATACACTTGCATCATGATATATATTTGTAATTTAAGAAACTGGGTGTACTTGCATTAGCACTTATAGTTTCATTGCAGTTAATAATCATAGATAATTTTTACAAAAAACACAAAGGTATTATAATTTATAAATACCTATGTGAAACGTATATCAATATAAGTTTTTGGCTAAGAATAAGATGCCATAGGTACCCGAAAGTATGTGTTATCAAATGCACGACATAGCAAAATTAGGGTCTAGTCGTCTAGTTTATTTCGCACAAAACCTTTCTTTTTGTTTGAAATTTGTACACCAATGTAATTATTTCTTTTTTTTGTTATCTCTTATTTTCCAATTGAACAATTTACGAAAAGCTTTAACAATGGGACATTAGGTCATATCTCCTGCCCTCCATGAACATTTTTCTGAAACAAATTAAAACCACTCAGTGTGTTTAACAGACAAAACAAGAAAGTTGAGGTTAACCCTCTTCAATAAATCCCAGGAAAATAAATACAAATATAAAGAAAATAGATACAGCAGTACTAAAATCTAAATAGGTATAAGTATAGTGGCATATTTACTGGGGTTGGGTGGCGGGGTATCGTAGTATCCGCTTTAGAAGCATACGACTTCTATAATGTTATGATAGAGCTTGGTATGATTTAGGTGAACTCAGGACCAGTCTAAATCTACACATTTGGATTCTAAGATACCCCACTTGTGTTGTGATATTTATGGGATGGATCGGGGGATTTTTTTGGTGGTGACACTTTAGGGTAGGTTGTGTTGAAATATTATCTTAAGCACATAGGAAATAACCAGATAATTTATTCCTATTAATTAATGCACTTGGTCAGTTTTAGGTTTAGGTAGTACAGTTAATATAGACGAGATAACCCAATCTGATATCGAAAATTATTTCCAAATAGTGCTGTATGATCGAATAGCGGATCCTTTACTCACGATTGAAAATAGATATTGACGTCAAACGGTTTAAAATTGTGATCGTGATCATAGTAGGACACTAAATTTTTCAATTAAATTCCCGCCCTTTATAATATTATTTCTGCAACTGATTACAATTTCTGAGATGTTATGTTGACAACACTGTTGACTTGAAAGTTGAAGTCAATTTAATCATTTTTGTTTTGTCTGTCTAAATAGAAAAATAAATTCTAACTATTCGGTTTTATTTTAGAACGTTTTCTTCTTATTTATTTTCATTTATATTAATTGTTGTAATTGGTATCTTTTTGTTTATTCGATTGAATAGTTTAATTTAAAGATTATTACGTTTAATTGGTAATATTCTTATTTTTACTACATTGAATTATTATTACTAATGTGTGTACAATTTTAATTGATCATTGTTTATTTTATTCAAATAGAAATGACACCAGCAGTTGTGGATAGAAATGATGATAGGCCATCCACTTCGGATAATTTCGATTTGGAAAAGACCGCCGAAGAAGCAAAATCTTTAATTGAAAAAATCATTAAGGATGTAGGCAAAAAGTCTGCTACTAGACAATTGATTTTTGGTTCAGCATCAGGATGGTTTGATTATAATATAAACATTTTTCCTTGGTTTTAATGAGTTTGAAGTACTTACATATTTTATTATTCCAGGGTCACTGGTTTTGTCATGATGAAATTGGGCAAAGCTGCTGCATTCACTCTTGGTAGTGGCATTATAGCATTACAGTTAGCCAATTCAAGCGGGTACATAAAAATTAATTGGGATAAATTAACTAGAGGTGTGGAAAGAGTCGCTGAACAAGTCGAAGATAGCACTAGCGATAAGAAGAAAGGATTATTAAAAAAGGTAATGAAAATATCAAATTTATTGTTTACATAAACTTCACGTCTTTGTAGTCATGGTAAGATCTATGTATTTTCTATGTATCGATTCTCTTTTAGGTCAAAAACATTGTAGAAACCAACACTATTATGGCTGCTGGATTTACGGGTGGTTTCTTCCTTGGTGTCGCCTACTCATAGACAGATTTCTTGTTGACAACATAAAAGAATTCTTTGAACTAAATTTTAATTATTATCTCAGTAAAGCTATTTAACAAATGTATTTTTAAACAGAAATCTTGATTTTATAACAATAATAATATGTTTATTAAAATTATTTTACAAAAACTCGATCCATCTGAAATGTGTTTATTACCACAAAAAATTTATATTTGATGATGTATGGACCGATTTCAGATGGAACGCTATGTTGACAAGAAACTTGATAAAGCCGAGGACTTGTTGAGGAAGAAGGAACGTAAAGCTAAACGTTGGTTTAATCGTTTATCTGGTGATGAGGACGAATTTGTTTTTCAAGAAATTCATGTATTCTTAGCATCTTACTTAATTGGTGTTGTTGTAGGAATGACTTTTGGCATTGTTGCACGCTGAGTCATATAAAAAAAAAAAAATGTTTTATTATTATATATTATCACTATAATTTTTTGACTAAACTATATTATTTTATATAAAATTTACATGCCATGTAAATAACACGGCTTTATTATACTAATATCTAAATATTTGTTCCATTTTACACTTAGTTAATTCATCATGAATGGTAATTTATTTTTTACGTTTATTTACTAACTTTCCTTATATAATAAATGGCTAGATTTACATAACTATTTTTAATTTAGGCATAACTTTTGATACTAGTCAGTTTGAAATGAATACATTTTGTCATTAATTTATGTAATGTTTATGATAAAATAAATTTATTAATTTAGGTTGTAATTTGTAGATTTTTTTGTAATTTTATTATACAATTAGGCATAGCCATATATGTGTACAATTACTATTATAGAATATGCTAGGTGGATAATTAGTTATGTTTTAAACTCTTTTTAGATTAAGTGTTTTTTTAAGTAAAAACCTGTCTTAACAACTTTTTGAATCACATAATTATTTATAAAATTTAAAATGTTACATTTTTTTTCATTTTAAACTAATAATGCACCCAGTGCTTTTAACAGATTATTAATTTATTTCTCATAAATTGTTAAAATTGTGTACATAACATTTTTGCATAAAATATTTCAAATTTGTCATTCTCATTTTTAAACATTGCACAAGATATTATGAATTTAGAAATAAATAATTGGAAACCAAAAGGAAGAATGTGCAACTTGAACATTCAGATAAAATAAAAGACATTAAATGCAATATTATACATTTTTAAAATACAATATGAATTGATAAATAATAATAGGTTATTTTAAAATATATCTAGTAGTGCCAGTCACTACTACTAACTTGACTACTAGACAGAAAAAAAAACAAACAAATGATCAATTTAAAATTGTTGATGATATTTGAAATATTTCATAACAGTTACTATGTGTATATGAATAAAATAAATGGCTTTATAATCAATGGTTGTATGTGCCAATGTATCATGTTAAACAAAAACAACTATCATGACATAAATTATTAAAATAAATACAAGAAACATTAAAATGAGTAATATTAGGTATTTAATAATAGATCATATTAATGATTAAGAGAAAAAACTGTGTACCCACCAATGAAATAAACAGTATCTATTTTAAAATCAATATAATTGATTATTCCATGACTATCTATTTTGTAATTTTTTGTTAACTTAATTAATATGAATTAGTATCTACATAGTATTATATTTCAATTTATAACCATTGATAAGAAAAAAAAAAACTGGTTGAATCATCAAATTACAATTTAGCTAATTTTTTGGAATTAATTTAATTTTATAATAATAAAAACTTATTTTTAATATCTAATAAATACTGTAATAATGGTGAAAAAACAATCTTGAATAATTTATTTGTATAACAAAATTAAACACATACAAAGTTAATTTAAGAAAATAAGTATGAAAAATTGATCAACAATGTAAAACAAATATAAAATGCATAAAGAATTTTATAAGATAAAATAATTTAAATTGGGCGAAAAAATAGTTATATAATCCAATTTAACTCATTCACATTATAGCACATCTACAATAATTAATGATTACCAATTATCTAAAAAATCAAATCCAGTCTTTGGAATATCATCATCGTCATCAGCATAAGTATTAGGTGCAAACTCATGAATTGTTTCTTTAGGATTACTGACAACTTGATGTGGCGGTGGCGGAGGGGGACCTTTGGGTTTTATCCTATCGCCTTTAGCGATTTTGCTTTTATCTTCAGTTGGCATTAGCGATTTAAACAATGCATGTGACTTAATTTTATTGATGAGCTTGTTATCTTGTTGATCCTTATTACCTATTCGTTTTATAACTGTAGTTTTACATTCATTAGCTGAAAAGTTTTCTCGCACACTGTCCACGTGTTTGCATAAATCTAACTGACTCCGTGTAAACCAAGAAAATCCACCTTCTGATAATTTTTCCTGTAAAAAAAAATAATAAACTTTTTGTGATAACAAATTATTTTTATTACTGAAAATAAAAAACGCGAGTAGCAGAGCTCTATCACTAAAGTAAAATTTTCTCCAACTGATTTATTACTTATGACAAAAATAATTTAATTGGTTATAACTTAAGAAGACATTATAATGAGGGAATGTCATATTTTTTTTTTTACTATTATTCAAAATATACAGTTCGATATATAAAATATAATAACCTTTATTTTTTGGCTTTTTTTAAATATCTTTAACTTTTTTAATAGTTCATAATTCAAACACTTATGAAATTCCCTCCAAAATATTGTTATCTATAAATTTCATAATAGGTATTTTTACTCTAAAATCAGAATTAAGTTAATTTTACTTATTTTGCGTAAACATAGTTTTTGTATGTTACCCGGTAGTTTGACTGAGACAGATGAGGGTAATGTTCTCTTAATAACTTAGGCAATAATCTTTTGTAAAAATTTACATTCAAACTATAATACAAATATAATTTGTAATTCTTTTTTTTTTATATGATTTACCATTTCCAGTTATAAAATTTCAAAATTTGAATACAACCTCACTTTTAAGTGATTTTAACTAAATGATAATCAGGGTGATAAGGAAATTTAGAATTAACATCTGTCTATGTAAATGTTTGAGATTTGGAGAATTATTCAAATTATTTTTTTTTGACAGGGTAAATGAATAACTTGGTTGTTTTGTTTCATTTTTTTTTTTAGTAGTATTGGTAATTAAAATTTGAAATCATATAGTTATATACAATTGTAAGTTTATATGTCTGTCAGTTTGAAATATAAATCTAGTTTTAATCCGATCTTGATGAAACTTTGCACATTTGATATTCGTAATAAAAGGAAAACATCTATCTACTTAATATCACAAAATTTAACCTCTAAGGTTAGGGAACAGTTGTCATCAACTAGGGGGTCTCGCAAAAAACCTGCAAGTGGAGAGGTATATATTAGGGACCATAAGTGAAGGAGTCTTACATAAAAAAAAAATGGGGGTTATGATTTATAAAAGGTTGTAAAACCAGTTATTCAGCTACATGACCGAAAAAAATGATCCGTCACTGCGCATGTGACTATGCACATACGCAGTCAAGTAGCAGTGCTAGGAGAAAACGACCCTCATTAAACTCGCGATCATCATTATAGATGTACGAGTCGAGTTATTCTCTTGTGGGCCAAAGTATATAATAAAGTTAATTTAACTTTCAATTTTAAATTATAAACTATATAAAAAATAATTTTAAATAAATACGTTGCCTGGAGTATTATGATATGTATATTCATTTATATATTTATTTACAAGTATTAACCATTTAATAATTTTGTTTTTACTTTATTATTTTATTATAATTTTCAAATATTAAATATCTAGTTAGTCTTCAAATTAATTTCCGAAATAACATAAAATTAATAAATTAATATTTTGGAGATGCCATTTATCTATTTTTTTTTTTTTTTCCAATAGCATAAATTAAAAATATTAATTCAATTATTTAAATTTTAATTAGGAACTCTTAATCATAGCTTTTTGAATATATTTATTAAACATATTTCGAGTTCAATGAAATCAAATAATGTGATTTTATACACCTAGATATAATTATATTAAATGATCACATGGGATCAAATTGGTTCTTTTATAATTTTATGAACAGTATATTATATATTTATAAAGATAGAAAAAAATATTTAATATTTTTTCCAAGCACTTAATTTATTTGTTGTCATCTCTATCAAGTAGTTGTGGATAATTGTTTTCTAAAATAAATATAGTGAAAATTAAGTTGAGTAATAAAATCTAACAAAAACAATTAAATGATTTGCTTATTATGTTTATAGAACAAACATTGGAATATCAAATTAACATTGATTAATTTATTGAGACATTCAAACATTTAAAATCACAGAATAGACTAATAAAATTATGTAAGGCAATTTTAATTTTAAAAATATAACTTATACTTGTCAAAATCTAGACACGCCTAAGATAGTGCCGTACGTGCTAAATCTATGTCTTGTATTAAGTATATATTATTTAAAGTGCTATACTACTGTTTATTATACAAATATTAGTTTATAGATAAATTAATATACTCTAGCGAAAAGAAAAATAAAAAATAATTATTTAATAATAGGAAATAAATTAGGTAGGTAAGGTTTAACTATAAATAAAAAAAAAAGATTGGCAAGTATTATTTTTGTTTTAGTGTTATTATACGGAGTCTCAATTATTAAATGACTTACATCAGATTTGTTGTACTTTGAATATTTCAATACAATTTCAGGACTTATAATGGATTCTTCAAGTATTTTATTTTGTTCATCGGTACTAAGACCACACCATAGGGGTTGATATGCATCTTTCGTAGCATCTACATCCTTGCGTATTCGTTCTGCAATTGGATTGATTGTGTACAAATAATCATAGTAGAAATCTTGTGACTGAACTGGGGCCATTGCAGTATCTAAAAAAAAATAAACAAAAATTGATGATGTCACAATGTTAATCATTGAGAAAAACAACATAATAAGAAGCTCGCATAAAGAAAATGTCAGGGATTTCCGACCGCAGTTATCAGAAATCTCCAAAACTCAAATCCGGCTTAAATATTATTTTTACCATTGCTCTTTTAATAGTTTTTAATAAGCTCTTATGGTCAAAAACTAATAAACTTTGTACCTATGTCTTGAACTACCTATTTAATATTAGTGTCGGAGTATTATATTCTTTCTTACCCATGTACAGCGACTGTGATTTCTTGACAGTTTTATACTGCCAGCAAATTCATAATCAGACAGTAATTGAGCCAGAGATAGGTAGATATTGCATTAGGCACATAATAGGAATAAATATTATGATATGAACATATTATTATTATTGTTCTCTGTTTTGTAATACAATCAAATTACGATTCCTTCAACGCGAGGGATAGTTGTGTTCAAAAACGGGCGTGTCAAGAGTAATCAAAATCAAATGATTATTATTGCTACATTTATGGTAATAAAAACTAGTGTTGATTACAAATTGAAATTCGTTGTAGGTTTGATCGTTTTGAACGGAGATGGACCGGCGAGACTGTGACTGTGCAACGCGCTCATGCAGTCATGCACAGGGCGCAGTGTCTTCCATGGCGCCATCTAGTAAATTGTAAAAAGTGGTAATATAGTATACTTATCTATGATATTACTACTGATAAAAAAAAAAAAATTGCAATATTAATATTAAATACCTAAGTAATTTCTTTACTTAGTACTTACCACGAACTAATAGTACCAAATGGTTAGTATTAAAAAAATAAAAAACAACTTTGCACGTAGGTGGGCCACTGTTGCATGTGAAAAGTTGGGAATGTAATGGAGGGGAAATTTAATATGTATATCTGGGCAACGATAAACCATTGATAACAAATAAACGATTTTGAGCGGAGTTTAGTTGATACTTGATAGCGAATTTTGCTTTATCAACATTATACATGTTATATTATATTAAAATAATTACATAGGCATTTTATATTATCTTTAATATTTGTTTAATAAGGTCCCTATTTACCCGTTTTTCACATTTACTGGGAAAAATCTAAATCACGAAAAATTTCCCTTTTAAAGTACCTCCCCACTTAGATTTCCTTTTAGAAAAAGTGCTATCGTTGTAAATTGGAGTAAAATTGATGGTAGAAATGTTGTTCACAAGAAAAAAAAGACTAATATTTTTTTAACTTCGGTAGGTACCTACCTATATTTCGTTAATTTTTGTTCATTTTTTCGTTTTTCCGCCAAGTATGTACGTACCTATTGCATTTTTAGTTTCTTCTATAATTGTTATGCAATCCGCGTATGATGCTAATGTTATTTGATGTCCTTTCGCTATGCTTAAACATAGCGAAAGGACAAACCCGTGATATCATCATCAAGTGCCTCTCTCTACTGACTCTAGTGCTATCTTAAATAATGTGGACTGTAGAGGATAAAGCGTCTCCACCATGTCTTAAACTTGTCTTCAATGAAAAATCTTCTATAATAAAACTTAACTTTACACTTAGATTATTGAACACACGCCTTTACCAGTATCCTGTTTTGTAGGGATCTAAGTTGAGTCATTGCTTTCAGAACTTACATTGATTTATAGAGTAATACGCCTATATGAAATCCACAAATAATAGGTACATCCTTGGCATAAATCCTGATTTAGTATTCTCCTATTATTTCACTTGAGTATTGTTTGATTTGGTTAAATATTATGTTTGATACCATTTTGTAAGAAATTGTGTGAATAACAATTAAATTTAGTACTACAATATTGGTAATTAACATAATATCATACAATTAGGTAACTAATGTATGTAACATGATATACATTTTTAACGATAAAAAGACGGTTATATTTCGCACATGGGTGCAGCAAATGTTATGGGTGAGAAGTTGGAAAGGTAGGATGTACAGACGGGAATTTAATGTACTGAGGTCTGTAAGCAATGATAAACCATAGCTAACAAAAAAAGGATTCTGTGCGGAGTTTAGTTAACAGTGTTGCTTTGTCAACAATATATATATATATATATACATTAAACATTTGTTTTAATATTTATTTAATATTGTACCAATTTTCCTGTTCTCCTATTTTTGACGGTTTTTCCAATTTATTGAGAAAGCTACTGAAAAAATCAAAAAAATGATCTTCTTTTAGTATCTTCCCAGTCAAATTTCCTTTCAGAAAAAGTGCTGTCATTATTGTAAATCGGAGTAAAATTGCCAGCAGAAATGTTTTTTAAAAATCACAATTATTATTAAGCAAACTATAAGTAATACCCAAAAATGTCTTTCTCAATACCCCAATTAGTTAACTGTAATTTATACATACAATTTGTAAATCCCTACCAGAAATCTCCCGATATTGATGATTGAAATAGAATTTCCGGTAGAATTGGTTTAGACAGTAAAAAAAAAAAATCAATCGAGTTAAGTAGCTACCCGTTTCAACCATTCAAAAGTTGCAATTTTATTTTTTTTTTCATTAATAATAAAATGTTTTCTCGATAATGTAAATAATAAAATAACAAACAAATAATTATTGCTATTAATAAATATAGATACTAAATGGAAAACCACACGTCTAGCATCATGTAAAACAGAGAAATGTATATACGATTTATATTTTATATTTTTATGAAAACCGATGTCTGGACTCTGGATTCTGTAGTGTCTATCGATGTTAAAACTCTGAAAACCTATAGATTCCATCGTTGCCACGGAATACACATTATTGATCTGCATTTATGGTTGATAAGCCACCGGTTATCACAAAATTGGCCCGTTGACAGGACTTTTACCCACTATCCAGTTATACCTATACGATATACCGGTGGCAATACCACTGGTAGTAGTTAAAAAAACGGTAAATAATGCAAAGTTCAAGGATCAGGTTTATAATAATATAGTAATATACGCCGTTCGTTTACTAATTAATGCTTAGTGTTTTATTACCGTAATAGTTGTGATTTTATTTTCTACATGCTAAAATGATATAGTGCAATAATTAAATTTAATATTTATTCACAATTGGAACGTAAATCGCAATGTGTATTAATGCGTCCATCTATTAAAATATGAATACTTGTTGATGTACAAATACTTACTACTTAGTACTTACACCGTATGACCTTATGAATCGTAAACAGTAAATTTGTTTAAATCCTTCAAATAAATATTTAATTCATAAATTATGTCATTATAATATTTTGTCTCGAATAATTAATTTTAAATAATATAAATTAATTTCGAACTGCACTCTTTGGCCACTGTAAAAACAATGGTTTTTGATAATTTATATCTTAATAAGGATCATCTTGATGGATTTGACAATTACAAAGTAAGTGATTATCTATGTACAATATAAATCATAAATAGTTTTATAATATATTATATTATATTAAATTAAATAATTAATAAATATAGTGATGTCATAATTGTTATTCTTATCACTTTTTAGGTGGGTACCTAATTAAATTTAACATAATATAAATTGTTATTAATTATGCATCTAATCAATGACCATACAATTATATATGAAAAAAATTGACATTAAATAATTATGATTAAAGTAAATTTTTGGTTGAAGTTTTGTTCTTGGGGTAGAAAAAAGTCAAAATATTAAAACTCTTATAATTTCTGTGCCCCTCATTTGACTTATGTCCCACAATTGAATTTTTAATTTTCCAATCTAAATAAGCCTAGTTTAGAGGTGTGCGTTAGTAAAATTGTTTCATTCACAGATAGCTGTAGAGGTGTTCTATTACTATAATGACCTAAATAGATCCCAGACAGAATTTTTGGTTTTTAAATTTTTAATACTTTTCAACCATATGGCTTTTTGGTAGATACCTACTTAATGGAAATCAGTATTGAAATCTCATAAAATTTGTGGGAAATTTAAAATAGAAATTCTGACAGTAGAATGTTTATAAGGTAAGGAAAGAGAATGAAAATTATAAGGGTGATTTTTAGGTACTTTTTTTTTACCCCAATTACTAGACTTCAACCAAACTTTGTTGTGTTTTGAAAAGTCTCTAAAATAAATACAATTTGATAGTATATTCAAATTTTGTATTTAAATTTAAATAGAAAAAATATTTTACCATTTCTAAATTGCATTATAAAAATGAATCCTTATATTATTTGTAAACATATTTATGAATTAAGTTTTACATTAACCTTGGCTTACATACTTAAATTTCTGTGTTTGTTCTTTTTGTAATTAAATTTGATGATTTTTCCTAGAAATTTCTCAGATGGTTATATTAATGATGGATACTTCTAAATGGTCTAAAAATTAATTAGGTATGAGTATTATAGTGCATGTAATAGCTATTTTGTAAACTCATAATTTTATGACTTCATTATGTACATTTTATAATATACATCATGTCTTGATATAACTGTAATTATTAACTTCATTTAATGTATGGGTTAGGTACTCAATCAAATTATTTACCTTAATTTTTAAATATTTTTGTACAAAAGTTAAGTCATTTTATTAAAAAAAATAAAACCCTATATTTGTTAATAATATCTGTTTATGCGAAAATTGTTAATACTTTAATAAATAAATCTAACATATAGTATAGCAAACAATAAAACCTCTGATAAATCCCAACCATTTAATCGGAGAGGTATAACTGCAAACCCCTTTTGTAGACTTTGATGAGTTACCTTAGAGTCTATTTGAATTAGAGGTGTTCAATATAAGAACAAATCAAAAAGTTTTCGTCAATTGTGTTTTTTTGATATTATTTATTTGAGGCACGAAAAAAAGATTTTTAATTTTAGGGAGGCTTTAGCAAAAGGTTTGGAAACTTAATGAAGATATATAATAATATAAGTATATTATTTTTTCAAAAATGTGTTTTATTACTTAAAATATTTTAATTGGATGTAGGTAGGTACTTAATTATTTTAAACTTTAAAAGTTTTCTCAAATATTTAATTAATTGATATTGTAGTTACTTAATTTAATTCTTGGAACAAACATAAAATATATTTTACCCTAATAGAAAACTGTTTTAAAATATTTAACCTTGATCTTATTTATCATTTAATAAGCCAAATAGTGAAGAAGTCAATAGTGACTCTAGTAGGTTATTTAGTAACAATAAATCAATAAGCTGTTAATGGATGCAGTAAAGCATAGCTAGGCTATTGTATGACTGTAATGAGCCATCAGTGAAAAAGCTTTCATGGAAAAGTATTTGACAAAACTAAGTGATAATAAGTTAAATCAAGTCCACCGTGTATCTTTTGGGGCCAGTAGAATGACCTAACCTTACCACTTTGATTTACATTAATAATTATTTTTTTAGTATAATGCAATTGATACAAATCCGCTGGGTACATACATTATGCACCCATTTTGGAACACTTTAATTAAGGTATGTGACATGTTTATTAGTTATTTTTAAATATTTATATTACTCCAACAAAATATTGAATATATTTTATGTGAACTATCTTGTAATAACAACGTCTACTCAGTTTATTTTATTTACCAATGTTTTTCTTGCACATATTTAATTAATTTTAATTATAGATAACTCCAAGATGGATTGCACCTAATTTGCTAACTTTTGTTGGTTTTTTATTCACTATTGGAGCTTCACTTCTCCTTGCTTATTATGACTATGGTTTTTATGCATCTGGAATATATTATAAGGGTGATCCAATACCAAGATGGGTATTTGGTGTTGTATCTTTATTTTTTTTCATATCATATTCTCTCGGTAAATATAATTAATATTTTTAAATATGATCAAAATTATAATAATCATCTAATTGTTATTTTAGATGGTTTAGATGGCAAACAGGCAAGGCGTACTGGCACGAGTGGACCATTAGGTGAATTATTTGACCATGGCTTGGATTCCTGGACAACTATTTTTATACCAACAGCACTTTATTCAATATTTGGTCGTGACGATCCTAATACTATTCAACCTATTCGAATGTATTTTATCTGTATAATGGTGTTCATTAATTTTTACTTAGCTCATTGGGAAAAGTATAACACAGGAGTGTTATATTTACCATGGAGTTATGACTTTTCAATGGTTGTAAGTTTATCTTTATATAATATTAATAATATTTATTGAACCAACAAAAAAAAATATATAGTATAGAATGACATTATCTTATAAAATATTAGTTAGAACCTGACCTAATAAGTATATGCTTGAAAACAGATGAGTGAGCTGAGTTCATAGTAAGAAGTGAATGAAAGAAGATATACAACATTTGTATACAAAATTATAAAACAACAATTAAAGACAGGAGAACATATTAGTTATACATTTCTTATATTTATTTAAATTTTCAGGGATTAGTTATTTTTTTTGGTCTTACTGCTATTTTTGGACCAGAAAAATGGAAAATAACTTTAATAGAAAATTATTCTTTGGGGCATGTTACAGAAATAATGTTTTATTTTACTACATTCGTTACTAATATTCCAGTTTCAATTTATAATATTTATGTGTAAGTAATTTTAAACAATTTTTTATTAATTAATTAATATTATTTATGTAAATAATAATTATACATTTGCAGAAGTTACCGAGATAAGACTGGTAAAAATTTAAGTATTTTAGAAGGTAGTAGACCATTGGTTCCTTTAATTGTATTTGTGTCATTGTGCATGATATGGGTAAAAATTTCACCAACCAATATTCTTGAAAAGGACCCAAGAATGTTTTTCATGATGAGTGGAGCAATATTTTCAAATATTTGTGTAAGTAAAATGCGAGGTTAAATCATAAGGTGTTTAAATTTTAAATTTGACATGCATTGAATATTATATTAAAATACATATTTATTATGAAATAGGGCTTCTTGATAATAACTTTTCCTTCAGAATTGATTAATTAAGTAATTTTTTAGGGATCCTATAATTAGAACACTATTATTTAGTCATAAGATAATAATATGCTATATAACAACATGAAATATCTGGTTATTTCACTGTTAATATTTAGGATTATGCTTGTTAACTACTATTTAAGGACAGTAAAAATGAGATAGTTTTAAATTGTAGAAGTCCATTAAGTGGATTTATTTATTTATTTTTAACTTCTATTATCCATATCAATTGCCTTAGTTGTCAACTAAGACTTAAAGTAATCAAGATGCCTATTAATTTTAGATTTTCTTAAAAATTGTATTGTAAAAATAAATTGTGAATTTTATATTGAATTGCAATAATATCCAATTTAACTAAATATCGATTATGATTTGTGTTTTATTTTAGTGCCGTTTAATTGTGGCTCAAATGAGTAAAACTCGCTGTGAAGCACATAATAGTTTATTAACACATATGTGTATAGCTATATTTTTTGGTGCCTTTTTACCTCCATTTGAGATAATTGTCTTGTATATTATGACATTTATTAGCATTATGACGCATGTATACTATGGAGCGTGTGTAGTAAGTTTTTATTATATTATTATACTATTAATAACTCACGTTTGTATGGGGAAAAAACCATTCATAGTAAAAATTATAATTTGATACAGTTAGTGATGGTATGTCCTCGTCATTAATTGTGTATGATTAAAAGAAATAAATGCAATTTAGCACCAGTGTTCTGTTTCTATTTTTCTTTATTTTTTTTTGAAAATGTGTGTTTAAAGATACCGAATTTAAAAATAAAAAACGCTTGTTTTATTGCTCTTTTTATTTTGGAAATTATTCAAAAAAAGAAATGTTTTAATACGATTGGAAATTACAGGATTTTAATACTGAAGTTGTCCAATCAGAATTTTTTCGGAAACTATTATTTTTGAAGTTCTAGCAATTTGAAGACTGTAGGTATGTCACTATTTATCATATGAGGAACAAATAGTGAATTTAGGGGACAATTTACTGTATTCAATATCATGTAATTTAAAATACTGATACTTCTATAGTATAGAGCAATAATTTTTTCCAAACACCTTTTAACTCCGTATCTTAAAACAACACATTTTGAAGAAAAAAAAATTATACTGCATTCATGCCGATTAAAAATAAAATTACATAGTGTGTTACTAATTTTTCGGTGGTTAACTTAATATTCGTTGTCAAAGATATATCTATAATACATTTAATTAATCAATTTACCTATTATTAAATTATGAATGGGCTAAACACTTTACTTAAAATTATATTTGGCATGGTATAATATATTTTAATTTTTTACTATAGGTGATACAGATGGCTGATCATTTTAAAATCATGTGTTTCAAAATACCATATAAGAATCATTAGATATATAAAAGAAAAGAAAACATTTTATTATAGCCTTCAAAAAAATCCTTATTTTGTTTTTGATTTCTTTATTTTCTACATAAATTATACAAACATTCATGAAATAATATGTGCTAAACATTTTGTTTCTTGAATCTCTTCATTAACTAAGCATATAAGTAAAAAATTAATTATATTTTATTATTGTTTAAACATTCTTTTTTTTTTTTTTTGATATAATTAATGATTATTATGAATAATACAAGTTAAATATGATTAGATAAACTGTATCTGAATCATAATACTTGATTTGATTAATTAAACAAAATATGTTAGGTAATTATGTTTTATAAATTGCATTAATATGTATTTATCATTTGTTTTAAACATTTAACATTATTTATATGGATATTAACTAATTTAGTTCTAAGTTATATTTAAAGTACAATAATTTTAGGCAGCACTAAATTTGTAGTACAGCTCTTAATATATCACCGTAGTAACAGTATTGTAGTAAAGTATGCTTTTTTCTTGTATTATGGTAAAATATATAATCATAGTAAGTGGGTTTGCCCCTCCCCAAAGATCTACCACTGTAACATAATGGCAACTATTTAATTATTTGTTATTAAATAATTTTACTAAATATATAACATTTAATAACTTTATAATATTGGTACTTATTTATTTTTATTTTTTTTTATTATGTAGTATATATTATATTTATCTTTAGAAAATGGAAACTAATTTAACAATATTAAGGTATATGTGTAGACATATACAAATGTTTTTTGTCCTTCTAGTATGTTATATAAATATAATACAAATAATAATTCAAAATAAGTGCCAATGTTCATATTAATTCGAATGTGTGATGTGTACAATTTGGACCACACTGTTACTGAATACAAATATATTTGATGTGTATTTATTATTAAATAAATAATTATTTTACTTGATTAGTTTCTAGAATTTAGTCAACAAGTTGATCAATATCATAATTTTATATTATATTATTTATTGATGACTTGAAAGTCTGTTTTATGTTGTTTGTTTGTTTTGTTTTATTTTTTGTAAAAATAACGTGTGTTAAAATATGTAAGAAGAATTTACCAATTGTATACAAATAAAGAATATATACTTAATAAGTCACAAATTTAATAAATATGTATTTTTTTTTTTTCATTTTAATTCTCTATTGCTTGGTTGTGTTTAATACAACCATTAATTTGTTATATAAGTTAGGTAGATATCAAGAAATTTATGTTTTGGCTGTATAAAATCACTTAAAAACTATAAGAGGTAGAAAAATAAAATTGTTCAATAAAATAATAAAACCGGAATTCTGTTACACTCAAAATAGAATTTAAAAAAACCTAAGGTTAGTTTACTCCACTTATTTAAGAGGTTTACTCAATATTTTTTGGGTGTATTTTCATAGGATGCCTTCCGGCACTATTTAGCCTGGTTCAAACGATCAAATATTTAGCGTAAGTCAAACTTCAAAATTTAAAGTTTTTCAAATATTGGATTATTAGATTGATAACCAATTGTTGTCATGATTTATCATGATTATGAAATATAATTTACGCATTGTATACAAATGCATTGTCATTTGTTGTCCAATTATAATTTATTATTAAATTTTATTACTCATACAAAATTTTAGATAAAACCAAATTAATGTTCAATGACATCGAAGAGAGTAAAGGTTTGTATTGCTAGACTGAATACTGAACAGACAGGAATTGGTACCACTAAAAACTGGTGATCACGAATAGGTGGGATCAGGAATTATTTACATTTACGAAATTGGGGTTTGGGAGAATAAAATTGTTATATTATATTATATAATATGTACGATGAACACATATTTAAAATTTAATTGTAATTTTATATTTATATATGTATATTATACCTAATATATACCGATACTTTAGAGTAATAAGAATAAACTAATGAATTGAAATTGATGTTGAAATTTTATCTACATCGTGATTAGTACTCATGATAATTATTATAAAACTTAAATTTACGCGGGTAAAACTGTTGTTATGTTTGACCAATCACTACAGAGTTTTAATTATGTACAATTTGATAAAATGTTTGATCGCATAGATATCTATACTCCATAGATACCTGTGGTTTATATATTTTGTGGTTGCACGTGATTACGTACATAATATTAATTATCAAACAATTATATGATAATTTTTAATAATTCATTATTCAACATTTCAACTAATAGTTAATTTATTTGTTAATTGAGTTTTTTTAATCATGAATTCGTTACCTGAAGGGTCTTTTAAACGTAAAAAAAAGCGAATGTCAACTTACCAACGTGCTGTTAAGTTCTCTAAGCGAGGAAAGTTTGGACACGGTTTCCAAATCCAAGATGAAGATTTCCAGTATTTCTTAAATATTTTAAAAGTATCTAAGGAAACATTCGAAAACAATGAAGATAAACGTAATTTTACTATTAAAATATTGCTGCTGGGAATCAAATTAAATTTTAAAAAATTTCAGAATCTTTTGTCGACAATGTATTCAAACAGTTAAGTGGTAATGAAGTGAACTATTGTAGTAACCAAGTAGTTTCACGTGTTGTAGATGATTTACTGCCCGAAGCCAGTGACCAAACTGTAATGAATTTGATTGAACACTTTGAAAAAGATTTAAGATCTATTTGCTCTGATCAATTTGCTAGCCATGTACTCCAACAGTTATTACATGTTGCAACTTATAGAGCATTTAATGTAATTTCAAATTTTATTAATAAATCAAATTATTTTGAATAAAATAATCTAACTAATAAATATTTAACATTCATTAATCATAGATCACAATGCAAGATGTTTCTGAATCCATAAAAGAAAATTACAAAAAGTTTGTTAATAAACTATGCAAGTATATATTAAACAACTTGGATGAATTTATATGGGATACATATGCTAATCATATTATACGTAGCTGTATGGCATGTTTATGTGGTGAACCATATTTATGTTCCAAGACATTTCAAGACAAAGGAAAAAAGGTTGATACAACCAAAGAACATAAAGATTTATTAAAGAAATATGCTGACAATATAATTAATATTCAACAATTTTCAGGTAAATAGTTTGGGCAATTTAGTTAATTACATACTTATATGACTTATATAACTTTATGACTGTGCATTTATTTTCCAATTATTATTGTTTAGAAATGCATACAACTGATATCACTTCAGGACTTTTACAAGTATTATTGAAATGCATTTCATCCGTATCTAAAAAGAGGTTTAAGGCTCTTGTAAATAAATTAATGGGTGAATGTTTTCCGGAAAATGCAAGTAATTCTTTTGAACATTTTTCAAAAACCCTTGAAAATGGCTCATTTTCCCGGTACAAATAAATTTATTTTCATCATAGTATTTTGTTAAATATCAAGTAATTCAAGTATTAATAATGAATTTTAATTTTAGGTTACTTGATGTTATCATTACTGAATCACCAAACAAATTGAATAAATCATTATATGAAAAATATTTTAGTGATAAACTTCCAGATTTAGTTGTGCACCGAAATGGTAATTTTACTATTCAAAAAATATTATCAACAACGACAGATGTTACCCAAGTATTAATATTGTTTAACATAAACTTTAAACATATTATATTTATAATGATAAATAATATTTTAATTTGGTTAGTTTGAAACAATGTTTGATCAATTAAAGGAAAAAGTACCCACAATAATAAGCTTAGGTTATACTGGAGTGTTATTAGAGTTGTCTAATGCTTGTTTACGACTGAAGAGTAAACAAGCTTTATTTTTAAAAGTAAATTTTAATTATTTGTATTGAATCAAATTCACAATAATCGTTTAATTCTGAATACTTATTTATATATATATATATATATATTTTTTTAATAGACTTTATGTGAATCATTAAAATGTAAAGAAGAAACTGAAGATGGTATTACAGTTTTATTACTTATTGGATTAAAAGTAATTGAAAATTACGATAGTTCTTGTAAAGAACCACCAATTCATATTCATGGTTCTATGATAGTCCAAACTCTTTTGAAATTCAATAAGCCAATTAAAGTAATATAATATTTTGTAGATACAAATAATAATAATAATAATTGCACATACGAGGAGAGTTTAAATATATTTTTTATTGTAGGTCGTGAATAATTTAATTAATTTAGAAACTGAGCGTCTTGTATATATATTTTGTGACGTAAAAGGCAGTTACGTAGCTAATGCATATTTTGAAAGTACATTTATTGGAGAACGAAGTCGAGAAAAAATGATATGGAAATTAAAAGTAATAAAATAATTTTAATATTTATAAGTATTTTTAAAAAAACTTAATATGTTTTTAGGATCATTATTCAACACTAGCAAAATCAAAAAGTGGTTCTCGTGCTTTTGATTGCATATGGAAAGTAGCAGATTCAAAACAGCGTTTTATGATTATGACAGAGTTTATGAAACGCGAATCTGAACTTACCAGTACACAATTTGGTTCTATAATTGCATCTAAACTAAATTTAGGCCTGTTTAGGCATAAGAAAGACGAATGGATTAAAGAAGATCAAGATAAATTGAAGACACTGAAAGTTTTTGAAATTAATAAATATTGTTAAAATTATTGTGCAATTAATAATTATTTAAATTTATTAAGGTATCAAAAAATATACAATGATTTTTTTCTTAAACGTAAATATTCCAGTTACTGCCATCTTCTGGTAAAAGTTGATTAGTAACTAATAGTATGACATCTACTATCCACCAGATCCCACCACCTCCAAGTGTCAATAATTTCCCAACAGCTGTTCCAGTTTGCCCTAAACAAAATCTGTCCATTCCGAGGAATCCAAGTAAAATAGAATACAGTAGAGTTGTAAGGAAATAATAGCCACCATACCTGTAATTAATATAATATTATTATTACATTTTTTCTTGTAAAATAAAAGACAATATCAGTATAGAATAATTGAATAATTCATATACATACTTTACACACGGAAATCCATCCCTAGTAAAGTGTCTTGAACCGTAACATTCTATATCAGGTAAAACATGACACTGAACCTTTGCTTTTTCTACATCTTCATATCTATAGCTACCACCATACTAAAATATCAGATTAATATATGCAAAACATTATTTTAAAATATCATTACAATAACTTAACTTACCTTATAGCAACCACTGGTCACAGTTTCATCTCTGGTTTTATTTCCATTTATATTGACCGGTTCTTCACATTCAATGAATTCCATTGGTCTAAACAATATAATAAGTATTTTAAAAATAAAAACTATTTCAACACAGTAAACAACCTATTTACAATTGTAATGAATTTGTAAATGATTATATACAAACAAACAAAATGTATATATATTTACAGAAATGAGCATAAGACAAGCGGTCCAAAGGGATTATAATGCCCTTCTGAGTTGTTATCCACTGATGAATCATTTTTAGATCCTCCATCAATTCTAGACAAAGTTCCATTCAATGCTGCGTGAGCGTGACACTGATAAAGGCGTGTTGCCAAACAGTATCCAAACACTATTAGTACCCAGTTATATTTGTCAATGGCCATTGTCTGTTTTTATGACAAATAACGAGAAAACGAAAGCAAATAATAAATCCATTCTTCAGTGATTTAGTATGAAGTTCGAAAACAAATATGTTTTGTTTACCAACTGGGTACTAGCAACTAATTTTCTAATCTATCTATTTCGTTATCGCTAAATTTGTAACTCGGTATGCGGTTACTTATTTAACAAGAGACGTAACCATCAGAACAACCATAGGTAATAATTATTTTACTTGTAGAGGTAATACCAAGGATACAATATATTTATTTGTAATACTACGGCCAAGGTGGATTAATCCACCTTGTCAAGCGGCCTTAGACCACGATTTAGGATATCTTAAAGGGGTAATACTATAGAGTAACCCGTTTGTCCCACAAAATACTTGTTCCACAGTATTTTTGTTCCACATTTGTTGCCGTCCCACAATTCCATATTATCTTAGTTCGTGGTATCAGTACACCTTGTTTATTATCTACATCAGCAACACGTAATATTGTTATCAATGTTTATTTCAATAAGTAATGAGTAATAAATTATTATTGGGATTTGGGAATAAATTATTTATTTTATGTCAACTCCAAAACACTTATCGACTGTGAGTCATAGTATTAGTAGTTCAATTCGAATATTTCTTTCGGTTTTTTGCTGTGTCGAACACGCTATTACCAGTATAAAATGGCAAACTTTGCATCACCAATGCCGTCCAGGGAGTTTTTATGGGATGTGTTTCAAAGGTGAGTGAAAGTAACTGTTTAACTGATAGATTTTGACTAGTTGTGTCCATTAATTTGGTTGTGTAGGGTAGATAAAGATAGAAGTGGATTTATCTCGTCTGATGAATTACAAATGGCGCTTTCCAATGGCACTTGGACTCCGTTCAACCCAGAAACCGTCCGTCTGATGATTGGCATGTTCGATAAGCACAGTAGAGGTACTGTGTCATTTGACGATTTCGGCTCCTTGTGGAAATATGTAACTGATTGGCAAGCATGTTTTCGATCGTTTGATCGCGATGGCTCGGGCAACATAAATGTAACTGAACTCAAAGATGCCCTATCATCATTTGGTTATAGACTAAGCGAACAGATTGTATCAGTTATGCTTAAACGATTCGACCGTTTTGGTCGTGGCACAATACTTTTTGATGATTTCATACAATGCTGTGTTGTATTACATGTATGTCCTATTATTATTAGTTTTTGATTAAAATTCATAACCAATTAAATCTATTGTATTATTTAAATATGTTATGGAATTTTATTTAATTTTAACATTTTTTTTTTTATTTCCAGACCCTTACTGCTTCATTTCGCCAATTTGATACTGATCAAGATGGATATATTACAATTCATTATGAGCAATTCCTGAACATGGTATTTGGTTTGAAAATTTAAATTCATTAGGTACCTATTATGCAACTATTTTGTCTACAGAGCTAGGTATCAAATGTAAAGGATATAATTAATTAATTGTGTAGGTAACATCAAATTTCAGTTGTTAAATTATTATACTATAATAACTGTTATTTCATATGTCAAATTGATTCTACATGCATGTGATATTTTTAAATTATCAATAATTTTGTACTATTCCACAGAAAACTAGTTATTGAAATAAACATAAAATATAATTATTCCTAACTTTATTGGTGGTTTTATTATTATATGTATTTATATTAAAAAATAAATATATATATATGGCATATATATTAAACAGCAAAATATCAAAAATATTAACTTTAATATACTGACTTTCTCAAAATTTAGTTTTATAAATAAACAAATACAAACAAATTAATAGAAATCAGGTTCTTTTGTAGTAGATGAATTGATTTAATTTGACTATTTGAGAATTTAATACAATAGACTAATAGAGGATCACTCACTTGTGTGTTTGGCAAAAAGTGTTCCTTTATAACCATTTGTTCTTTAACTCTATAAATATATTTATTTTTGTTTATAATAAAAAGTGTAATTCAATTTTATACATTGTACAAAATAATTTAGTATCAGATCAAGTATTTATAATTCTGTCACTCTTCAGTGGTGTACAGACAGTAAGGTGGGAATTAATCAGTCTGATATTGAGGAACTTTTGTTACTCTCGCTTCGGAAGTGAAAGTTCCTCGAGACCCTTTAGTAAGTCAAGGGTATTCTGGAAATGGTCACTGACAAGTACGGATTCAACATTAAACATGTTAAGTACATCAAATAGGTTAGTGCATTCTTTGAGACCTACTCCAGTAGAAATATAGATCTAGTCATTTAGGAGTTAAGAAGTGACACGCAATTTATGGGACATATATGAGAGCTTACACATGTCCCTTTTTTTGAAATAATGTATTTTCAGTCATCTTTTATTCAAAAAAACCTTATTGCGTTATTTGGAGATAACGAGACACATTGGGGAACTGTCCTGTCCAACGCCAAACGAGTGGTCACGTTAAGTATAATTAACCTACATGATAATATAATAAGTTTAAGCTGACTGACATGAGACTAACTAACTAGGTTTTTGGTATACAAAATGTACAGACGTTTCGTTTGTGTATATTATGTAGGTACCAAAGTCTTCTCTTTTGAATGTTTTTTTTTTTTTTTTTTTTACTCAATTATCAATTTCAATGAAAAAAATTAAATACAAATTTAAACAACTAACATAAAAATAATACAATTTAAACATTTTTTTGCTTTCTGTTACTTTTTAATTAAGGCAGTTCCCAATAAAACGTCTATGAATCATTTTAATTAGATTAATTTTAACAATAACAATAATTTTATTGATCAAAATAATTATTTTTCTCCAACATAATAGAATATACAAAAATTCTGGGTGGGAGGAGTGGATAATTCCTAAAACTAGTTTTTTACAGGAATGCACAGATGACATGATGCTTGCTGAATATTGAATAACAAACTGGTGAGTAGCACTAGTACCAGCCGGGTTACCTCTTGTCAGCCGTTGGTTAACATTTCAATAGCCTAGTGTGATTTAAACTTTACTCTCTGGAAGGTATTAAAATGTAGTATAACAAGTTGTGTAATTCAAACTTAAAAGGTGTGTAGCGACTATATTATTATATTAATGTGTATTATTTTTTAATTTTACATTTTTTTGCACTAATAATTTTTATTGGAGACAAAAAAATTTTAAAATGCATCTTTATTACATTTTTATATAACAAGGTAAAATATCGTAAAATATTGACTGCTATATTATTTCAAAGATGATGAAGACACAGAATAGATTAATAGTCTTTTATTATCAATTTTTTATTCATAGGTAGGTAATACATTATTAAATAATGAAAACCGGGTAAAAACTGATCATATGTGTGTTTAATATTTATTGTATTAATGATGAGTAGATCGTATTATTAATGTATTTTTTAAAATTTTTTTTAGTTAATTTATAAAAAGAAACGAATATACTACCTAATTTAGTTTCTTTGAGAAAATCTAAAATAACGTCTTAAAGGTAAGTACTACATTAATTTAGAATCCAGTCGTTGTAGAAAAAAAATTGGGCTGTTTGACCTCATATAATACATAGGGGAAAATGTAAATTTAGATTAATTTGTGAGTAGTTATTTTTTTGTTGATGTGTTGATCAAAAATTCTTCCCACCCCAATTATTTTGGGGTGGGGGTTGATGATATTTATGATATATAGTTTGATACAGTGTGCAGTATGAAAAAGCACTTATTTTATTTTATTATTCAATATTTTAGATTCTGCTCTCTAGTAAGTAAAATTACCCTAGTAATTAAAATCGCAGATAACTTGTCACATGTAAAATGTAATATACATGCGTGTGCGCGACTAATAAGCAAGTGGGTGAATTTGATACGTAGAATGAATTACTCTATGATCAGTACAAACTATAACTGCTATTATTATTATCTATATTTGAGTCTGATGATGAATGATTAAATAGCTCAAATGTAATCGAAGCTTATTTATTTGTTTGGTATATTCCATAAATATACAAAATGTTTGTGGTACCCACATAGTATGGTTTATTTTTGTATAGAGTAACCATAGACTTATACAACATGTCTATGTTGTAAGAGGATGCATAAAATGTATTATATGTCTTTGGGAGTAACTCATCATTAGTTAAAAGTATTTTAATAAATTCATATAAGGTGTAACTTAACTCACAAACGGAATAAAATATATGGAGTTAACAGTTGGGAATCACTGATATAACTATCTTGATATTAGACCTTAGACATATTGACAGAACAAGTTGTTCAACGCGGTGACGGTAGAATGCGTCTTATGAAGCACCGAAGTACACCGCACATGCGCACCATAGATAAGTATACCATTGTACTAATGGTAGGAATGTTTTTTTGGCTGTACCACTCTACCCCGCCATACTATTGTTCGCTCGGCCGTACTGGTCTGTCCCGCCATTCTTGCGTAGTTGCACGTTCCGTTTCCGTCTATGCGTTCTGACTTCCACATACTGAGTGGAGTGGCAACGTCGCTTTTTTATTATCATTAATAATTTGTTATGTGTTCAAACTGTACAACAAAATAATACTACTAGGAATTTTCATTCCGGTTAGTGGAGTTGAATAATTAGTGTTTGCTTTGTCGATTCGAATTTCAGGCTTTAAGTGTTTACTAATTGGAAAACAAAAAATTACAGTTGGTTTGTAAAAGAATAGTTGATTTTTGTCAACTGTTTTAAATATGTCAACGTCGGGTAAGTGTATAATGTTTAATTTATTTTATCCATAAAATTTGATACATTCATCTTATCTGATTTTTTATTTTTCAGAAACGACAAATGGAGCTACTACTCCAGTAGCACCGACAGTTGATGCTCCATCTGAATCAAGTATTTCGGAATCTCAGGTTTGTGTTACATTAATATTAATAATGTATATAAAAAAAAAAAAAAAAAATGAAACAATGAAAAGATAACTTTTTAATATAAATGTTTCAATAAAGAAGGGTACTACCTCTGAGAATAATGCTAAAAGACTGAAAAAGGATTCCAAACATAATGCTCCGATGCGTCAATATTTAGATCAAACTGTGGTACCGGCATTGTTAGTTGGCATGAAGGAATTGGTTAAGGAAAGGTAATAATTTATAATTTTTTTTACATACCTATTTTATTTATAATATATTATCAGAATTATTATAAAGTTGTTTATATATTATATACTGTTAATAGTGTTTATTATTAATTATAATAGCTATGACCTGATGATATGTTAACAAATTTGTGTGCAATAATAAAAATTCATTAGTTATTTATAGGAAAACCTCTAAATATAAGAAACTAAAGAACAGGCTCCTATGTGTAGTTTAACTTTTGACTTTAAGAATTTTCAGCTTTTATGCAGCTTTTGTACAATAATTATAATCTTATTATCATAACTTTTCTCCACATGGCCCAGTTTATGTTGGGAGTTTTCATATTCCACGATGGCATAAATGTTATTAATACTTAATAATTGTTATATTTGTTAATATGTTCAATTTATTATCAATGTATATTTCAGTCAATTCTGTCCGATCGCATAGAATACATAACACGTCTGGTTGTGAAATAATATTTTTCTATTGGCTTTTTCGTATATAAAGAATTATTTTGTTTATATTTTATATAAATAATTTGTCAGAAATATAAATACTGTTAATCAGAATAGACTACTTAATAATAGAAGAAAACAATTTTGTTTTTATTAACAATTATATTTTATATTGGGTACAATTAAATATTATAAATGAAGTATGTATAAAAACAACAAATGTATAAGCAATAGTAAAATTTTCAAATAGTACTTGTATTAAAAATCCTTTATTTATCCTTTTATTATAATACAATTTATTTGAAAACATGAAACATGAAACATTTGAGACATTTGCCTGCTCATATAAAATTTAGAGGTGCGCCTGCTGAAAGGTTAAATTAAGAATAATTGTTGAATGTTTAGATAAAATTCTCTACTCAAAGGTTATATTTTATTACTTTTACTCGTAATTTAACTTATCTTTATTGTCCAGTCATTGAAATGTTATCACATTAAAGAAAATATTTTTCTGGTTTATGTCATTTGAAGTTGTCTTATTCATATTTAGTTGTGTTTGTGCCTCCAATATACAAACTTATATTGTAGTATGCAATGGTGAGTAAAAGAAAAAATTGATGTTCTCAAATTTAGTGCGTTCAATACAAATATGAGATAGTTTAACACTTTATTTCTTTATTTTTTTCCTCTTTGAATACCAGACACGTCCAACTAGTGGACAAAATTTTAGTGACCAAGGGTATCCAGTATTCAGGGGTTTCACTGTATATTATGTTCTTAAATTAATCATATTTAAAATTAATTTTTATATTATATTTATATAGTGTTTTTAGTTTAGTATCATGTTTTTTTTTTGTTTATGGTCTTTTAGACCACACATCCATGGTCTCCATCCATCACGATATATACGCCAATATACGCCAATCTTCACCTGGGTGTAAGTTTGCTACATCTCTCTCGGCACAATCCTCCCATCATGTTCAGGGTCTTCCCAATGGTCTTTTCTCTCTTAGATTCTCATATAGAACCTTCTTTATCATAGCTGCAGGTTTCCTCCACATGTGACTTGCTCATTTCAGTCTTTTTATTTTTATCTCTATATCCGGTTTGTTGTACAGGTCACATAGTTCATTATTGTGCCTCTTGCGCCATTCTCCCGTTTACCTACTGGTCATGGCAGGGTCCATAAATCCTTAATATTTTTTTCTCAATGTACCAAAATATTTGAATTTTGATACTTTTTTTAAAACTGTAAGAGGACCCTTCTTCTATTTGCCTTTCATCCTGTCTTCTTCTGATTTCCATATATTCTGTTTTCCCATCATTAATTTGAAATCTCACTTTTTTGCCATTTCTATAAGTCTTATGCATAAACTTTTCACTGTATTTTTGTTTTTCCCTAGAAGTACTATCTCTTCTGCATACGCTAACAGACTTATTAGTGTTCTATACAATTTTGTCCCTTCATCTGGTGATATATTCACTATTCTAACTATTTTTTCCAGAACCAAATTAAAAATAATTGGGAATAGTGTATCAGTTTGCTGAAGACTTGTGTTCACCTGAACCTCCCTCTATAATACTTTACCAACCTTGACTTTTACCATAGTTTTTTTTAAACTGGCTTTGATTAGTCCTATAAGTTTTTGTGGGAAAAGAAAATGTTCTAAAATTTTGAAAATACATTCCCTCTTAATACTGTCATAAGCCTTGATCAAATTCCCAAGTTTTCTGAAATAGTTATCTTATAATAAATATTTGGTCTATTGTGGATTTGTTTCCTCTGAAACCACTTTGATAGTCCCCTATAATTTGTTTCGCAAAAGATTTGACTCTATCCAGAATGCAATAAGATAGTATTTTATGTCACATTCACTATGGCTGTACTGCTATAGTTGTTACATTCCTTTTTATGTATAGGACATATTAATGCCATATTCAAATCTTCAGGGATCTATTCAGTAGTCCATATTTTTCTCAATTAACTTGTGAACCATCTCGACCATTGTCTCGTCTCTACATTTTAGAATTTTGCCTTGAAAGCCATCTTTGTCAGGCAATTTATGGTTTCTTAATCTCTTAATTTGTGACTTAATTTCTTGTAATGTAGATTTTTCATAACTGCAATTATTGAGCTATCCTTGCATTCAGTTAAAATTTTCTTCAGGGTCTTCTTCATTGAGCAATGGTTCAAAATATTCTGCTCATCTTTCTGCTATTTCCATCTTTGTTGTTATCAGTTCTCCATCTTTTTCTCTTATAAATCTTTCTTGCCCTTTATATCCCTTCCTCATTTCATTTATCTTCTGGTATAATTGTCTACTTCTGTGTGCTTTGTGATCTGATTGTGCCTCTTCTATCATTTTATTTATATATTTCCTTTTCTCTCTTCTACAGATATGATGTGCTTATTTTCTTCTTGCAGTGTATCTTTCTATTGAGGTGGTTTGTTGTCTTTTAACCATTTTAATCTTGCCTCGTTTTTTCTTATTAGAACTTTGGAAACTATATTAAACCAGGGTTTCATTTTAGATCACTTTTGTATAAGTTATATATATATACTTTATTGTATACAGTTTCATTTGATTTATACGTTAGGGTGCTGAACATATATTGTTTAGATCATAAATTTGGTTACTAATATTTATAGGTACAGAATTTATTATTAAACTAGTATAGAATAAATTGTAGACATAAAATTGTTTACTGATTTCTTATTATAAAATACTAGGAATGTTAACATTAAAGGATCTAGTAGTGATCAATTTGTTCAGAAGATATTTGAAATTTTATTTTTAAATTGATATATGAGTAGATGTACTTATAAATGCCATTATTTTATATTTAAATGCTAAACATGGGTTTCTTTTTAAATATAACTTAATATTTACAGTATTTCTAAGTTTTACTTATAGTTAGTTTATATTTTTATTGAACACATAACAACTAATGGTTTATTTTGTTAAAAAATTTGGGAACGCGTTGTATGCTATCTACACAAACATTGATCACATTGTATGTTATTTACTTATCTACTTTTCTGACAATAAATGTGTCAGACATTGACGGTGTGCTCTTATGTTATAGGTATAGTTATCTATATGATACCAACTAAACCCGATTTCTGGATAAACTAGTTTATCCTTTACACCAAATGTGTTTAGCCTTTAAAACACCGGTATCTATACATTATGTATATAAATTGTATGGTTTAACCAGTAACCAATATAGAATATAAAATTTACTCTATTCGGGTTTTTTTTTTAGCGACAACAAGAATTAAGTCATTTTCATACGCAAAAAAAAAAACCAAAGGGGATACGCGAGTTCCAAAATTTGATTAATTCAATATTCTCCCTCTTAAATTCTTTTCGAACAGATTCTAACCTCGTCCCCCTTTGATCTTCATTTTTTGATTTTTCTGAATCAGATTATCAATCAATCTTATCTTGCTTTATTCGGCTAACGACTTAATGGTTGTCTTTCTAGACGCTATTCACTAATCAATTCTCTCTTATGTTCCCAAAATTCCAATTCGCAAATTATCTTACCCTGGCTATTTCTCCCGCGAGCTCAAAGTCCTCATATCTAAATAAAATCACGATCATGCAAAGTATAAAAGGCTCGCCTCCTTATCTCATTATCGTTCCTTCTTTATTATTTATGCACGCTAAAAATTTCTTTCAAAATAATGCTTCCGGCGATTTCTGTTCCCGTACTGAATACCTTCCCTTATAACCCCTGCTCTTTCTGGAGGTTTATCCGTAAAACTCGTTCGTCTCCTCCCATACATCTTAAAGCCACTTACGCCGGTACAACAAGCTACTGTGTCTCTGAGGTTACTAACTTTCCTAAATTCCGGAAAAAATCCGGAACTAAATTTCCTTTTAAAAACATTGCTACCATTAAAAGTTGGAGCAAAATTGCTGGTTGAAAATTTGTGCACAGAAAAAAGAAGAATATATTTTAACTAATACCTATATTTCTTATATTTTCCGGTTTTTCTTCAAATTTGATGAGAAAACTGAAAAAATCGAAAAATTACTTCTCTAAAGTACCTTCCCACGCCGATTTTCTTTCAAAAAATGTGCTATACTTAAAAATCCGAGTCCAGTCTTCTGGTAGAAAAGTGTTTACAGATAGAAAAAAAAAATAAACAACTTTGTAAAACCATAAGCTTTTTCGCTCCACTAAGAATTTAAAATTCGGAAACTCTTTTAACGCCTTTTTACCTGATAAAGAAGAGACACAGTCGTATCTCGTGTCTTTAACGTTCTTCTGCAGTTTTTTTCGTTTATGCATAAGTAGTTTATGGTTCCATCTTTATTTTTTCGATGTTGACGGTATTTAAAACCCATCGTTAATTAAAGTATTTATTTTTTGTCGTTTCGAACTTATGTCGTAGGTAAACTATTTAAACTCACTGATGTTAATTGGTTTATAATATTTAGGCAACGAAATATAAGATAAATAAATAGGTTTTATGCTTTATTTAACTTTAGCTATGAATACCTCCCATACGAACATGGGGGTTATTTTTGTTTGTATTAGTAATAAAATAAAGTGCGATAACCAGCAGTCAGTCGTCCAATTAGTTTGTGACCTGTATCCTTGTACATCGTGTACGCAAATACGACTATAATTCGTTCGCATGTACGCAAATGAGACGAAAATCACAGTGCACGCAAATGAGACGTATGCATATTCATCGGAGCCACTAATTTCTTTTAACTTGTACCTTCTTCCTCTTTACTTCGCGTCGTCACTTTCTCATCTATTGAAGTATTCAATACCCTTAAATCTCTACGTGATAAACTGTCGTGTGGCCCTAATAGTATCCAAGATCACTTTATCTTCCTTTTATCAGACTCTCTTGCCTGGCCTCAATCTCTCTTATTCACTAAATCCCCAAGTACTGGAATTTTCCTCTCTAATCTCAAACTCGGTTACGTCCCCTTATATTCATATATCCGGCGGTCGAGATGACATCACCAATTATCGAGTATCAACTAATTACAATTCTTCATCACTTGTCTAAAATTTTTAAAACTCTAGTTCTAAATTCTATCCCCCTTCTTTAAATCATATTTTCATCAATGAACATCACGGCTTCCGCCCCGGTCGCCTTACCACCACCTATAATCTTGTTCTAACGTTTTTCATATTTGACTCTTTCTACCGGAGCCAAATAGACGTCATCTACACTGAATTTTCCAATGTGTTTGATCGCGTTGGTCACTCAATGCCTATTAAAACTTTAGACCTGCTCGGAGTCGGTGAACTTGTTCTCTCCTGGCTTCGCTCCTACCTTACACATAGAATTCAGTATATCAATTTCCGAAACACTTTGTTATTATTCCTCAGGAGTTCCTCAAGGTGCCGTACTTTCTCCTCTTTTGTTATCACTCTTTGTAAACCCAGTTTCTTCCGTACTTAAGCACTACAAGTTGCTAACTTTTTCTGATGATATGGAACTATATCGTCGTATATCTCCCCTCACTTACTGTCACCTCTGGTAGTCTGATTTCAACCAGTTGGTTGCTTGTGGTGAATCTTTAGGTTCTTCATCTCATCATTTCTAAATGCTTAGTTATGATCTTTTTTCCCTCATTCTGACCCCTTTAAAATTAATCTACCTCATATACAACCAAACAATTGTATCTTCCGTCTGTACGTTATCATTTTATCTTGGTTTTACCTTAACTTCAACTCTTTGCCCCCTCCAACACATTGAAACTTTTTGCTGTAAAGCCCTCAAGCTCCTGAGGTTCATTAAGCTGTTCCTCTTAAGACTGCGCGATTATTTCGATTAATCGATTATTATAATCGAATATAACTGAATAATTGATAAAAAATCTTCCACTTTCTTATACTCGATTAATTGATTATAATTGAAAACTATTAGAATAATCGATTATTGTGGAAAAAATAATAATCGCGCAGCCCTAGGTTCTTTTCAACAATTCTGTTTCCCTTCTTCTTTCAAATCTCTCTTTTGCTTCCTTCCTATCCTGGAATACAGATTTGTATTTTGAGACCCTTCCACATCTTGTGGCAGTATGATGATTGGACGTGTCTAATATAAGTTTCTTGCTTTAGTTGCCTCCTGATTCAATTTTCTTCACCTTCTATTACTGGAATTACTAGTAGAGACTGTATTAAACTTCTTTTTCTTCTCTAATCTCATTTGCGGTAAAATTAATTCTTCTTTATTGTCATAGCTTTCTTTTGAAATTCCTTTCCGTCATACCCATTTTTCCCCGCCTTTCCTCACCCCCTTGTTGTCTATTAGTTACTTTTTTTAAATTTCCAATTCCCCACCTCATGCATGTCGCCAACTTCATGTAAATTTATATAAATTGTTTTTTTGGGCTTTTCCGTCTAAATAAAATTGCTAAAAACAATATAGTCACTGTATTGCTTATGTATGTTATCTTTCAAGCAAAACAAAAATTGAGTTTACCCACTTTACATCATATTTATAACACTTGAAAATTGTGTACTTTTTAACACCAACACTTTAGATTTTAATTAAAAAAACACATTAAATTTAATACTTTAGTCTTTATTAACCCTTTACTGGTAATGTGTAGTATCAGATAACTTCTGAAATCTGATTTTGTATGGCACAGTTAACAAGTTGAGAAAACACTATATTTACTCAATTGACAGATATAGATATAAGTTATTGATTATTATCACAGTTTTATTTTAATAGATCTAATTTTCATAAAAATAATAAAGCTCTATTGTATACTGCATATTTTTGATTAAGGGTTAATATTGTATAATATGAAATATATATTATATTTATTTTAATATGTTAAGCACATGTTACATTTATTTAATATTTATTCTTTCATTAATACAATAAAAAAAAATTTATTTTCAGGCCTCCAGATCCATTGGGTTTCCTGGCTGCATTTTTGTTGAAATATAAAAAAGAACATGTCGATAAAGACTCAATTTCAGAAACATAAAAGATTCATATTATCATTTAATAAAAATAAAGTTATAATAAAACTATCACCTCCTCTTAAGGTCTTAAAATTACAGTTTGTTTGCACTTGCCAAGTATTAATATTTTTTTTTGTATATAATATTATGATGTTTGTTTATAAGGGAACATTGTTTTATTGTCATATTGTAGAAGTCTGATAATGCATTTTTTTTTTGTCAATGAATTTTCAAAATACAAAACTACTGTTACAAATTAAATGATAAAAATAATGTTTAACCACAATATTATTATTATGTTGCCATGGTAATTGGGTCATAACAAACTTACCATTTCACATGCAAAAGCAAGATTATATCATAGGCTTGTTACTATGATTCAATTTATTGTCCGTTGAATAATGATTCAATTATTTATTTGTAGATTAAAGTTTCCAATATCTTATACATTTATGGAGTTATATTTTTTTATATTTATTTTAAACCTTGTAAAATTTTGTTCATCTAATGGTGAAATTGTTACTTATATTGTACCTGGAAACTGTTCTGAACGTGAATATTATGTTCCTAGTATTTTGTCATGTACATTATGTGATGATTACCAGAAATCATCCATAGATCGTAAGTAATAGACATTTCCAATTTATTTATAATATTAATATTTTTCTTTAAATAAAGGGTTGAGTTGTATTTGTGAAAAAAATAGCAGAATCGTTAATAAAGTTATGGAATTTTTTTCTTGTGAACCATGCCCATCAAATACAACTACATCATTGGATCGTTTACATTGTTTAAAAAAGTCTAATATAACATGTGGAACAAAAGATATAGAATGTAGGTTATATTTATGATTATTTATCATAATTATCTATAAATTATTTATGAAATGTTGAATTTATTTGTTAATAACTGAAAAAAAAAATAAAATACCTAGTCAATTTAACTGTTGATAAATTAAATTTTTATAGTAGTATAAAATTTAAACATTGTTAAATAAAATTAATCTATCCTTTTGATGCAATATGGAATTATAGTATACAATATAATTGATTATTATTATTATTATTAATACAATAACTGTATCAGTTAAATTCCCACAACTTTTTTTTTTTTAATATTAAAATTTTTTTTCAAAAATTAAAATTAATTAATTTAAACTTGTGTCCTAATTTTTATTCCCTTATTATTACAGTTATCAGTTGCTTAGCAATTTATTTTTAAAAAGTGTATCTGCTCATAACAATCAAATCAACTAGTAACAATAATAACTAATAACTATTTATTTTTTTTATTCATAAGTGTTACTAAGGTTACTCAAGAATAAAAAAAATCAATTTTTAAGTATAAATTATAACAGGTTCTTATTAAAAAACTTGTGTGAGGCCCGTTGCATAAAAAGGTACTTCAGTTTGAAACTGAAATTAATTTATTGCTACATCATTTTTCATCCTTTTTTTCCTTTTGAGTAGATCAAAGGGTTATGATTATTTCATTATGTCATACATTTTATGCAGTAATGTAGAATGTAGGCTAGGGATCCCAGATGTATGTATGTTTGTATGTATAATAAATACGGGACATTTTAAATCTCATTTAATATTTACATATATTGCAACAAATTATGTGGTGGGAAGAAGTGATGGTAAGAACATAGCCCTCAAAACTAGTCCGTAATTCAAAAATCATCCATTCAAAATTAAAAGTTAAGAAACATAATTTTGAAACTGATCTGATATATTAATAAGTTGACATAATTTAAAAATGTAATTTGTCTTCACTTCTACAGTGATATTTACTACCCAATCTCATGTTAATACGCTAATTTGAATTATATAATTTTAGAAATAAGGAAAATTAAGGGACACACAGATTTGGGGATTCGAAATAAGGGACAAATGTGTTATTTAAAACATCTGGTCGGGACACCGGGATGCTTGTATCAAATACGAGACAAATCCGTATGTATGGGATCCCTAATGTAAACTTATATAGATAATATAGTATTATCTATTCTATTATAAAGTGATAGTTTATTGAAGTATACTTCATACATTTGCTATAGTGATATATATATATACATATACAATAATACATATAATACATATAATATATACATTATACAGTATTTTACAGAGATCTGTTAAATGCAACTTTTTTCTGTTCAATGGTTTTTAATTTTTTTTTTCTGTCATAATTACTAGACTTTATTTTATATGTATTTATTTTTGAAATATTAAAAATAATACATTTAAATTGTTTTTGAAAAGTGCAAGATGGTTATTTGATAAATATATTGTGAACTAATTATTTTGTATTCCAATTATTCACTTATAATAACTAGTTAAGTTGCTAAAATTAGTTGCAATTAACTAAAATCATTAACAAAATTATTTTTTATAGAAAAATTAGTAAACCAATTGATATTATTTAGTAGATTTTGTAGTTTGTAATGCAAACTTTTTAAATTTAGAAAAAATTTTTATAAAATAAACAAATTATCATTACTAAATTGGTAACACTAAAATTTTGTTTCAAAATAAATTTATAAAATGGAAGTTTTGGATTTTGTAAAAATATTATTTTTTAGTTCCAAAAAAAAGTATAAAATATTTGAATCATAGCGCAAGACTCTAATAACTGTTATAAGGGGAAAAAACTTAAAAATATTGAATAGAATAATAGTTATTGCATTTGTAAAATCTTTGTGGAACATCCTGTATATCTACATCCTTATAATATTATATGGAATAATATGGAACCAATGAAGATATATTAATAGAAAACAAATGCTTGAATAATATATTAATATATTATTATTACTAATAAGTGGTACCTACTATTTTGTTTAATATTCATTACAATTATCTATCATGTTAAGTATTTCTTACTATTTTTTTTATAAATTATCTATTTATAGGAAATGATAAAATACCTGCGATATGCAATTGTGTTGTGGCTTTTACTTTTTATGTCAATTGTCGATATAATAATTTGTTTTTTAGATTTATACCTACATTAGGTATAGATTACATATATTACAGGGTATAAGTAAATTGATCAACTATGAAACAGTGATATTTGAAAAAAAATAATTTTAATATTAAGAAATGGTACTCATATCACAGTTTCCAATGTTTACCTTCAAATCATTATTCTTTTAGTTTTGACATGAAATGAATCTTTTAAATAATCGCAGTTTTTATTTGAATTTTGAAGTGAAAATAATTGTACCCAGAAAAAGTTAACCTACATCCCAAAATATTTAATATTGTTTGTCTTTTTAATTAAGTTTAAAACACATAATTATACTAGTTTACAATACATAGTAGAGACTGAAGCGAATGGTTCGTCTATGATATCAAAATCGTGTGTCCGTTGTTCACCTGGAACATCTCCATCATTTGACCGTACAAAGTGTTTACCATGTTTGGTGGAAAATTGTACATGTCCACCGACTTCGCACGAGCTACTCTTAGATGGAACATTATGCGTGTTCAGACCAAACTTGACTTTATGGCCCGATGAAACAGAAACGCATTTGATTGAATATGACATTATTGATGTGGAAGTAGAGTCTGATTATTTGAAAAAACATTTACGAGCGCTCCTGTATAAATGCGTCAAGGTAAATATTATACCAAATCTCAAAGCGGTTTCATGAATTTTACAGTGAATGTATAGCTGATAGTATCTGCCTGCCCGATTTACAGGCAAAACACAGGACGTCATGCGAGGCTCTTGGCAATCTGTGTACTGTTCATATGTACAAAGATGAGCGGAAAGTCAATCCGTGCAAAGTGTTCAAAGACTATAGGCGTATCCCTACATCTTCGGATGCTGATCGTTTGCCTTTACCTTGGATTTACTATGGAGAAGGAGATGCTTCCATAGTTTTGAACAGGAAAAAGATAACATCAAAGTATAGCATAAAACCTGAGAGACATGTACGTAAATATTAAGTATTATAAAGTGTTTGAAGTTTTAATCTAGGTAGGTAATTAGGTAATTTTCCTTTCAATTTTATTTTTTTTTGTTTATTGATAGCAGATAATGATTAATAATAAATAATAATAAAACAAATTGACTGAGATAAATTAAACAACAAATAGAAAATAACAACATTATAATATTGTATTTTTCAAAATTGAATTAAGTATATTACATATATCAATGTAGGTAGATGATTGCAATATGTAAAGGTTGGAAGTCCCTATGCATTTAGATTTACTAATGTATAAAGAATTATTGAATTGAGTTTTTTGATATTATTTTTTTTTTTCACTGCATTGATGATATTAGCATGCAATGCAACCAATATGCATTACATTATAGCACTTGCGTTTAATTTAAAGTACATTTTTTAATGCAATGAAGAATGATTATTATTAATATTTCCTGTACAATATTATACCTATGTATTATAATTTACCAAATAATAGTATTTCTTAGTCCAAAATTTTAATAGATATCTACTAACTACTACCTACTTAACAAATACCAATTACACTATATAGTCTCCTAATAAAATAAAGATTTTGTTTGAAATATAGGTTGATGTATTTATAAATTGTAATACAATAAAATCAATGATATTATTATAATATTTATTAGGATTTAGAAAAATATAAATCACTTATTATAAAAGTTACACATGATTGGTCCATCTTCTGTACTATTTTATTACCACCCACTTACTTATTATGATTTTGGTTATTATTAAAAATGAAAGTGCATTTTTATGTTATACCTACTTAGGTTTTAGTTTGCTTTTCAGAATAGCAATTTGCAGTTGATTGCGGCTAGATATTATTTGAATGGATCACTTAATAGTGTTTCTAAATTGAGGCCCATTGAACTTCAATTGTGTCCTGGATTATGGAATGACATAGAGCTGGCTTTTCGTTTTGGAGCCCGATACTTTCATACTTGTAATATACCAGCTAAACAGTTGATCAAAGCAGGAAATCCAGAGCCCATATTTTATGACTTTTACTTACAATACAATGACAGTAAAAAGAGCATGTTATATGCAATACCATTATTGGTTAGAAATATTAAAGTGGGAGCAACATATCCAAATACAGTAAGTATAAGTAATTAGGTACCTACCTATTTATAAAAGCATCAAAATTAACAAATAATAAATAACAATGATAAACAAACAATGTATTTGTTAATATGTTTGCTTCCAGATTTTAACCTCCATTAAATTTGGATAGTAATGATTTAATTCTTAGTTACAACCATGATATATTTATTATGGAAATGTGTAATGTATGAATGTACGATATCTAGTGTAAATTACATATAAAAATGTTTCTTTTTTGGAATTTGAATATTGTCATATTTCGTATTTGTATAATTAAATATTGTACCTCAGAACACAAAAAAAATTGATGATGATCCTAAATTCAAGCAAATAAAATTATCAATATAGAAAACAGTTACATATGAAATCTCAATAATAACACTTATTGTCGCCCTTTTTTTTTTTAACACTTTTTCAAAATTTCAAAATTAAAATAATAGTTTTCATACACTGCTACAACTAGCAATTGGCTGATAAACTCTTGATTTATTTTTTTCCTTTGAATAAATCCAAACGCCATAATTTAACTTAAATATTTCGACCAAAAGCATGTAATATCAAAAAATCTGTGCAATTTAATTTTAATTCAAAATACTTAATATCTATATATGGAAAATTATTACAACGTTGGTCAGGTACTGTGTTTTGTGATTTAATAGTTGAATACAATACTTACTAATACCCTGGAGGTTTGCTAATTCGAAAAATATAGAAAACCAGTTGTTTAACAGCTAAACTGCACAAGCAATTAGCACTATTTCATTTTTTTAATTTTTAATAAATAAACAATACAATATAATGTATTACGTTTATTAGATATGTATTATATCCACTATTTTCATTTATTTTGAAAAATTTGTTTTATTATGTTCTTCTGTATTTTACAATATTGTACTGTTATTCTATGCGAAAATCAATACAAATTTACTGTGCTTTTTTTATCGAAATGTACAGGCGTTCTGCTTTGAAATAAATAAAATGATAGACTTGTTAGGTAAGACAGTACGTTTGCCCCTCCCCCCAGCTTTTATACATTTTTCGTATTTAAATCATTTTTCTGTTTTTTTTTTTTCTATCTTATTATATAGTTATTGCATAAAGTATGAAATATTAAATCTTGTCCTCCCCATAGAAAAATTTCTGCGAGCGCAGGTCTTTAATGGTTAGTGTGGTACATACATCTGATAGTTAATAATATAAATAAAATATTATCAATAGATAAGTAATAGGTACCTATGTAAAATTTTGAAATGCGTGTTACAATTAAAACAATAATTTTGTTTAATTTTTTTGATTTTCATTCAATAAATATTAAGTTTTACATTTTTCTTTTAGGGTAGAGATATGTCACAATGGTTATTAACCAGGCGCATGTTTTTAATGGATCAATTTAGCGGAATTTCCGTTAAAAACCATGGCTTACCAAATGTCATACAATATTTGAAATCCATTAAACTTGTGTAAGAGGTATTAATATGATTATACATTGATTATCTATCTGATTTTTTTTTTAAATCATAGGGTCCAAGCTCAACGGGAAATTGAAAATGAAGGCAATATTTATCCTCCATTTATGGTTTTAGAATATGGGCAAATAACTGATGAAAATATATCGTTAAATAAGGTGTTCTCAGTGACGTTCGCAGTCGAATTTTATATGGAAAATGACATACTCCATTATGTTGATGTAAGTATTTTATTAATTTATTAAGATGTTCAAATAATTAAAAAAATCTACATTTTCATCAGATGAGTTTGGGTATTCTCAGTGGTTGTGTATTTATCTGGAGTTGTATACATACATGGAGTGAATCAAAACGATGTGGAAGAACAGCAATCGACTTGTGGACAGTAGGGCAATTTACAATCACTTGTTGCTCACATTTTGCTAATATGATATTTGCAGTTTGTCTTCTGTTGGCTATTCATACTTTAGTTTTTTATAAAGCTCAAAATGTTGTTTATATTCTTTTACCATCCCAAGATTTGGAAGTTGTCGTTAATCGTTATGTGATTATTGCATTTATATTAAAGGTTTGTGTAATTTAATAAATATCTTAGAGTTCAACACAATGGTATGGTTAGGAAGCTATTAGTTATATGAAGTTTTCTGTTTTTTTATTCTAAAATTAAATTAAGAAAGATTAATTTGGTAATTTTATTTGAACATTTTATAAGTTTGATTAAAATAAATGTTTTGATACTTATCTTTAATAAAATTGCTATGTTTAGCTATGTTTCATAAAAACTCAATGTGGGTATTGTGCATTTATTTTAATGTTTATGTTAATAGTTTTACAAATATTTGTACTCCTTACTCTTTAAATCCTTTTCATTTAACTTTCTAGTTTAGCATAAGTATAATAATTTTAACATTTTTTTTTTTTACTATTAACTTTTTTCTAATTCAAGTTTTACAAAATTATTTTAAAACTTGTTTGTGGTATATCATATTATAATCCATAATATTTTATATTTATTTATTTTGTTGAAAAACAATATTCTTTAGAAATTATATAAAATTTATATTTGGTTTAGAAATTTATTTTCTTATTGTATCATATGTGTATGTAAACAAATACAGAAGTCAAATATAAAGAAATAGTTATACAATATATTTTGTATAAATATATGTATTATTCATATAATTTATATAAACTTGTACAACTGTATTGCAGATTGTTGAGCTTGTACGATTAATATGGAAACAAACAGCCATTGATATATTTTTAGTAGATTGGGAAAAACCTAGAATTTCACCCAACCAAAAACAAAATGGTATACTGGCTTCTCAAAAACAAACCGTGAGCATTTGGCGAAGTTATTTTGTGGCAAACGAATGGGCCGAAATACAAACAAAAAGGAAAATTAGTTTACCATTGCAACTTTTGTTTACAGTACTCCTCTTAAAAGTATGTACATTGTAATCATGTGGTGTATTTCCATACAAGCATCATTTAGGTATAAAACAAAAATTTTTAATATAAGGTGTGATATGTCTGTACCAGTACAATATCTACTCATTCTATGTATAAGTACCATTTTATAGTAACCATTAACATTTTTTTTTTTTAATAATAAATACCACAATATAAACGTATATCATTTTTATTTTTATTTTTAGATTTATGGTTTGGAAAACTGGGCTGTTGCTGAACCTGAAGTGCATTTGACTCAAACACCGTATAGGCCAATTAGTCAGCTGCTGGGATTGGGCATGCTCTTTATTGTATTCAGTATTGTATATGTAGTTCAGGTATGGATATTATTACAAGGATGTGATTACATGTGGTTTGGTTAGGCACACATTTAATCAAATTATTTTATTTTTATGTTTTTTATAATATTTGCAATTATTATTAATAGTGGCTGTTGACTGTGGCAATATATGAGAGATATATTAATAATTGTATACAACAGTTTGTTGACATCTGTTCGTTAGCGAATATCAGTGTATTTATTTTGTCTGCAGAATTTTTTGGTTATTACATACATGGGAGGTATACAGATAATATGTTAATTACAAAAGATAAAGCCTTTAAAGACTACTAATAAAGATGTAATTTTTAGATCTGCTCATGGATTTTCAGACACTGATATGGAGAGTTTAATTGGTCAGCTTAGAAGAGAAGAAGACAATATGGTGAGACACAGGGGTTTGGTGCCAGGTACGGAAAATCAGACATTTGAAATGACGGTCCCTTCGTCATTGAGGACATATTATCAAAGAGTAATGGCGCCCCTAAATAGTGTAAATATGATCAAATTTGACTAAATGTATTTAGATTTCATTTAATTATGTTGATTGCTTTCGATTTTTAGATCCAATCCAAACAGATATCAGGTTCATCTTTTAGAATTAAGAAAGTAGATAAAACTGATATGGTGAAAATAGGACAAGCGTATAATAATATGAATAAATTTTTAGCTGCTTTTCTGGATCACGTATGTTAACAATTTTTATCATTATAAAATATAAAATGAGTTTGCTTGTTATGTTTTATTTTAGGCTTTGAAAGATTTAGATTATGAAATACGAGAAAAGACTTTTGTTGAAAAGCTTTTAGGGATTGAATACTCAGATCCTTTGGATAAAGGAGTATTTTTCTTAGGTAAGCATGTTAGTTACTATTATAGCATTTTAGTGAATATTTTATAATTTATAGATGATGGACATTCCTTTGATCAAGTGATCTTCTATGGAAATGAGTGTACTTTAGTAATATTCGACTTGATGATGATATCATTTTTTTATGTACTTACTGAAAATATTATAATTGCTGCAATGTTCACAGGATGTATTACCAAGGTTTGTAAATTATAATCATAGACAATGTTCTACGATACATATCTTATTAAAAGACTAGTTTTGTATCGTATTTGAATGATTATGTTTTATTTTAAATATTTATAAAAGTAATATTTTTTATATATCTATTGTATAACTTTGTTTATATCTTATTCTTATACAAAAGAGAGGTAAGATTTGTGTTACATTAATCTTAATATTAAATTGAATTATGTATTTGTGTAGGTGATGAGTGTCATCAGAACAAAGTTTGGCAAAAGGAATTTAGCTAAGAAAACCTTAATTGATGAGAGATTTTTAATATAAAGGTATTGCATACTCCAATCATTGAATTAATCTATATTTAGATATGTATTTTTTTTTTATTTTTTAAAAGTATACAATTTTAAATGTTAATTTTTGTGGTAAATTGGGGAAGAGTATGATTTAGTGTAAATAAATATAAATTGGGTTTCAGAGAATGAAATTGGTCCACGAAATTATTAAAATTATGTGTTTTGTATGTAACAAAATTAATTAAATACTGAACAAATTTTCACTAGACTTAACACCTCTTAAATATGCTAAAAAATCCTTGTAAAGTTTGGTGACGCTATATTTTTTTCTTTTGCTGTTATACATCCTTTCTCTGAGTGGATTTAGCTTGATTTGAGCCAATATGCCAACTAATAGCTTGTCTACATTGTGATCGATGCCACTGGAGGTCTCGATAAATTTACAGTTCCAACTGTACGCCAAATTTCGTCCAACTATTAACACAGGTATAAATATATTCGTTACATACTATATTATAGTATAAATTAATAATTATTTTAATTATTTTTGTTTTCTTGCCGTTTGTTTGGATTTTTCTTGTTCGTTCCAAGTCTGATTTGTTTCCAACTAATATTACTCCTCTTGTGTGTATATACTCTCCTTTCCACAGGAATAGAAGCATCTGTTCTGCGATATTAAAACTTCTTTCATCAACTACTGAGTACATAACTATAAAGACATTTGGGTTGTATGTCGAGCATAAGGTTTCAATCTGAAAATTAATTTTAAAAGCGTATTAATATTGTGATATTACATTATTTTAGCTTTTTTTCATAAAAAAAGCATTTTATTTCATTTTTAACTATAATTTAGTATAGGTATATCAGTGAATTAGTGTAATTCCAAAAAGTCCATGATGTTATATGTGAAATAAATAGATATGTGGACAAATGGTCTATTCACAAAATGTTTTACCTCATAATATCTTTATACATAAATGTTTATAGTAGCAATGATAACTCAAATAATATCTTGTTTGTTTTAAACGCCTAATTTTTTTATAGTCTTCCATTTAATAGTTCAAAATTTGCAGGAGCATAGAGTGCATGCACTTGATACTTGCACTAAAAATAAAAAATTGATAATGTTTTTATAGTTTTAATTCAAATAAATTATTTTACTCTTTTTGGTTTAATTTTTATCAATAATAAAAGTAACAAACAAGATAACAACCTTGACGAACACAGCAATGTTGTGGTCGTTAGTCGTCTCATCTGCCTGTGGATAATCCATTTTCAGTCTATTGGTTATTAATACTTTGTAATTACCTGTCGTTTAACAGGTTTTGAAACTGCTTATGTGAGTAAACCTAACTTGTATTTATATATAAATTTGAAACTACAATCACTTATAATTTTATATTTTTGTGTACATCACAGTGGCATAGTACTACACTGTTCATTTACGTATAGAATATAGATTTATAGTTTGTATTATTTTTACTATTAATAACTGCTATTGTGCAATTGAAGAGTATGGACTCTTATGTGTTTTTAAATCAGATTTTTATTTTTGTAAACTTATTTTATTTTTATGCTTGTTTATAGTTATACATTTTATATACTTTGGATACTTATAATATTATGTTATCAATGATTTACTATTTAGTTGTAAGTTCACTTTTTATGAATATTAAGCTAAATTTACAGATCTGTAAGTATTAATATACTCAGAATATACTTAATTTTTTATTTTAATATTGAACAAATAGGTATCACATTTTGGTCTCCAACAATTGTATTTACCTTTTACGAAAGCTAAGTAAACAGCAATGAACAGTGATTATATTGGAGATTTGAATTAAGAGATATTTGTAAAAAATATTGTATGAAATATGGTTCTTAAGTTAAGAATCTTAACTATATATAATATCTTCAAAGACAATAACCAAATTGAAGTTTTCCTTTAGGGGAATTACATATGTGAATAAAATTTAACTTAAAAATTAATTAATGTTATATTTGTTTTACATTTATTTTAGAGTAAAGTGTAACTTTTACCTGATGATAACTACCCTTGAAATTAAAAAAATACATGTATTGTGTTAATTTGAGGTAATGATTAAACATTTAAAAATAAAAAAAAAGTTTTGTTATAATACATTTTAAAATAAATATTACGGCAGTAAGGATGGTGAAGTACCATGCAATTTTTTTGAAACTATGAAGTTTTAAAGACTTTCAAAGACTCTTATCTTTTTAGACGTCGAGTGTGTGATAAACCGCCTACAATAAGAATACCGTTTTAGTTATAAATACAAATAATTTTAGTGTAATAATATTTTTACCTAATTCTACTACGAAGTATCTAGCGCTTAGATATATTAACAAACATACCTATATATTAGATTAAAATTTAATATTAATACCTAATTACTATTTTTGTAGAGAAAGTAGAATAATTGGTTTTAATGGTTTATAAGTGACAAATTAATTTGTATACTACCTATTATAGTTACTTACGCAACAATTTTTGTGTTTACGAGTACACAAATTTAGATACCTAAATATTATAATACACTTAAAGCTCGGTTTTTTTTTCATTTTTTTATTAAGTATATTGAGTATTATTATAACCTCAAAAATAATATGTATTAATATAATATACTTATTCAGTTTTTAACTCTGCTGCTCATTTTGGGCTGTATGATACCTAAATACTTTATTAAATGTCAAACATTACGCATTAAGTTCATATTCTGAAGCAAAATAGATATTTTGTAGGTAGGTACATACCTCTATATCATGGTATCTTAAACCGTTGTATGCATATTATCAGCTATACCTATTGGTCGGTACCGTAACATGGTAACATTTCGCCAAGAAGAGGATTTACTAATAATGTCTATTATTACTATAATTACTATCTACTATTTTTACTTGCATTGTCGACTAAAAAAAACGAACCATTTTGGTTAGGGGGTTCGCCCCTCCCTCGTACAGCACTTGTAGTAGGTATTGTACACTTGTAGGTACTCACTCCGTACAAGTTGCCCAGACTGACGCGTGACCGGGAGAAATGGTTCTTCACTTCTTCAGGTACGTTATAATTTTTTTTGTCATCCGTGATCTATAGATTTATGGAAAACCGTCGATCACCCTCAGTGTGGGTGTTAACCCCGCCACATAGTGCATAACGGGATTCAACAATTTTGTTTTAGCGTACGAAACTCCGTAGTATGTCGGGTGAAGTGTTTTTGATTTTTCGTTATTTGATATTTTTTTTTTTTTAGTGTTTTTCCTTACTTTTGCGTCGAACGTGTCAATTATTGTATAATGTGATAAATGATTAATGAAGTGTATCGTCTGAGGGCAGTCATGAGCAGCGGCAGCGGCAGCGGCAGCGGTCGGTGAGTACCCGTTGAATTGACATTTTAATGAAAACAAAATGGCGGCGTTAAACGATTCTACATTATAATACCTATAAGGCTATAAATAGTGATGGACGTAATATTAATCGTTCGGGATATGTATATTTCAACAGTTATTATTTAATTTTATATTTACTTATTACCTAGTAGGTATTACCTACCAATTTATGACTGAAGCCAGACTATCAGTAGTGCACTATCCGTGTGTAATTTGAGTTTAGTACCAATATATAGGGCGTTGACGAAAATAATAAATTTCAACGCCTATTTATGGAATTTTTATTATAGGGTGCTGTGTAAAAATTAAGAATAGTGGTTTCACCTTCGGAAACAAAAATAGCAGTGATGAAACATTTTAGAGCTATGTTTCAAAAAGTTAAAAAAAAAATTAAAAATACTTTTCGAGGACTGATTACACTGTAAATATTTAAAAAAAATGTTTTCTTTATATCTGCAAAACCTCATAGTTTGTCTATAATAAATTAGCAGGTGATTCGTGCACATTTTGTGTAGTGCACATTTATGATTTCGTAGTGTATAAAGTGTACACACAAAAATAACCATTGATTAAAGCCGGAGCAGCATGTTAAGCTGGTAGATCACAAATTATGCTTGTTTGCGTCTTTGTGAAGAATAATTTTATTTTGTATACAGAATACATATTCGAACAATTGCGTGGAAAGGTATTCAAAATAACTATATAGGTTCGGGTATTTGAATCTACTTTTCAAAAAAAAATGAAACTACGCGTTATTTCTAGAATTTATTAGGATACAAATATCTTATTAAAACAATAATAATATACCTGTCGAATTATTCAATAAGTATTATAAGTATATGACATATAATAATAAAAAAGACGGACAATACTTCGCATGATGGGTGGGCTACTGTTGTATGTGAGAAGTTGGGAAAGTATAATTATAGAGGAGAATTTAATTTACCTATATCTGTACATAATAATGATTAGTTATTGCTAACGAAAAACGATTCTGAGCGGAGTTCGGTTGTATTTTATAAATATTTTATAAGGCCATAATATTTACGATTTTCGTTAAAATTTGGTATTAAAATTCTTAAGAAAAAAAAATGACTGCATTAAACTCAACTTTTTATCTCAAAAATTTTATCCACAAAGAAGCTACCGAATAAAAATTAAAATGTCTATAAATAGTACAAAAAAGTTTTGAACATTTTACCACGTCTAGAAAAGGCAAATATAAGCTTTCTGTCTAAATTACAAGTCTATACGGACATTTTTAACTCAATTACAACAAAAACATAAAATTGAAAATAAATAGATAAATAAATAGATACAATTTCCTTTCAGAAAAGGTGCTACACTTAAAAATTAGAGCACAATTTTCGGTAGAAATTGTGTACACAGCTACTATAGGTATATACAAAAATATATATAAATATAAAAAAGAAAAATCGTTATAAAATCAATGTTCAATATATTCCTCAGTCCTCGTTTCGCTTAAAATCTAAAATATTATCCATAAAGGTACATATATATAAAATAATAAGCCCTCACTGACTGATTTATTGTCACACAGTTCGAACCAATGAATTGGCCGGGCTAAAATTTGGTACAAATAGGTAGGTCGCTATTGACGTAGACATCCACAAAGACATTTTTGAAAATTCAACCCCCTTATAGGGTGAAATAGGGGGTTTTAATTATTTTTGGTACGAGTTTATAATTGTTTATTTATTTTTGTTTATTCATGGGTTACCTCGGTGATACGGTTGAAATAAAAGAACAAAAAATTGATCCGAGAAATGCCGGACGGAACAGCTAGTAATGTATAATATTATTATTATAAATACGTATTGATTTAATAATAAATAGATTTACATTATTTATTAATAGATATAATAATATATTGCTGTAATTTGAAGTATAACGATTAGTGTAATATTTATTGTATACTAATAAATATCGTATAACTATTTTTCTTTTATGATATTCTATTTTTTTAAAAAAAAAAAAAAAAAAAAAAAAAAAAAACAAGAGCATACCTAGCACATCGTTAAATTAAATAATTTAAAAATAAAACTGAAAAAGTATTACTTTCACGGAGTAAATCGTGTATTTATATTAAATTATTTTATACTTTTAGAATTAAAGTTTAAACTAAACCTCACATTTCAAAATTGTATGTGCAATACCATTTAAATATTGTTAATATAATATGTTGGTATAACAATTTATTACAGTTGAATTACTTTTTAAATAATTAATAGACAAATAAGTTAGGTATCTAATATTTAGCTTTTGGGTTTCAGAATATTAGTCTTATTATCTAGGGTCATATTAATATTGACCGCTACATCTTGTCTATTGATATTTTTTTCTTGTATCGTTTAATGGCAAATCTAATAGGTTAATATAGGTATTGTTATATAGTCTAGGATTTACGATTTTACGTAGATACCTGTGTCTTTGACAGTAACGTATTAAATTATTATTTAGTCCGAGTATATAATACGTTATTATAGAAGTTACAACAGAGCAGGTAGCATAATAATAGTTTCGTATAACATATGTTTAATTATAATATGTATAATAGTTATAGTTGGTAAAACGTTTTGCTTGTTGTAATCACTTTCGTAAAATTTGGTACCATTAACAAAATTTAAGATCTAAAGTCATTGCATTAAGCTGCTAAACACATCTGTATATAGGAGATAATATATTACAGTACAGATGTTATTATATTATTTTACCGCGGGACTATGGGAAATTTGGTAATAATAAGAAGGCAACTAACCGTTGTGTTTAGGTGAATGATATTTCATTTTGGCGTAAGTATTCAGTATAATTTAAATAAATTATTGGTATGTTACTAGCCTGATGATTAGTTAACACAACTATTTTAAAATTATGTTTATTTTTTTATTTTTTTTCCTACTGCAGCGTACACAATTTCTACCACAAATCTTGCTCCAACTTTTAAGTGTGTAGCACCTTTTCTGAAAGAAAATTTATCTATAGTTGATACTTTCAGCAGGTCTTTGATTTTTCAAGCAGTTTTCATAGTTATTGGGAAAAACAGGACAATCTACGAAATAATAACCGAATTTCGCTCAGAATCGTTTTTCGTTTGCAATGATTAATCATTGCATATATGTAGATATACATTGAATTCTCCTCCATATCTTACCTTCCCAACTTTTCACCTACTATAGGGAACTATATATCGTGCGAAGCATGTTCATCTTTTTATTTTAATAATTGAGATTATAAACTCTTCTTAAAGAATTGTGTAATTTAGAGTTTAATTGAATTTATTTGGTTTTTAGTTTATTGAGTATAATATTTATGATTTTTGCCAAAATTTAATATTAAAATTTTTATAAAAATAAAAAAACTTGTTTAAACTTAATTTTTTTTTGTATCTAAAAGTACGACTTATATTGAAATTTCTGTTGAATTTTCAAGCGTTTCTGTTTAGTCTAACAATTTTATCCGCAAAGTACCTACGAAATAAAAATTACTTAAAAAACTTGTCAAATTAAAAAGTGTATAGATAGCTGAAAAAAAATAGTTCAAATGCTTTGAAAATTTTATCAGTTTAGAAAAGTCAAGTATAAGTTTTCTGTTCAAATTTTAAGCCTCCAAAAATATTTTTGACTGAGTAAAAACAAAATTAAAAATAATAAAATTATTATTTTTATTAATTTGCCCGTTATTTCTACGTTTTTTTCTGTTTGGCTCAATCATTTGAAAAATTACTAGAAAAATTAAAAAACGATTTTCAACTTGATTAAAAATGCCACAAAAATATGATATCTCGTCGTTTTTTTTATTGGAGCATATTCTTAATTCTATATCACTACGTTTAGAATCTAAAATAGTTTTGCCTCTATCGACGTTACTCATCAGCCGTGGTCGCCATACGTATTGCTTCTGAATCCCGATTATAATTGTAGTAAAAACAAGTATTATTAAAGTAGTATTTCTAGATTTCCAGCAAGATTAAATTCTGTACTCTTATTCCCCAAAATTCCAAATAAACCTAACAATAAAATGTTTTATAAAGGGTGTTCTATACCGTTATCCTAACACTTAATTACTATCACTGATTATTGCGTTGCTACTAAATTTTTCAAACAATATAAAAGTAAGAAACATTTTTTTTTCGTGAATACAGGTTAAGTGAGTTTGTGTGTAAACGACATTACCTATACCTATCGAAAGAGAGTGAAAACATACCGTCATACGGATACCATATAAATTGTTTTGAAGTAGGGTTATATTCAGGAAGTGATTGGTCCTCACTGAATCCCAAATAAATAAAAAGGGTATTTTTAAAAGAAAAAAAAAAAACCCTAAGCAAATAAATTTAAATACGAAATAGTATGTACTGTATTGGGTCTGTGAAAGGCAATTTTCAACGAACCGACTCAACAAACACGTAGAATTATATTTGTATACCTGTATATTGAAGGAATAAACTATTTTCGTAATTTGGTTAATCCCACGTGAGTACTTTATGCAAATGCCACGTTCAATATGCGAATGATGAAATACATATCATTTGTTAAACCATTATTTAGGTACCCGTCGTACATGTCGATCTTAATACGCTGATTTATTTTATCGTCTGTATATTAGACGTGTACGCATAATTTTCCAATGATGAGGGAAGGGGATTTTAATGTTTATCATTTTCAAACTGCGTTAATACTAAACCACGGCTCTAGGTATAAATATATACCTGCAGTCGAGGTGTACTGATACACCTTGAGCCGTGCTAAACGTATATTGTATCAACTAAAATTATGAAACAAGTGTTAAATTGTGTCTAAATACCGGCCCAGGCACTCGTGTAGATAATACGGCAAAAGTAAATTTGATACGAAAAATGTTTGTAAACAATACAATATAATATCAATAATAATATTAATTATTATTTTACAATTGACAATAATGAATTTATATTATAACGATAATAATTTCTGGACTAAGGAATCTTATTAAAAACACTCGAAAAGTAATATAAATTAATATTATAGATATAGGTAGCTAGATAGATCGATACTCGTCAAAATTAAATTGTTTGTGGTACTTCAGAGAAATTATTTTTCAATAACCTAAATTATTGTTAAAATTGTACATTAGTTAATCTAAAAAATATGATATTCCAACTGTACCTAACTACAGGTATACGTTGGCATATAATATTGCATTAAAAAAAAAAATTGATTTATTGAGTTCAAATATTGCAAACTAATAAATAATGATAATATATTTTGTAGAAGAAAATATCATGAGCAATGAATCTACAAATTTTATATCGCATATAAGAAACTTTAGTGTTAGAATGAAATTGGGTTGAATCTTTCAGGTAGGTATACCTGTATAGTATTATATATATATAACTTAGATGAGGTTTTATCGAATATTTACAAATAACTCGGATTTAAAATACTTAATATATTTTAATTTTATTATTTATTTTATTCATTTGTTCATAAATAACACAGATCACGATTGAAAATTTGAAAATGTTCATATAATACTTAATTTTTTCTAGACGAGGATATATTTTCATATTTATAGTCATTTTAAATTCACAGGGGTTTTAGTTTTTTTTTTATGTGTTTATGTGTTTTATAAAATTGTTTTGGTCCAGCTAAAATGTTTGACAGTTTAACAAGATGTATAACAAAGTTGTATATAGTGATAAAAAAAAAAAATTGAATGCACGTTATGTAGTAGTTTTTTTTATAAGTGTTTTAAGTAAAGTACTACAAAAATAGTAAAAAATATGTTTAATTTTTCATAATATTATGTTTTTACAAGAAAATTATCAGACTATATTAGGCACTGACGAAGCCCACGGAGGCATGAAATATTAATGGTTAACAGAGCAATAGTTATCTTAATAAAATAACTTATAATTCTTGAAAAAATATACATGAATACAGAAAGTAGGTAATATTATAAATAAAAATATTCACTATGTATTGTAAGCGTTTACCCTTATGCATACTTACTTATAAGATTTTTTTTAAAAATTAAGTAAAATAATTTTTATTTTAAGCAGAAATTTGAAATATTAAAAAAAATAGTATACAGAACATGAAAGTTTTAAGTTTTCTCTGAATATCAACACTTAATAATTAATTAATTCTGAAAAAATATGATTTAAAATTTAATTTTCATCTTGTATTCCGTAATTTTCATTTAAATTTTAAAAGTACCGATAAATTATTATGTATACAAATAACCCTTTAAATGCTTACAAGCTTATATTAATGCAAAATTCCATTAAGATCACCTTTTTTTTATCCCATTTTAAAAATAAACAAACAAACACGTTACAAACATCATTATAAAATCAAGAATAAAATCAATATTGAATCTTAAATTCGTATAATGAGAAATGAATCTCAAAAAAGTTAATTAAAAAAAAAAAAAATTTGGGATTGTATATTATTCTCGTTAAAATCAAATAACCGAATAAATGACCATCACTTCATTCAGTCACCAATCTCGTGTTTTCTTATTCAGCCACGAGAAACTTCAAAAAACTCATAAATTATAAAAAGATATAAAAATATTGTAATGATAAAAAAAATATTGTTTATTTAGTTTATACAAGTATAATAATATTATGTACCTATATATTATTATGACGTTGAATTCATACTGTACGCTACTAGTCCATTTGCAACTAAAAATTAACTTGATGGCTGATAGTTTTAGGTCTACGATTATTTTTCACTATATTATAAAGTAATTCTGAGAATCTAAAATAACAGAAACCGTAATTGCGTAAATATTTTCTTTTTACGAAATATTTTCAATTATTTTGAAAACTAAAAGGAAAATAAAAAATGATCATCTCAAGTCTAGTAAGTTCCTAGACAAAATAAACTACCAACAACTATCCCTATAGTTCATCCACGGAGCAAAATCTCTGAAAAGTTTAATAAACGGAAAGAAAAAAACCCACATCATAGTCTACACTCAGAATTTGCAAAGTTACAATAACAGTCATATGTCACGCGGGTCTGTTAAATTTGGGTTGAAATGTGAAGTGGTCGATTTTTGTAAGATAACTGTTAAGTATTTTTTGTTTTATGGCTTCTAATTATCTCTGGACTGCATTTTAATGACCAATCATCGTTAGTTTTGCACATCTAAAATGTACAATATATTATTTGGCAATTGTATGTCATCGGAATCGCAAACAATACGCTTTGTTCAAAAATGGATAATATCGCCTTTATTGACGTCATACCCGACAAGATGACTGATAGTTATTATAGTGTACACGAAATTCAACAGGTGTTTGACGTACCTTGGCCCGGATTGGGAGAGGAGGACTGAGTACTTTAATTAATTTTACAAAAGTGTTAGCATTTCTCTACTATTTGTATTTTGTTGTAATACATGGAAGCGCATTGGGTGGTACATACTTTTGAATTTTTAACAAATTTATTTTCATTAAAATTTGAACTTTAAACTCTTAATAAAACAAATCTTATGTTAATTTATGCTAATTTTCGATCATTTTTGTTGGACCAAAACCATTTCAATGACTTTAAGCAGTTTAAATCAAACAAAAACCTAAAAATTCAACATTTTAAATGGCTATACATAAATAATACATATTTAGAATGCTATAAATATTGTAACCAATATATGTAACCAGTAAAATTTTTCAACTCTATAATTATTTTTCACTGAATTACAACAAGAAAACAAAATCGAAAATAACAGAAACTGTTATTATGCAAATACTTAAATTACAATTATCCCGGACGTTTTCTCGAGTTTTCCTAATTATTAAGAATACTACAAGGATAATCAAAAATAATCTTCTCATTGCATCAACTAAACAATATTTTCTACCACAAACCAAAATAAATTAAATAAATTATTTTACAAATAGAAAAAAAAACACATCATACGAACCTAATTTAACTTAATCTAACCTGCAGTAATGTTTTTTTTTCTTAAATTATTAATAAATGAACTATGTTTAAAATTGGTATAAGTGGAGTATGGGGTTGAAGCCCCTCACTGGTTAGTTTGAATTAAATAATTGCAAGGAATGCTATAATTTGTTTTAGGTCTTCTAGTCCTTCTTATATCTTTCTAATTCGAGCACTGGACGTACCTTCACCGTTATATTCTATCATCAGGCTACCACGGTTGTTCAAACAGTATACCTAACTAATGATGACAAGTGAATAATTGATAGCATGTCGTATTCTTACCAGATTGTAATATTGTTATCGTACGTACACGTAATAATCATAATTCAAAATACTTAATAATAATAGTTATTATTACCATGTGTTGTATGTCGTAGATGCATGATTTAAGATCATATTAGATCGCCGGAGTGCATATAAATATATAGTGTGTATAATTTATACATATTATATAATTTGATTTTACACATATATGTTCATATAATCAAGAATTCCTGAATTTCAAACGGTTTTAAATTATTGGTATTTGAAGAACATAATGTAATATAAGATATGCGCCACTTTTGTCGACGCGAGTAGCGCATACAGAATAATTTCCTTTACGCGGAGCCCGTTTTTTACATTCTAATAGATGAGTAGGTAATGTGAAAAAATGTTGTACTGAGTTTCCTTAATGTATATATTGTTTTTTTTCTGTGTGTTATGACGGTCTTGATCAGAAGATTCGTGTTCTAATTAAAATATAAAAAAAAAAATTAAAGGTTGTTTCTGATGGTGGCAATTTTTTTTTCTAGTTCGGTGCGTTCAGGATTTAATTTTTGAAATTTTTAGTACTATTTTTAATAATATAGTAAAAAACTGACAACAAATGCTAATTCAGATTTAGAATTTTAATGCAGATTTAAGAGCCTTAAATGTACACAGGTAGCATGTGTTTTTCATGTGATTGCACATTTTATAATTAAGTATTCTTTAGATTCTGAGTGGATCGTGGAATGTATTAGTTTAATTATATGATGTGTACTAATTTCAGATTTGGATCGTATAGAGGAATTTATTGGTTTTTCTACTACAAGTGTGTATTTTTGTTGAGCCCGTGAGTAACCGTTATTCTACCAGAAATCTTGTTCCAATCAAAAAATGTCGGTGATTTCAAAAGTTGTTTTTTGATAGTTTTCTTAATAAATGAGAAAATTATAAAAAAAAAAACGTAGAAAGAAAGGTAAAGTTTACGGAAATAATGGTTTCATTATTTTTTGTTGTAATTCAGTTAAAATTATTTGTAGAAACTTGAAATTTGAAGAGAAAACTTAGATCTAAAACTTATATATAACCTAATTACTTAATTTCTCACCAACAACAGTGGCGCTCTCATAGGAGTATCACTTCTTTTGTTTTTATTTGTTGTAAATTTAAAATTTAAGGGAATCCTGTTTCAATCGAAAAATGACAAAAGTTGGTGGAGATATCTCTGTTAGTGCATATATATTTTTTAGTAACGTTGATTTTAGACTTAAGGTTATCACCCTACAGGTCTCATTAAGTGCCGTATCAACATGTTTCGTGTATTTAGATTGGACTATCATAATCACCAGCAGAGAAACAAAGCGCTAGTTCCGTAGTTTGGATCGTATTTGGAGTCGCAACCCATTTGCTACCGGCTAGTTTCCGTATTAGGTTGTTTTTTGCTTCGACTTTCATTTTCGTTTTTTCACATTGTTCCTTGGATGTGAGAGTTCTATTCAATGTAACCCCTAGGTAAACTGGATATTTTATATTTCTCAGTGTTTTTCCAAACCACTCAACTTTTATTTCTCTTTTTGCCTCACGATTTCGGAGATGGAAACTTCATACTTGTGTCTTAATGGGATTGGGTCTTAGTTTGTTTTCCATATTATAATTTGTTAATTCTTGGAATGATCTAGTAAGTTTACGTTCAGATAGTTGGAAAGTTTTGTCTTGTGATGCTAAGGCCAAGTCGTTTGCGTATAAGAAGTGTTTTGTTTCTTTAATGATGGGTTGATCATTAGTATATATATTAAATAACATGGGCGCTACCACACTACTCTGGGGTTAGCCATTTCGCTGGTTTCTACATTTGTTCTACATATTGTGATTGCAAAACGACGGTTGTATAGTATAGATGATATTATTTAAACAAAGTGCCAGTTATTTGTACATTCGTATATCTTATTTAATAAGAGATTATGGTTCATCGTATCGTACGCTGCGGATAAATCTACGAAAATTACCCCTGTTATCTTTTTGTTCTCTTATCCATCTTCGATATGTTGGCACAGGTTTAATACCTGTCCTGCACAGTTTTCGTCAGGCCTAAAACCGGCCTGTTCAGAGATAAGTTTTCTTTCGACTTGGTACTTGATCCGATTCATAATTATGCGCCCATACAATTTGAAAGTATGGCATAACAAAGATATTAGTCTGTAACTTTTTGGGGTTTTGTAATCTTTTCCCGGTTTAGGCAATGCCACTACTTTTGCTTTTCTCCACATTTTGGGCACTAAGGTCTTAATTAGTGAGTTGAGAAGGAGTTATTTGTTGATTTTCCAAGCGGTTCTCATAAGAATTTTGAAAAATTGGAAAAAAATAAATGTAAAAGACGAACAAATTTACGACAGTGAAAGTTTCGTTACTTTAGATTTTGTTCTAAATTTCCACTAAAATTTAAAAGTAGTATTTTTTCTGAAAGATAATGTTTACTTAGTGTGTAAAAAGTTTTTTTGATTTTCCGTATGATTTTTTTAATAATTTAGGAAGATGTAGGAAAAACGGGAAAGTTTAAGTTATTGATAAATTTATTATTTTTTGTTTTAATTCGGTTATAAATTATTGTAAGGGCTTAATATTTATACAGAATACTTATTACTTATTATTAATTATTATTATATTATTATTTTCTAAACGTGGTAAAACATTCTGGACTTTTTTGAGCTATTTATAGGCAATTGACATATTCGAGTTTTTTTTTAGTTTTCATTTGGTAGGTATTATGTAGGTACAATAGATCAATAATACATAAACATATTAAAACATGTTATTTTTGGTCGGTTGTTATTGTAATGAAATATGTTTACGTCAGGGAATGTTTTCCTTTACGTGATGTTTAGACATGAAATACTTAAAAGTATGTGTTATATTTATCATATAATACAGTATTCTCAAAATTTATTTGTACATGTCTGTTTTGAAAGTAGATAGATGTATATTTTATTGGGTTATTGACCATTTGAAAATTAAATGTCAGTCAAGTATTGTCTGACGTGTAAAAAATTGAAATTTTCGCGAAATTTTGCTTACTGGTCTTATGTTTTGTATAATGGGAATACTGTAGGTATCTATCTATCCACAGTGTGCAACCGTAAAAATTTGACATCTGACGTAAACATCTGGATACCTATATCCACTTCATATCGCGTGTATAGTGTATATATAAATCGTTGGTTGTACTCGTATTAGTATTGTTAAAGTTCTGTAGCCAGGTAGTTTATGAATTCAATCAAATGTATAAATGTGCATTGTTTTTTTCCTTTGAGAAAATACTTTTGATCTATTCAGATAAGTAAAAAAGTAACAATACGATATACTATTTTAGAACAAAGAGCGTGATACGTTTCAAATATAATAAACATTTATTATAGGGGGCTACGCATGGTACATCATGTATAGATTTGTTAAAATTCCACACGATACATCGATAATGATTTTATTTCTAAAATATCTAGAAGATAATAGAGCAGTAATATAGTAATTAGTACAATATAATGGTAGACAATTTTTTAAGTTTTGGTAGTTTGATACCAACACTATACAATAGGTACGTATTATAATAAAACCGTAATCGTAAAATATTTAAAAAAAATTAATATTGTGTAAAACTTTTCTATGGAAGATTTAATAACGAATAAAATCCTCAAAACGATCTTATTTTTATTTGTTATATGTATTAGTTTTCATTACCCGACGTTTCCGGGGTTAGCTTAGAGTATCCAAAAATAAACAAATTGTTATAATTCTTCAAATTCTTATAATTTTTTGGAGCCAACATTTCTTTGTAGCATTGTTAATATCCGTCAAGTAGATAATATGATTCATGCATTTCAGAAAAAAATTGTATGATTAAATAATTAAGAAAGTTGTATTTACAGTTAAAATAACCCTTCTATTATAATCATTAACTATTGTCTTCTGAATTTTTTTCGCTTATTCACAACCAAATTATGCCAGCAATAACATAGTTATTTATTAACAAATGTTCAATTTTTGTATTCTAAGGACAAAATTCATGTATCAGCCCATTAGAGATTCAACATAAAAAAAAAAAAATATATTTCACACGTGGGTGCAGCCAATGTTGTAGTTGGGAAGTTGGGAAGGTACAATACAGACGGGAATTTAATACATATCTGTAAGCAGCGATAAACCATTGCTAATGAAAAACGATTCTGAGCGGAATTCAATTGATAGTGTTGCATTGTCAACAATATATATGTCATATTATGGTAAAATTATTACAATATGTGTTTCCATTGGCAACAATGATAGTTTAAAAAAGATTTTAAAATAATTAAAACTTAATAATAACAAAAAATAAATAAAAACGGTTGCCAATGACAACCGTTTTTCAATCTTTGAATGTTTTTTAACCTAAAGAATCAGATTTTTCTCATTTTCTCGAACATTAATGAGAATTTCAAAAAATGATCTCCTTAAAATACCACCCAAAGAACATTTAATTTCAAAAAAGGTGTTATATTTTATAATCGGAGTAAGCTTTATGATAAAAAAATTTAAAATAATAAATCATTACTTACGAGATTGTCCTATTCTTTTATATTTACGAGTTTGTTTAATTATTAAAAAAAACTATAGAGAAAATCAAAAAATGTTTTCCTTATTCACCAATTAAATTAAAAATCCCACAACAAAGATCTCTTGTCATTTTTTATTAGAACAATATTTCTTGTAGAAAACGTAAATCGTAAAAATTTAAAATAAAGAAATTAAAACGCAGTGAATTTAATTATCAATTATTACATTATTAAAATACTAGGCTTTTTAGATGACCTAAATTTCTTTAGAAGTCATAGAAAACGTAAAAGGAAACATACAAAGTCTGCAACTAGTGACTAACTATAACTAACTAACTACTTAAAGTATTTAATTATGTTAATTTATTAGCTGTTGACAAGTTGATGTATATCAACTTATACCAATTGGCAGCTATAAATAAAATTAGCCATTCAAATTGATCATAATAATGTATAGACACTCGAGTAGATATTTTTTAATTTATAAAATGGTATTCGTTTTAGATTTTGAAGTGTAGAAACTAATATAGTTTTACTAAGATGTGATTTTGTTTTTTATTGAAAAAACTTTTTTAGTTACAAATGCTCAGATTTTATCATGCATATAGGTGGTTTAATTTAAGTAGTTAAAACCGTAGATTCGAAGGTTTCGGCGGTTTTCAATCTGTGGTATTTATTTTAAAATAATGTCAAATGTCAAATTCTCATAAGTTAAAAATAAAATAAATATATTGACAACAAATGGCATGGGTTTGTATTTAGGTACATTGTAACATTTTGTTTTTTTTTTTATGCTTGACAGTGGATTAACACCAAATTATAACTGTGCTATTTTTGCGTCATTATTGCGTAACTCCGTTATTTCAATCTATAATCTCAGAAAATTCAAGTAAAATAACATTACTTTTTCTTTTTTGGTCGGGAATTTCTCTTTCATTACGTTTTAAATAAAACCACTTACTAATGATTGATTAGGTGCGTAAAATCTATAATATAATAATAATTATTATTTACGGATATTTGATCAGCACATTGAATATTTCATTTGAACTAGATGTAACAAAACGTGCCGACCGAATTTATCGTTTAAAAACCGAATGTTTGATTAGGTTTCGGATAAAACCGTTACAGCTGTATAATACATAGAAATCACTAATAAATAATGTAAAATCATTACGGTCATCAGTTTTTTCAAATATATTCCAAAAGTTGTGTATCTATATAAATACATTTTATAATTCCAATGAGTTCATTCCGTGATAATATCACTGTATCAGAAACTTTAAGTTTGGACAATAATTATTAGGGGAAGGTTAATGGTTTTTAAAATTAATTGTATGGTAAAAAAAGTTTTTGAAGTATCATTTGTTTAAAGAGCTTAAAAGTTTACACATTTTAAAAGGAATGACTTAAATGGTTTTGGTTTTCGTTATTATTATATTCGCATTGTATATAATTCTTTAATGAGTTATAGTGATTCAAAATGAAAATAACTCAATTTAAAAGATCAACATATTATAAATCCGAAATTTGTATTAAAATATATCTAAAATTCATGAATATTGTAATATGTAAACAAGTTAAACAAAATTATTTAATTGTATATTTTGTATTTATAGAAATTATAAATATGAAAAATAATTATTTTTTGAATAATTTTGACTAAGTAATATTCTAAATGGCAATTCAATTTTTTAACTAAACAAAATAATTCTACTTCATGAAAAGTTAATTGTTCTGAATGCTTTAGAATTTTAATTTCGTTATTTGTAAAATATTAAAATAAATCGACCATATGAATTGTCTCGACCATTGTTCAAAAACTGTTGTAAAAAAAGTCAGAGACAAAGTTTTACTTTGTTTTTTAAGAAATTGGTGTGGTAAACTAATTATGGTTCTTTATAATTAAGTATTAATCCAAATACTGCAAGATGTAAGTTGTAAGCTATAGGCGTTATCATTGATTTTGTTCTTCATTTATAAGCTCCTACTTATAAATGAAATGATTCTATTTTACTTTTTATGGCAATATCAATGAAATTATAAACTTGGTTTACATACGAATGTTGGGTTTCATAATTAAATAATCAAAGAATAACTATTATGTAGACGTTAAAATAAACGGGCTGTGTTTATTTATTTTATTTTTTAGAAATTATTAAACCACATATAAGCATATAACAGTATGTTTATATATAGTTTATAATAAAACTATATTTTTAAAATAAAAAAATGTATTGGGTTCGTGGAAATATTATATAATGTATTTTTAAATGAGACCATATATAGGTACTTATCGTATTAGATTGATCACAGTGTGGGTATTTTAGATTCTGAGTGGAATGAGGAATGTATTAGTTTTAAAATGATGTTTATTTTTTTATCTATAAACAAATTTTCTATCAGAAATTTTGCTCCAATTTTCAAGTTTAGTATATTTTCTGAAAGGAAAATAAAATAGGGTGGCCACTTTTTGATTTTCCCAGAGGTTTTCATAATAAATGGAAAAATTGGGAAAATTTACCAAATTTATTATTTTGAAATCGTAAATATTACGCACCATATTTTTTTTTTGGGGGGGGGGGGGGGGGGTGAGTGGGTTCATAAATACCCGGATAAAAATTCCTTATGTTGAAATATATCTTTTCGTATCTTTTTTAACCCTGCATACTAGTTGATTTATGCATAAAAAACTACAAAATGTTATTACGAGTATACTAATTGCTTCGAGGATTTTTTTTTTAGCACAGCGAATTGCGTCCTAACCATCTGCGATATCTGAAATGTCTTTTATATTATTAGACTTATCGGAGATTATTGAGTAGGTACTATTGATTTAGTATAACGATTTATTATGTTTTAACTTTGATAATTGTTTTATGTGTTATGTTGTATACAAATACAATATTATTATCGCATCGCAGTGTTTGACGGTTAATATTAGTTGATTTACCAATACCATAAATATTTTATTCATTTATAACAATTAAAATATTACAAAAATCGATACAGATTATTAATAAACCAATATTTTTAACCTACCTGAGTATGTTCAATTCTGTGTAAAAATGGGAAGGAGAATATTATTTAGTTTTTATAATTTATAGTACGCAACTAGTATCAACCCTAAAAATAATAAGAATTTGGAAGGAATTGTTGCCATGGGACGCAATTTGTATGCAGCCCTTTTTAAAGTACCACTATGCGCATTATATTTAAAGATAATATTATATTACGAATTCTATTCTCACCTATTCATTATATTTACTTTTAGTACTTTGAAATTATTTTATTGTACGTAATCAATTTATTGTAATTCTGTATTACAATAAAATATAGTATTTTATATATAATAAAATTGTCTAGGTATCTATATATTTTATTAATATTTTGGGTTATAACCCATATACATAAACGTATATTGCCTTTGACGTGTAAATACAAAATAATTTCAAGTGGGTTTAGTAAATATCTATATTGCATTTTTATTTTTCGTATTAAACGACTGTTTTTATATTCAAAATTAATTGTTTACAATTAAATAAAATATTACGAATATTATTCTAATGTATTGTAGTTTGTAATGAAACGCATTAATTTCACCCAAACTTGACAAAATTACATTTGTCACTTTATAAAATAGTGTTAAATATGTGTTTAGTGGCATTAATGGGCCCTATTGAATACGTTCAGATGGCCGTTACGTTCGAGGTGATAAGTTTTCTATAGAAAGTGCATCTTTATACGAAAAATTGGTTTTTTGTTAGTTCTTCACACAAATTACACTAAATCATATTGTGTACGCGTAACTGTCATGAAAGATATTCAATTTGAACGTTACCGCATTACCAGTTTCTAATTTTTTCTCTATTTTCGCTTTAATATTGTGATGTACTCTATTATACTGTGTAGTATTTGATTTTGTATCTGACCGTCTTACTGATTACTAATTTTCCCTCCATTTTTACCCGAATGTAAAGTGGACAACATGTACCTATCTATCCATGTATGTATGTATGTATGTATGTATGTATGTATGTATGTATGCGTGTATATTTGTATATTTCTTTATTCCACCATAATTCATAAACAACTAATATTGTATAAAATCAATGAAAATAGTATATAAACGCGGCCATAGATCGTTTAGAATTGATATTTTTAATAACAAAATAAAAGACCTATTTTAATCCTAAAATTATAATTTATTTTTTGATATCATACATGGATATGTGTTAATTAAAGAAGCTAAAAAATGTATAAGCTATTTATTATTGCAGCGAAGTTTTTAACACTGTTTTATATTTTAAAGACATATACGTTGAGTTTTACGAGCATTTCAAAAGGGCAAAAATAAATTAGAATTATCAAGTTTTTCGTGTTATAAAGATTCGAGTTATTGTAATTTGCGACATAGCTGTACTTTATTAATATAATAAGTTAAACTATTTTTATATAGAAATAGTTTGTAATTGCATAAAGAAATATTATAGTTTTAGTTGATTTCTGAAACTCTTGCATATATGGGGTTTCAAAAAAGACCTCGAGATCTTACGATTAAAATAGGTATTTTGTATAAAAAAAAAAAATAGTTTTAAACAATCTGTAGTCGTTTGTATACTATGTTCATTGATTTCATGAAATGTTTTCGTTATTAAATATTAAAACGCCACGCTTCTCCATTAAATATTATCCAAATGGCTTCAAACCTTGAGGTTATATTATTTTTATTATTCGGCACAAGATAGGTGTCCCGAAGGAAATGTTGAAATTGGCAAAATAAGGACCACTTTGTGTAATATTGTTAGAATCATTACGGTTCCCCTATTAAAAAAGCTTAATGACGTCTTAAAAAAATTAACTATACTGCCCCTTAAATATTGGGAGTGACATTCTCATAAAGTTGTCAATATTATTACTTAGTTGTCACCAAATTTAATCAGTGGATATTCCAACCAAAGAAGGTAATATTATGAATAACCAGGTGACGTCGGATTTTTAAATATTATCATGCTTAATAAGGAGAATAGAAATACAAAGATTTTCAAAATAATTATAGCAATATTGATTTATTATTATTTGTCTACGAAAATGTAAATATGTTCTTTATTTTTTTTTAATACAATATTATGTTAAGTTATATAGTTTTAACTATTTAAAAAACCATTTAGAATCTAAAAAGTTATGACAATGTATATTTTTTTCAAATAAATATTACACAATCTATAAATAACTTATTTTTACAATAAGCATAACTGATATAAGGGGTCATGGCAGTAGGCTTAAATGAAAAATATCTTCAGTATTGGTACTTTATGGTGGTAAACAATGGTTTTTAATTATCTAGTTCCAAGATCCTGTCTCAAAATTTTGGGAACTAATATTCTGGAATGTTAAAGACGGATAAGTTAGAGGATTTCGGTGGTTGGATAGATTTGAGTAGAAGTGTTTATAGAGGATTTTGGCTACATGCTGTATAGTTGGGATGGACAGATCACTATGCAGTGTATAATTTAAGACATAGAAAGGAGCTTTAGTTATTTGCTGAAGGCATTTGGACTGGAATGATTGAAATATTCTACACATTTCAGATTATTCCACAACTAACATACAATACTATACAGTCATAAATGACTTTGAAAATGACAGAGTTATTTTTGCGCTTCATTCAGATTCTGACATGGCATATAACTTAATATTTTTATTAATATAAATTAATACAAACTTATTCATTGCATATTCACACTTAGACCAAGAAACTGCCCTATCATAACCCTTATTTAGGCTTTCACCTGGATCAATGACTAACCATATTTATATTTAGCGAATTGCCTTAAACAACCCATCCCGTCAATTATGATTTCTCCCTAAATCTAAGCATATCAATTTGAACAATAGAATACTCATTTATAAACTGCTATTGGAACCAATATTGTCATATAGAATATGGTATATAACTTTGGGGTTCAGACAAGCAATCACATATAAAGCAATATAAATTTAAATTTGAAATGAAAGTATTAACATATTTTAGAACCTTATATTATATAAAAGTCGTGATCCGTTTGTAACGTTTTGATGATTCATTATAGCAACCAAATGTAAAATCCACTATAACCAGTCATGTATGACGCACATGCAACTAGTTAATTATGATTATAGAAGAGTAAAATTTTATAATTATAAAATATTGAAATATTCTGTCGATTTTTGAACAATTTATATTTTATTATGTATTCGACATTTTTGAGTCTTTTTTACATTTCATTTGATTTTAGGTGATTAAATTATTTTGACCAAGCTAAAATGTTTTAAGATTGAATACTAGATGCATCATATATTAAGTTAAATCTGATCACAAAAATAAGCTGACTTTAATAATGTAGTTGTTTTTTTTTTTATAAGCTATTAACGCTTTCTTGAAAACAGTAAACATCAGGGCATTTCAATCAATAATTTATTAGGAATAATTTATTATTTATAGGAATTTATTTAATAAAAAAGGTATAAAAATGTTGATTGAATTTGAATTTTGATTTTGAAGTTGATTGATTCTTTAATAATTCTATTCGTCTGAAACATTTTTTTTTATAAATTTATTTTGTTAAAATAATAAAAGAAATTGAAATTTTATAAAATATAAATTTAATGTATATACAAACTGTGTAAAACAAAAAAAAAAAAATGTTTTAAAAGATATTAATAGAGGGAATTTGATTAAAATTATCGGAAAATGAACTAAAAAAGGAAAATATGACCAAGTATTGTATTGTATGCTAAGTATTATGTGGATTAAAGTGTTTTGGCCAGTTATAAATGTTTGACAATTTTACACGAGGTTCATTAGAAATTGTATCTCGTGGACGAAAAAAAAAAATTGAGCGGAATGTAGTTATTTTTTTTATAAGAATTATATGTCAACAATATTATGAAAATCTTAATAATAATCACGACATTTTATTAGAAATTATTTATCGTTATTTACAATATATATAAACTACATTACCCTAATATGTATAGATATTCTACCTTCTTAACTTTTTCTATAGTTTTTTTTTTTTTTTTATATAAATACAATTTTTATAATTTTTAATTATATGCAAATTACTCATTTACGTAAAATGTACATGCACATGATGACATTGGTATGCACTTAATAGTTATCATTATCGCTAAATTATTTTTAAATAATGTAAAAGTAATTAATTATTTGTTCGGTTGTATAAAACACGTTTAGAATAATTCATAAATAATAATATCTATTTCAAATTAAATTATAATTAAATTTAAACGACGTTTGATGACAACACTTGAAAGCGTGTTTTAAATTATTTGTTAGTTTGTCAATTGTTGTATATTTTGAATACACACAGAATTATTTTAGTTTGTTTACAAACACGATCAAGTGGAATATTTAATATAATATTAGTGTGTTGTATAACATTACAAACAACGTATATAAATTATAATATAGGTATACGTGGGAATGGAGTAATTATTACCTTTCGACGTCAGAACGTTTCAGTGAGAAAACGAATTAATAAATTGGTTATATTTTTGCTCTATAATCTCTAGCAGACCTTATTTTAACGGGTAGTTGGACTCAAATTGAGTGATAGGAAATTTCAAATGTGCAGTTGTCTCCCCAAATTTGGACACTTGTACACACGTAACGGAGAAATACTTAATATAAGCCATGATTTTAAGAAAGTTATATGATATGTATGATCAGATATTCATCTTATATTTCGATGCTGAAATTGTTATATTAAGAGGCTCAAATCGAAATGATTTTTTTCAATGTGAAACTAAGTATTCTTCTTTTATTTTTGTATACCTACTTATAATATTATTAATTTTTTAATAAACAATCGTTTTTAAATAACTATAAAAAAATTAATTTAAATAACTGCAGACATTAATATTACTAATAGCGTTTACCAAAAACAATAATTATTATAAAAGACCTATATATAGTTAAGAAATCGCTAAGTTAGATTACATTTTTAATTATCATTATAAATATTAAAATATTTAATTGTATTTTATACCTATCTGTTGGATTTGTTATGAACTGATTATAAGAAAAAAAAAACTAAAACTTTTATCTATTATATTTCCGATAGTGACAATTGAAATCTATATACGTCACATTCCCACATCGCAAATAAATTCATATAATTTTGTATTTCGTAACAGTCTGAGAAAGCCATGTTATTACATGTTTTATAATAATGTATATATTTTCTCTCTGGATGATATCCTTTTGGGAATTTACTAATGCTCAAAAAGTTTCTTTTCTCTTTGAATTGTGTTTGAAAGTAGTATAATACAAACGTATTTTACGTACTAAATAATAATATTGAACATCTAAAATTATATTACGGAGGACAAATACGTATGTACAAAACGTTTGTATTATATAGATAATAAAAATAGATGTATCTAAGTTACGTCATCGGTATAATTACATCACACAGCTCATTACCGTTTATGCGTGCCTACACCCGTCATCGTAAATTCAAACGGATATAATATAGCGACATCCGACAGCTGAATAAAACGCGTTAATCTTTTAAATTTCTAACAATACCAATAGAATTTTTTAAATTTAAAAATCCCCATCACTATTGAGTCGGTTTTCTTTATCTTTTTTATTACAAAAATCTTCATTGTAAAACAATAAATCACCGACTACTGTATCTTAAATTCTACGGCAGAAGGGCTTAAGTCAATTTTGAATAGTTTTCAATACAAGCAAATTACATTTTTAACTTAACCTAAATAGAAGCGTTCTAAATGGACTATGTCATATTAAAATAGATCGCACAAAAGTTCGGAATGTACCTATACATACCAGGAATGTTAAAATCAAGGAGAGTAAAAATGTTAAACTTCAATGAAATTATCCGATTGAATGGAGGTCTAAGACTCTGTTTCTTGTAGCGAGGGTTAGGTTTAAATTTAGAACATTTTTCTTGCAGTAGAATCAGGTTTGGATTTAAGTTAAGTAAGCGGCTATTACCTTCCTCTCCTACGAGTGGTACTCGATTTTGTGAGCGAATACGGCTGGTGTACACAACCGTCCCTCGAACAATGAACAATTACAGATTTTTATACTTTTCAGATTTGTACTTTCTAGATTTTTATAAGTATCCATTATAATAATTATGACTTATACGATTTTGCTAAACAAAAAGTACAACAGTGATTTCAGATAGTTTTATTTTCAATTAAACGTGTGTAAGAATATAGGTACATAGCAATTACATAAGACATGATTATATATAAAGGCCAGTAATTGATTTAAGTTCTCTTCCCTGAGACTAAAGATATAATATTACAATATTCTATCTTCTATACTACTATATGGTGAAACCTGTAGCATAAAGAAGGGGGTAGGGATTGCGAAGATTGAAAGTTGAAACCGTCAAAAGACACGTTCATGATACTATTGCAATACATATATATATAACATATATATATATATATATGTGTGTTATAAGTATACATAACACTTTATCATCTAGCATCATTTGGTGGATTTAGGGGTATTTTAAGTTAAAAATATACCCAGACTCTCATTTAACAACAAGCTGAAATTCACATCAAAATGTACCTTTACTTTTTCACTTCAAACCATCCATAAAACATCTCTAATTCCTGAGGTTAAGCTCATTTATCAGTATATAGGGAGTTGTTAAAATTGTCTAATATTATCGGAATAGATATAGGCCTATAGTGTATACTGTATTTATACTAAATAATATTATTATTCTCGAATTTTCACCATCATTAGGAAAAGTAGAAGGGAAATATAAAAAAAATAATGACAAAAAACTGCACCCCGCAAAAATCCTACAGTCGTTTGGTTCCCGATTTATTTTTATTGAAAAAATAATACATACATAGTTTTTCTACTAAAAAAACAAAAATTTGAAAATCGTAAAAATATACGACATTTCAATATATGTTCAGAAATGATTTTTATTTGCATACATGTAGAAATTAAAAACTTAATCTATCCTACATTCCCATTTTCTCATTTACAACAGTTGCTGCATCTGTTCTCAGTATGAGCTCTAAGAGTTCTTTAACGCATGAAATAATTTTTAAAATTTGGCATGGTTTATTATATATGGGATGTTACTGTATACATTTAAAGAATCACACAGTGATTCAAGAAAAACAAAAATTAAATATCAAATACAAATATATATTTTTATATACTGGTTGATTCATTAGGCGTGCTCACCCTGTTTTTTGATTTTATTTTGCATATATTCAAATTCTGATTTTTTGATTTAAGTGTAGATAAAGTCAATATCTTCGAACACTTAGATTTTTCACAAAATTAAAATTTTTGATTTTTGTCAACCTTTTGATGAGATATTTCAATTTTATATTTAGATAGGGGAAGAGTAGCCCTTTAGGGAGGTCATTTATCGATTTTCCTAGGAGATTTCTCAACAAATTGGAAAAAAACGGGCAAATAAATGAAATTAAGATTAGTTAAAATATTTCGCCTTTTTTTTTCCTGTGATCGACTTTTTTACTGGCAATTTTGCTCCGATTTACAATTTAGCACTTTTTCTATAAGTAAATCTAACTAGAGAGGTAATTTAAGGAGTTAATTTTTCAATAAATGGGAAAAACCGGGAAAAACATGGGAAAACCGAAAAAAACGTACGAAAATCGGTAAAAAATTAAACAAATATTAATAAAGGAAATACATAAAAGCTATTTAATTATTTTACTATTATATGAAATATATGCTGTTGACAAAAAAACACTATCAACTGAACTCTATTCAGAATCGTTTTTTCGTTAGCAATGGTTTATCGTTACTTATAAATTTACATTACATTTCCTTCTGTATTCTACCTTCCCAACTTCTCACCTACAGCAGTAGCTGCACCACGTGGGAAGTATGTCTGAATTTTTTTCTTATGTAATTTTGTTCACTTTTTTTTTTGGTCTAAATAGGATAATTGTATGTTTTTTAATAACTACTGTACGTAGTGTATTAGTTCATGTATTTTCAAAAATTGATTTGCTTGCATTGAATACTACACAAATGTAACCTAAGCTCTGCTTTACTGGGATCAATGATATAACATCGTATATAAATCATTAGAACAAAAATATATTTTGTATGTTTTTTTTGAAAAACAAACCGAATAATTTTTTGCGCCGAAATTGGATAGTTCACTGCAAAGGCTCAGCAACCCACAAATTTAGGATTGAATACATTATTGATTTTGTTATTATTGTACACGGCAATATTATTATCATCGAATTCCGAATTACTATTCTGGACGAAAGCCAAAATTGTACGCCGAATTACATATCTTTTGGAAATACCTAATAACAGTTTTTGCGATATCCATAGCTGAGAAATTTGAATAACTATCTTTCTTTAAATAATTGTTTAGTTTTAAATTGATAATATCATATATATACCGTGTAAAACATATTAAACAGTTAAACTGTTTTAATGTGTATTTTATGAGCCAGTAATTAAAAATTATACATGCTGTCTTGTTCGCATACTTCCTCCAGTCCTTCCCCATTCCAGTCCTTCATTTGGTAAATATGTAATAAATGCGATATGATAAATAAATGTGTAATTCAGATTAGTTTCCCTAAACAAATTGCCACAAAATTCGTGTAAATTAACAAAATTGAATTAATAATATTTGAACATAAAAAAATTACACATTCACTAAAAAATATCCAGTTCTTGTATATTTGAACAATTTTGGAAACGTTAACTTAATTAAATCATCGTGTAATACGCGGTAAAAGTAATAAATATTTACCAAAAAAAAATTATAACGGGCATTATTAAGTATTAGAACTTCTAATATGTTCTATTAGGAAGCAATATGATTTTCTTAATAATAGTGATTTTAATTTGAAATTTGAACCATGTATTCTGGGGAATCTAGTAATTGATATGTTATCATGTTTTAAACATTTAATTAAACCTCTTAAAATTAAATATTAAAATATCGTTAAGTATCATTTGCTCCGTTTTGTTTTATACCTCCTCAAAAACAGGAATTTCCTACGAAATTTAAAAATCGGAGCAAATTTTTGGTAAAAAAGTTGTACACAGAAAAAAAAAAAATAAAAAAATAAACATATTTGTAAAACTATAAGCTTCTTTACTACACTCAGCATCTAAAATTGTATGAAAAAAAATGTCAAACTTTGGACTGCGCCTTATTTTTCAAAGACCAAAAATATTATTTAAATATTCAAATATTTATCTAGTGAACCAGTGGCGTGTCTAGGAATTTTCAATAGAAGGGAATGTAGCAAAATAAGAATTGTAAAATCATCTTATTTACCCAAATCGACTACGGGAATTGGTAATTTAAATCCCGAATCTTAAAAAAAGCCGATTTCTAATCAATACATCAAGATTTTTCTCATCATTTGGCAGTAATATATGCATTTAAATATCAAATTATTTATATTTTTTTGTATTTTTATTCCAATGGGAGGGATATAACCCCTAACCTTACCTCCTTTGTACGCCAATAAGTGAAATGGCCCAAAAGTTATTTTTTTTCGTTCACATTCTTTATCAAATCTGCGTATAGTACACGTTATATTATTTCCATACACACGGATGTCATTCATTGTATTCAAGTCGAGAAATGCCGAAATCAACAATGTAATTATGTGAATAATTATCGTATAGTTATTGATATATAATGGAGGTATTACTTAGTGATTTTTGTGTAAATTATAATATAATTCATTATAGCATAATATATGCGTGTATTAAAAATAATTCGTCGCAGAAATACGTGCTTTAAATTTTATTGTAATTAAATAAAACATAATACGACAAACGATGGTTTGGAACACTTACCGACATTTCTACATACGGTATATCGATAATAATTAGTTCAGCTTCTTGGCCGTTTATCATTACTCTGATCGTCCTACAAGCACAATCTTCATCTAAAAAATAAAAAAATAAATTGTTATATTTGTAGGCAAATACTAGAAAAAAATAAACATTTTTATGATCAAAATACAATACACACACCGTATATTAGTATCGTTGTACTATTTTAGATTCTCAGTGGAGCAAAGAAGCTTATAGTTTAACAAAGATGTTTATTATTATATTTTTTATTTGTAAGCAACTATTCTACTAAAAGACTTGCTCAGATTTCTACATGTAGCACCTTTTCCCATTGAAAAGAAAAGGCCTAGGGAGGTATTTTAAGAAGGTCATTTTCCTCATTAATTTTGAAAAACCGAAAAAAAACGGGACAATGTACGAAATATATCACTAAAATATTATGATTTTTTTTTCCTGTGTACAACTTTTCTACCAGCAATTTTGCTCCAACTTTTAATGATAGCAATATTTCTAAAAGGAAATTTTATTAGGGAGATACTTTAGAGGAGTCATTTTTTTATGTTCTCAAGAGATTTCTCAGTAAATGCGAAAAAACCGGGAAAAACATAAGAAAACTGGGAAAATTGGTACTATATTAAACAAATTTAAGAAAAAAATTTATTTAATGTAGTTAAAAGAAAATGTATAAAGCCTATTTTATTATTTTACCACAAAATGACATATATATTGTTGACAAATCAAAAAAACTCCTCTCAGAATCGTTTTTTTGTAAGCAATGATAAACCATTGCTTACAGATATACATTAAATTCACGTTTATATCCTATCTTCCCAACTTCTCATCTACACCAGTGGTTGCACCCGTCCCCATTATCTTACCTTTCTTTTTTATATTTTATATTCAAAATTCCCAAACTTAAAAAAAAAATTGTTTATATCTGGGTTACCTTGATAAAAGACGACTCTTACGATGATTTCCCTAGTTTACCGAGTTTCGGTTAACTGAGAGAAATTGCAGAGAACAAGATAAAACTTTGTTCTATCATATCGTCAATCTTTTTTTGTGCAAAGCATGATCTTCCATTACAAGGTAAACACGGTGAAGGTTACGTTTTTACAGATTTATTACAATTCCGTGTCGAATTGGGGGGATGAGTGAACGTATTTTGAATAAGTATTTAAAGTCTGGAACTAAAAATTCGTTTTATATCTTACATGAAATTAAAAATGAATGAATTAAAACTTGTGCTTCTATACTTTGACAAAACATTACTGAAGAAGTGAAATGTATCAGTATTTCCGGTCTAAGCTGTCAGGACTGCCGATATAAGTGACACCGAACGATTGTTAATTGGTGTTCGGTATCTGCTGTACGATGTTAAGTTTCAAAGACATACAATTTGTGAAGAATATTTTGATTACTTGCCTCTTTCAAAAATAGATTCTTAATTTTTTGCAAAAATAATCTTTGCATTTTTAGAAAATTGTAATTAAGATTTGAATCGACTTGTGGGACAAGGATGTGATGAATGCGCTACAATAGCTGAGCATATAAATGGCGTTCAAAAACTAATTAATGAAGCTTATCCTATGGTACTATTCTTTTATTGTACCAGTCACGTATCAAATCTTGTATTTAATGATTTGAATAACGTTAGTGAAGTAAGAAATACAACCGGGAATAATAAATATTTTTAGAGAGAGCACATTGCGTAGAAAAATTCTACCCAATATTTCTCTACTTTGTGAAATTCGTTGGTCAACAAAATATAAGAGTATTTAAATTGTTGCTGAAAATTTCCTTGTTATTTTCAAAGTTTTGGAAGAACTATTAAAAAGTACAGCAAATACAAAAACCAAAATTAAATCTTATCAACTCTTTACGGCAGTTACAAACAGTTTTAATTGTTACACTGCAAGTATTAGCTGTTTATCCCCTAAATTTTGACCAGTATGCCATCAACTTCAACAAGTTAATATAAATTTAAAAACGGTGAACAATCACAAAACTAAAATAGTTGATATTCTGCAGTTGTATAGAAATAATTCGTCAACTGAATTTACCATAATATTTGCAAAATTTAAAGAAATCGCTGAAGAACTTGATGTTGAAATACGTCCACCTCGATTAGTTGCACGACAAATTCAAAGATCAAATCGTCAATCTATAAACCATGAAGAGTTTTTCAGAATATCAATTTTCGTTCCTTATCTAGATTCAGTCATATCTTCATTAAAATATCGTTTTTCTAAAACTCAGAATTAATTCTCTAATGGATTTTCATCTCTATGCTACGAAAAACATAAGTAAAGAAGAGTTTATTTGCATATCAAATGATATTATAAAATTATATAGAAATATTTTGTCTTCAAATGTCATAACTGATGCCATAACATGGTATGAAATATGGAAAAATTATACAAACCCATTAGATTTTATTGAATACTTAAATATGATCAAAAAAATTGTATCCAGCTGTAGCCGACGTAATCAAGATAGGAGCAACTCTCCCAACAACAACTTTCAGTATTGAACATTCATTTAGTACTTAAAGATGAGTCATGACCTGGAACAGATCTCGTATGGGTGATAACTGATGACCGATTGTTTGGATTGTGTATGATAGGTGTACATAGAAAGAAACTACAAGATGATTCCAAATTCAATGAAAATCCAATTGAGGAATTTGGAAAAAAAACCTAGACGTTTACATTTATTATTTAAAAAACAAGTATTATAATACATAATATAGATAACATAGAAAACTATGTAAAATAAGTATTATATTAAATATAATATAGATAGTTATGCAAAAGAAAATATTTTCAATACCATTCAATTTTTTTTAATTTTTAATTTTTTTTTTGAAAAGCCAGGGGAGTGCAAGTGCGTCCCCTTGCACCCCCTTCGTGGCGCCCATGGTAAGTACCAATATATTTATATTACTAGTAAATTTCGGTACTTGTAGGTATCACAAAAATCAATAAAACATTTTTACATCCAGGTAAAAATATTTTAAAAAAAAAATATTAAAAAGAATAATTTTTCAAACTATCAAAATAACCAAAAAAAGCACATTCAAATTTCATATTTTAATTATTTATATGAATACATTTCCATAGTACTTTACATTTACTAGATTTAATAGAAAAATAAAATAAGTAAATGCTATAAATCCCGAACCCTGATTCTTTGTATTGTTAAACGCGGCGTGTTCAAAAATATTGTTTTTTTTTTTTAAATGCATGTTTTTAATCAATCGATAAACTACGGATTCCTAAAATTAATTGCTATTGCTATAAAATAAATTTCACTTAAACCAATATTAGTACGCACTATCTATACATTAATTGTTTGTATTAATAATCAAACAAGTTGCTTATATTATAAATCAAATTATTATTACTATAGTGGTTTTTTTTTTGGAAAAACAAACCCATCAAACTGCTTTTCATTTAATAATACTATCATTTGACAATAACCATTTATTTAAAAAAAATAATTCCCAAACTAGATTCACAAGTGGTGGTTTGGTGACTTAAATCAGGTTCCTACTAGTTTCATACGACTACTGTTCTTTCAGATCATTGTTTTTTCGTGATTTTTTAAAAAAAATAACTATACGATTATAACTTATTATATTAGCACAGACTATATTACTGGATACTCTGAATATAACTAAATGTTGTGAAAAATCTAAGTTTTCGAAAATATCGACTTTAACTACATTTAAAAATTCTAAAAATTTGAATTCAAATATATGCAAAATTTAACCAAAGAAATGGGGTGAGCACGTTTAGTGAATCACCCTGTATTTAGGTATAATAGGTATAAGATATCAACTGGGCCAATGGGGAGTGGCCTGGACACCAATTGACCCCCCCCCCCGTAAATACGCCACTGTCTTGTATAACCGGTTTCTCGTTGCCAGTTATTATAATATATAGGTAGTACAAACTTATAGTTTAAAGGAAAACATTAGGCTGTATGTAGGAATTTATAATTTTAACTATGATACCGTTTTACATAAATAAAAGTTTGTAAAGACATTTTAAACTTAAAATGGAAATAATTACTTTTTGATCATATTAGGATTCATATTAAATCCATATTAAATGCTGAATAAACTCGGTATAAGTTAATTGAAGCAATTAATTTCATAATATATGATGAAACGTTTTAAAAATATTTTGATATTACTTATCTATATACTAAACAAATATAGAATAAACATGTTGTAAGCTAATAAAAAGAAAAATACAACTTATGAACAAGAAACACGTGAATTAAAATATAACTTTTGACAGTAAAAAATATTATTTTTAATTATCATTAAATCTAAGTAATTTTATTGTTTCACTGAATCATTTCTATCAATTTTTTTAGATTCCGAGTGAAGTGAAAAAGCTTATAGTTTTACAAAGATGTATTTTATTTTATTTTTTTTGTCTGTGCGCAACTTTTCTATCAGAAACTTGCTTAGATTTCTACGTGTAGCACCTTTTTTTTGAAAGGAAATCGGTGTGGGTTTAAGGAGTTCATTTTTTGATTTTATCAGGAGTTTTTTTTCAAATTTGAAAAATCAGGATAAAACATGGGAAAACCGGGAAAAACGTAAGAAAACTGGGAAAATCGTGAAAAGTTAAAGTTTGTTTAAAAGTGATGATATTAAAATTTAAAACGGTCGGATAAATATTATTGATAGTATCTAGCTTACATAAAAATTCAAAATCATGGTACACATTAAAATAAAATGATTGGTAAATTAAACTTTGTTTGAAACTGTGGGAGCGGTGGTTTTGGGGGATGGAGTAATGAGAATCAATTAACTGTTATTAATTAATAGAAACACTTATGTTTAATATATATTTAACGTTCATATTGGATATATATTATATACACTCTGCAGACTTTCATTATAAAATATATTCTGAGTTTTATAAAGATAGTTCTTTAGTTATGTTTGTGTTTGAGAATAGTAGGGGCTTCACTCTAACAAAACCAATCTTAGACGAATTAGATTCGTTAGGTGATTTCGTTTTTTAAATGTATAGTAAAGATATACATTTTCAGAATTATTTTTTATAGTTTGGTTGAATACCATATAATATGATATCACATTAATTTATAATATGTATTGTTAATCGGACAACATGATAAATGATTTGATACCTATAGACCACAAGAAAAAAAAACCCAACACATAATAATACCTGTAATATTTTGTATAGAACCTATAATAAAAATAGTGGTGATTATTTGATACATTACGGGAATATAATATTATTTACGAGCTGTCATCGCCCGGTATTACCCCGTAGGTTAAGTTAGGTTATCAGAAAAAATAAAAAATAAAAATTCAAATCAATAAAAATAATTCAATTTGTTATGTTCCCCCCATGTAGGTGCTATCAGTATCTTATCGTTGTAGGATTTTTTCCAGCTTCATGTACAAGTTCAGTTGAATAATTATAAACCTAGTGTATTGCCTGTGGGCCGTGACAACCAAATTAAATAATAATAGAAAACTCATTCTCTCGTAACAGAATGATTATTATTTTACGAACCAACTGCTATATACAAAGACTGCGTAAAATGAAAAAATTTTTGAAGACAGAATATACTTTTCTAAAAAAATGTTGGTACATTACATCACAATTTTTGGAAAAATATTCTCTTTTGAATCTGAGTTTGGAAATATAGGCTGGTATTTGATAATATTAAATGTTGATAATATACTTTTATGGTAAGTATATAATATATACGGAATAGGGGAAACATTTCGAAATTAATGTAAATAAGGAAATTATTAAATATATTTATTGAAAATGTTCGTATTGAAAATTGTCGGTTTGTAATAAAATAATCACTCTGTATACAGATAGGTAAACGTTTTGTTGCAGCTGTAATTAAATTCTTTTTTTTGCCAGTGGTATGAATTCTTCACGAGGGTATTATAATTTATAATATGTATATGCATATTATACGTGTATACAGATGAGATTTTAGTTGGGAGGTATTATTTCGCATTCGAATTTACGGTGGGTACCTATACCTACCGTAGAATATGTACAACATTACCGAAATTACTTACCTATGGAAGTGTCATAAACGCAAATGTAATCGGACGTGGAAAACTGCACGGATATCGTGGTTTTTCCGACACCCGGGGCGCCTAGCAACGCCACTTTGTACGATTCTACCGTGTCGTTATTTGCTTTGAACTTGTTTATCAACGCCGTGCTATAACAAAAAAACAAAACAAAAAGTCTATATTATATTCACATTTATTTTATGTCAGGTCATGTGTCTCGATGTAGGGATGCGTTGCAGGGATCAATTCAGTGTTTAAATTGTTAGTAGGAACAGGGGACAAGGTACCTCTTCAATTTTATAGTGTCCCCTTACTAATTTATTGTATTGAGACGGAAGTATGGTACATTTATTTTCGCAAGTTATGATATTTAAAAAAAAAAAAAAAAATAATATCAAATCAGATAAATTATATATATTTTTTTGATTTTGTATTTATCAATTATAAATTATGTAGGTTAACATTATAATATTTTCTATATTATAAAGAATTTTTTATTGTGTAATAATAGATAAGTAATATTACTAAAACTAAAAATTAATATCATTTTACGAAATCGAGAAAGAATTTTATATCAAAAAAAATATTAATTATTTAATTTGTTATGAAGAATTTTGTTGATAACAGAGCTAATATTCAGAAAATGTCAACCACTATTTAGAGTTTGAATTCTGAGTTAAAAGTTCTCTGAGAGTTACAGATCACTGATCAGTGTAAATCACATCCATATTCTCGAGATTAGCTGTTACCAATAAAATTCAAATCTACATGTAATGCATATACATGGTGTCCCACTATGATTTGATGTTAAAACTAGAATGTGCCGATAATAAGCTTCAATCAATGGTTTAAATACAATTTTTGAATCGTTTATAAAATTTGTGTTTGAATTAAATTTAGACAAAAAAAATGAATTAGTTCGTGCACGTATTATAAAAGAAAACCCTTGGATAATTGAATGTATTTCTAGTTCTATTAATTTTAACCAGAAGAATAATAACTGGCGAGATGCTTTCGGTTTGATAAATTATGGCACTTAGATTGTTGTCGGTTGCAAATGATAGATGCTATTGCAAAAATTTAATACAAATACGTAACTATTGTGTGTTAAGGTTTTTCAATAAGTTAAATTGTCGCTATACCTATAACTGAGAACCAGAAAAATACGATCACCCGTTTTGTATGTTGCATTTTATTTTGAAAAGGTTACTCGTAAAATAGAGCTGGTCTTTTATATTAGTGGTACTTGAAATAACTTTTATTCTATCAATATTTTTAACACATTTTTTATTTTTGGAAAATTTAGTTTATTTCCACTACAGTTAATATAATAATTTTTTTTTATGTGGGGGAACTTAAAATAAAATATTTATAATTTTTTTAGAATTAAAAAAAATAAACTTCAAATTAGATATTTTATAAAATAGATTTTTAGAAAATTTTTGGTGGTTGAAACATTTGTGTATTGTCCTTTATTTTCTACAATTTTAAGAAATTTTCGCTAATATAATAAGATTGTGATTTATAATCTTTAATAATATTTTATAAGTAGTCAGATAATATTATTATATTATTTTATTGACTCATGGTAAAGAAAATCGTTGTCATTTGATGTACTCTGAGTCTTTGAATACTGTTTATTTTCTAATTATAAAATGTTTTGCATAATTATTCTTTATAAAAAAGAACCACAATGATATTCACATTAGCGAAAATTCAAAAAAATTGTAGAAAATAAAAGACCATACATAAACATAAGTTTCAAGCACAGCATTTTTCTGAAAATCTGTTTTGAAAATTGGCTATTTTAAATTTTAAGTTTCTTCGCTTAAAAAAAATCTAATATATTAACTTTAGTGTAGAGGGTATACTTATTATTTAAAAATATATTAAAATATGAAAACTTATCTAAGATTATTATGGATTGTTTTATTTGTGAATAATTAATTATTGAATATTGTTTTAAAATTGACATACGGGTAGTGTGAGAGGCGAAATTCTACATGTATTAAATTAAGTTCAATTATTGCAGAAGACGCTAATTTGTATTTTAATCTCATAATCCCTTTTCTGTTTTCCAATTCGAGCACTAATAATTCCGGAGTATCGTTATTAAAGATCAAGCATATATATTATAAGTTTGTTCGTTTCGGCTATATTCCAAATATGTCAGATCAGACAAGAATAAAACTGATATCACATTATTAAAATATCAGTAAGAAAAGTATTTTCTATACAATTTTCGAATGTTCCGAATTTGTATTAAACACATTTTTTTTTTTATAATATTATACGTACATTATAATTTTAAAAATATATTCAATTATTATTTTGTGCTCTTCCGATCAAATCGAAGCAAACATTATTATTGCGCAATTATGTTTAGGGAAGAAGTAGAAAATCGCGGAAAGAAGCTATATAGCATTATAAATATACGTATGAGGTTAATATACTTATATTTTAAGACAGTAATAATATAAAGCTATATAAAACTATTTTATTAAAAATCAGATTCATCCTCATGGCAAAATCATTTAACAGCCATTGTTTTTAACTTTGTATAATTATCTCTATTTATATATTATATAATTTAATGTATAAATTTATGATAATAATGAAATAAAATAAAATCACATTAATAAATAATATTATTAGATAATAATATTCGGGTGGCTTTTTTGGTCAATTTTGTTAGTCGAGGCAAACAAACTGACCTGATGTGATAGAAGGTTTGCTCAACTGAACTGAATGATTAAAGTTCAGGCCACGCTATATGTATATTAATATGTTTATTGTTTATATTTTTAAAAATTTAACTGAACATGACTGAACTATTGAAACGACCTAGTGTGCTCACCGCTCACTCTTTAATTGTATTTTATACCCGGCATATTCTGTAAAAACATCGAATTTCAATATACAAATAGTTGTAGAGGGTGTCTTCTTCTTTTCACTTTACGGTTTTTCAAGAGCCTTTGTGGCTATTACAATACTGTTCCAAGATACTCTATCCTGGGTACATTCTCCCCAATTTGTTATACTCAACTATATAACGACTTCCTTTACTTTGTCTATCCAACGTTTTATGAGTCTGTCTCTTGGTTTCCTACCATTAGGGATAAACTTAATTGTTGCCTTTATTCTTTCCGATTCATCTCTACGCATTACATGCCCAAACTGTTCTTTGTCCTTTTATGTAGTTCATGTTTCATAGTATCTCAATATCCTCTCTCAATTCTCTGTTAAACCTTATTCTTCATTGATCTCTTAATGGTTTGAAGTTAAGCCTACATATTTTCCTCAAAATTTTGTCCTCTAATGTTATTAGCCTTTGTTCTATTTTTTGTGTTAGTTGTCAAATCACACAATCTTAAGTCAACGTTAGTTTGTCCACGACAGAATAGAGTTTAGTTTTAATTCCTTTCGAAAATAATTTTGGCTTAAAATATTTTAGTAAAGCATAGTCTTTTCCGCCTTCTGTGATCTACTGTTTGTTTCTAAGCTCCAATCTCTTTTTTGGTTTAGATTTGAAAGTTTCCACACTATCAAAGGTATAATTGTCTACATTAAGCGACTTTCCTTCTCTCCCTAAAGTCTCTATCACTTTAGTTTTAAGATTCCGAGCATAACGAGGGAGATATTGGTTTTACTAGGATGTTTATTATTTTTTTTTTCTTTGTTTTAGTCTGGACACATATTTTCCTAGTAAAATTGCTCAGATGTATATGTGTATCACTTTTTCTGAAATCTCAAGTTGTTTAGATTTTACTTTAAAATGTCCTTTTTGGTTTTCGAAGCCATTTTTTAAATATAAGCACTTAAGCGGAAAAAAACGTAGAAAAACGTATAATTTCACGATTTCATTATTTTATAAAATTACGGACGACGTTTTTTACCAGAAAAAATGATTTAATCGAAAAATCACAAGAAACCTTTTTTTTTGCTTTTTTGATTTACTTTTTAACAATATAACCGCCAACATTTTGAGCCACTTATGAGATTTTAAGGAATTTTAGTTTTGGGGGTTTTTTTTTTATTATATTCGGTTATAAATACACGTAGATATTTGAAACTTAGTAATAATACTTATATTGGGCTTTCCTAGACTCATAGTCAACTTTTTCAATGAGGTTATATTCAATTTTATAACACTCCTTGGTAATGATAGAGATAAAAATTGATAAAATCATACTATCATAATCACATATATATATTTATGTAATAAATTAGATTGCTAACTAGCTTACATAATCGTCTGTATGTTTCGTTGAAGTCAACAGCCGCCATTTAAATTGAGATCGGAGTGTCTAATCAGTATATACTCGTATACGAGCGTATATTTGTGTACGGTCTAGTTTTCAAAAATGTACATGCTATGATTGAAAAATACGATTAACTATATACTAGAATACTATATATTTAGAGATACTATTTACTCCCGTATACCTTTATACCTTCCAATACAAGAAATATTGAGTAAACATTTTTACTTTTAATGCTTTTGATTATTTTCCGTTTAATATTTATTAAAATTGTATCGCTATAAAAATATTTGTCTTAGCACCCCTTCCCTAGTTTGTGACATTGTTCATAGTTCCTGGAAATAGTCATTGCGTAAAATACATTAAAAAAAAAATAGATAATATACATATAGAATAAATACAAAAAATTCCGTTGATTCGTCGATGCAGTATCTCGGGGATCCAGTTGTTTGTAACGTGTGAAAATCCTCCAGAGAAAATCCGGAAATTCGTTTGAAAAAAAGTTTAAATAATTAAAAAAAAAAAAAAACAAGTGACATTTTCACGAACATGATAGGTGGGTAATACACGTGAGAATTTTATTTGGCAAAAAGTGTACAAACCAATAGGGCAAATACAATTTATAAATATGTTATATAAAATAAACGTTTAATGGAATTTAAGAGTTAAATTATTTTTTTACTATTTTTACAATATTAGTTACATATTATTTTTTTTTTTGATTTTAATATATTTTGAAATGTAATTATCTTGATAAATTATTATACTAGGTAGTAGACGTGAAAAGTTGAACACAGCATTAGTACACTAATGGAGTTTGATGTTTTTAATTATATTATGATCTTGCAGATTTCAAGAACACGTATATACGTAATAAATTCTGCTTCAATTTTATTTAATATAAGTTTTTCGACAATATCTAATGATAGAGATTAGACTCCTGTGGTTCTTATTCAAATATCAAAGAAAAACTCAATACGATTTTTCGAATGAAGTAGAATTATTATTATATTGGACTAATATAATAATGACATTTTTGGTGGTGAATTCTCTGAAAAATAATTTACTATAAAATATCCATATAAATTCTACACCCATGTCAGTCATCTTTTTTATTTTTGTTGGCTTGTATATTCATACCTATACACATTGCTATATTACATTTTTTTCATCTTTTCATTTCTTTATTTCGTTTTAGATTTAGAGCGTAGCGAGGGATCTATTGGTTTTACTATGATGAGTGTTTATTTGTCGGTCTTTGAACAGCTTTTCTAACAAAAATCTTTTTCCGATATATTAAGGATAGCACATTTTTTGAAAGGAAATTTTATTTGGTTAGTGCATTGGAAGGTCATTTTTTAATTTTTTTAAGGGGTTTTCATAATACATGGGGAAAAGTGGGTAAAAAATTATCGGAAGAATGACAAATAATGACAACACATCGCGAGTTAACCGATTTCAATGTTTTTAATTTTTGAAAACTATTTTTTCTAGTTGTTAACTGAAATATTGCTCTAATAGAAAAACAATAAGAGATCATAATTGTTTATTGATCTAGTTGGTGAGTAAGAAAGTCTTTTTTTGATTTTCCATGGATTTATTTTTAAATAATTGAGTAAAACCGTTGTTATAATTCAGTTAAATATATTTATAAAACCTTGAAATTTGGATAGAAAACTTATATTGGCTTTTCTATACATGGTCAAATTTTCAACATTTTTGAGTTAGTATTGGGCTATTTATAGATATTTTAATTTTGTGAAATTTTTATGTAATTTTTATTTGTTAGGTACACTGTGGATTAAATTGTTAAACAGAAATGCTTGACAATTCATCAGAAGGTTCTATTATTTTTTATGCTTTTAATCATTTAATACCAAGCGTAAGTAAATTTTTGTAATACAATTATTTTTAGTTCATTCATTTTAATTTAAATTTTCTTAAATAATTTTGTGAAATTGTTAACTACAAGCAATTTGCCCTGTTATTATATAACTGCTAATTTCATATTTCTTATGGGACTCAAAAATCGACTATTTCGTTGTATAAGTTTTGTAAATATGTATCTACGAATGAATTACAATAACTCAGATAGTAGAGTTTTAGGATCGTTATAGGCTGTATAAATTAAAAATTCTTAACTATTTGAAACAAAAATAAGTAATTTGAGAATTATGCGGTTAAATGGGACAGCGGCAAAATGAAATTACATTGGTAGCGAAATGAAACGGTGGCAAAACAGGAACTATTTTTAACTGTATTATTCTGTCATTCTGTGTTTACACGTTATGAAAGTTAATATTAACGTTTTGCAGTTACGAGCAGCTGTTCAATATAGGTATATTTCAAGAGCCATACACATAGTATATAGGTACAATATCTACTGGAATATATATTATTTTTTTCGTATACGTACGCATGTCAAATAATGGGTGCTTTGTGTATATAGAATAAGTGATTTATTTTTCTTGCATGATACATTATTATCATGAAAAGTACTTACCTATTAACTTATGTCAAGTTTTTCTTCTTAGGAAATTTAAATATTACAAACATTTAAAGAATAAATTGTACACTCGTGAAATTTCATTTCATTTTTTTTTTTTTTTGTGCTCTATACATAATTTTAATCTTCAAATAGTGTTACATATTTCTAACAATATTAGAAATTAATTCTGTCGTTCTTAAAAAAAAAAAATATCAAACATTATCCGTTAAAAATATCGAACTTAAAAGTGGTAGGTATTAATCTTGCAAATGACTGATAAATGAAAATTACTAAACATTTAAACACCAAACTTTATTTAAACTTTATTCACCAATATTTTCAAGTTGGTGTCTAGTAATTTTTCCATCACAAAATTAAAGAGGAACAATATTAGGAAAATATGGATTATATTTTAGAACTGCATTTAAAATCTTAAATTTAAAAAAAAAAAAGAAAAAATTCCTTAAATAATATACTTTCATGCAACATAATAATATATTTGTGAAAAACATCCCGATGAAAAGGAAGGTTTTTTTTCTGTAAACGGTCCTTAGAGAAAAAAATTACGTATTTACCTGGGCTTCCGGAATCTGGAAAATTCGGTGCAGACCGTATGCGCGGCTGAAGTGGCAGTGGCAGAAGCAGAGGCAGAGGCAGATGCCATGGAGTTGGCGCTCGCAGCGGCGGATGCTGTGGAGGTGGCATTGCCGTTATGAACCGGCGTCCCGGAAACAGATGCCGGACAACTTTCCCGTTTGCTGACGGGCCGGTGACGATGGTGTTTGGTAGACGATGGTGGTGAAGCGTATCGGACAAAATCGCCCAAGTTGCACACGCCACTGGCAGTGATCGAAAAACTTCGCAGGCGGTATTCCTCCAGCAAGGGGCCATCTGGCCTGGGCACGTTCCCGACATTTGGCTGAAACACGTAGTATGCAGCCAAGTTATGTACAACAATATTATAAAAAGAAAAAAACTTTTAGGCATTATTTCGACAGAATATTTATATTAGCTTTATCTAACATTGTCAAATTTTTAATTTTTGGCTATTTTTGAGTTATTTTTAGTTTTTTCTTTAGTAAATAAGTTATGTATATATATATGGACTAAGACATTTGAATAACCAGAAATGCTTGAAAGTATTCATTATAAATTGTATTTAGTTCTATTTGGTTGAGCATTATGTAGTACTTTATTTTTAAGATAACATTTTGATGATAATAATACATAATACGATATTTCAAATTTATCTTTGTGATTTATCAAGATTTCTGGTAGAAAAGTTTGCACAACAAATCGAAGATATTTTTCTATTATAATCGTCCGAGCGAGCGATAGTGAGGTTTTAATTATTTTTTTAATATTTTTAATATTTAAATTAATAAAATATTGTAATACAATTTTTCCACGAGGTCTACTATACTAGCGCAGCGAGCGGAAATTGTTTTAACTAAAATTAATCAAACCGTTTATAGTTTGAGTATTTATATTAATATTTCCTACATCTATGTTCAAAACTTTGTGAGGAATGGCCAAATTTATTCAATAGTTGTTAAAGTAGTACACATATAAATTACTTTATCTATAGGTAACTAAACATAAATAGATAGATAGATAAAAAATTATGATAGGCGAAATTTTGTTAAATAATTTTAATAATTACACACTTGATGAATCGATTTACGTATTATTTTAGGAATGATTTAAAAATATTATTTAAAGTTTGATATATCTACGATGAGAAACGTGGTGCAAATTTTTCAACCGAGATATGAACTCAGCCGTAGTTTACGCACGGTTATACCTGTACGTATAAACTCCTAAAAAAAATAACCCTTTCAAAATATTAGACGTATATAAACTATAGCAATAATTCGTCTAGTAAATTCCTACTAACAAAGATAATAATAATATTACCGTGGTTCGTGTATATACACGTGACAAGTAAATCGCTACGAAAATAATGTGATTTTTTTATACTAGTGTTTCGTTTGTTCGTTGACGATAATGATAATAATTTATAATAATAATATTAAACGTCAGTGGTTATCGTGAGCGTGTATTGTGGTCGTGGTTACAGACCGGAATTTTTATGATTTTATCGTGCAGTATGGGAGGTGAGGTCGTCTACAATTTTCATGAACATTCCGGTGTATAGTTTTTTTTTTTTTTTTAAGTGATGATTTCCACGTAAAATACAATTGCCCCTGCATTTATACTATACAATTTGCGATAAAATATCATATTTAGGCTTATTAATAAATATAGTAAATGAATATATAAATAAAAATGTATTTGTAGAAATAAAAAATTAATTAAATTAATGAATGCGTTGCATTTTACATTTTGATTGTGATGTACCTGATGATGAATTTTTAATTCGAAACTGGTCGTATAAAACACTTATCATAACCCTCCAGGCGACGCAATCATTCATTTATTTATTTTTTATTTCTATATATATATATTTACGAGTATTAATAATAATAATAACAATAATTTAATAATTTTTTTTTTACTTTATTATTTTATTATTTCTTATTAATAATTACATTTTTATATTATCATTTATAGATTTAAGTTTGAACTGATGAATCTCGAATAAAAATAAACGGATTACATATACGTAAAACTCATTTTTTTCTTATTTATATTCCAATTTAGTTATAAGTTGCAAGTTAAAACTAGAGATAAAATTTGTATATTTTTATAATGCTATTATTAAGATAGTCTCATGAGTTATGTTCTATTAATGCCAATTAAATAACTAATGTTGAGATGCGCATATTCGAATGCGTTGATCTGATGATGATTAACTTAAACGCTTCTTCCCTAAAATCAAAGATTTAGTTTGAGATAATCTCAGTGAAAACAATATAAATGCATACAAATCTGGTTAATAGACTTTTAATTTATAGATAAACATGTAGGACATGTACCTACGTTTTTCTAGTCATTAAAATAAGTAATTATCAGTCATAAACTACAAAAATAAGCGTTAGAGATTGTTGTATTTCCAATTTATGGAAATAACGTAGACGTAATCAAAATGTTCAAGAATTTTTTATTCTACGCCCTACTTTAATATGTTTATTAAATTTTATTTTATATTTTATTATCTTAAATTCGTAAGTTTTTATGAATATTTATATCCAAAATTCAACAAAAAAGATGTCTTATAATTTTTGCGTTAGAGAACTATTTCCGGTATAAAACGTTGTGCGTGTTTTATTTAAAATAATGAAATCGTAAAATCTTACGTTTTTTCATGGTTAAGTGCAATTATCTCAAATAAACATCACTGTAAAACCAATATACATTCCTCGATACACTCGGAATCTAAAATGTTAAGAGGTTTGTATAGGAGATTACATCGTCTATTTTTGGCAGGTAAAAAGGAAATATGTAGGAGTTAACACTGTTTTAAATACAGGTAGAAAGGTCATTTTTGTAGGAATTTACATGTAGCCAATATAAATTGGTGGACCCTCTTTATTGCAGGCGTTATGATGAATTGTTACAATTTTCATCTTTGATACTGCGTTATTATGTTCGTCGCTTTTTTATCTTCTTTATACAATCAATATTATTTTTGTTTTAGATAAAAGTACTGTGTAGTATTAAAAACTTAGCTGATGTGGTTGTTGATTGTCGCATTCATTGCGCATGCGTAAGGAATTGACTATTTGGGTATTTATAGTTATTCTTACAAAATTAATACCTAGACATAGGTTCTCTTTCTATCTTGTTTTGCGAGCAGTTATCGCCTAAGTAAAATCACCAAGGAGACAGTTGTCAAATCTTGACATATTTTTTAGTATTATGTATTCCAAAATGGAATTACTTTATAAATACTCATAGTCGTTATATTTTCAAGCCGACGAGAGGAATATAATCCCTATAACCTCTCTCCTGCGCACTTGAGGAACTGTCGAATCGATTGGCCATCTCGAATATGAGATTTTATTATAGATATTATTATTAATATTGTACACACAAAATATACAATTACGATGCATACAACCAGAAAGATTACTTGTATCGTCATCTCAAACCTCTTTAATTATTATATATGTTATTCTGTATCGAGTTATTTTGTTGAATTTTGGACAAAATGTCTACGCGTGCATCTAAGAAGTAAAATAATTCAGAAAGGAGTTGTCGTCGTATACCCGTATAATTTAATACTACAATATTGTATATAAAATGGGATAACGCTTGAAGAAGTTTTCCGAATCAACAATTGATCGGTTATCGTGTCAGTCGATAGGAGCGCGTTCTCTTAAGTAGTTATTTTCTTTCACTAAACTGAATATTATAATTTATACTCGTATTTTATTATATCTAGTCTCACAAAATAGTTTCAACATTAGAACAACAATAATAAATTACCGGTTGCAGCAATATAATAATTGAGATCACATTGAAAATCGTAGAAAAAATTGTTTAGCGTGATTGAAATCCTATAGATCCACTTATTATCCAATTGCCTATAATTTATAATCGTAATAATAAATTTGATTTAAATTTAAAAAAAAAAATGTATTAACAAATTTTAATTTAATTTCGTATCAATAAAAATGTACACATATTCAATTTAAAAATTCAAAAGTTGCATTTAGTTGATATGTTCCTCAAGTTCTAAGCTGACAATAATATTATTGAGTATCGTGCCTTATACATGAACGGATCTGTCGTCAAACCTGTTTGCAAATTTGGTTCTACACACCAGATTGCACCGTATATGGTAGTGTTTGTCAATACGTCGTTATGTTTGTGTGTCGGTACTGTTAATTTCCTAACGTGTGTGGCCACGTCATCAAATTAGACAAGCTTTATCATCTTGAAATTAAACGCTATGTTCTTCAGTTGGTTTCTTTGTTTCATTGGTATCCATTAAAAAACTATTTTTTAATGGTAAAATAAATTGTGTTTCAAAATTCCTGTTAATCCGCTGGACAAGCCTCTAAATTGGTTATTGAATTAGGTACTAGGAACAAACGGGTTATATTTTAGACAAATACATTGTAGCTCTTGATACAGATAAATAATTTTTTTTTGTGATTACAGAATAACGATGTATATTTTCACCTTAAGGAAACTTTTATTTATTTATTTATTTTACGTATTGAGGATTTGTTTAAAACATTTTATTTTTCATATAAAGTATATTGTACATTGTAAAATTTAAAATATTTTTAGACGACATTTTTTGATTCATTGAGAATAAAATTTCGTTTAGAAATAAAATTCCGTAGTTTAATATACCGCGTATCGTTAATCGTTTTAAACAAATCGTAAAAGAATTTAGTACACGTATATTAATATTACCATATTATCGCAATGTTATGACTTTATTCGACGGCAAAAAGCTGCTTGGTGTTTTTGTCTTTAGTAAAATATAATACGTCGGTCGTGGCGTGTATAACAAAATGAAAAACGGAAAAAAAATCGAAGTATTACCAACTCGACGGGGTTTTGAAAGCTCTATAATCAAAGACGCGGATTTGTATTATAATGTATTGAGCCAAATCTCACTCGACATAATTTGTTTAAAGTTCTCGAATCGATGACGCGAAAAAAATGTGTCAAGTTCGATGTATTATATTGCGTGTAGCCTGTTCGGCGTGGGTAATCGGGTTTAAGTCATTTCTTCAAACACTTTATACAATATATATATACCTACACTGACGTAATAAATACTCGTTAAGGGGATGCCACATCTACTACCCGCATTTAGTTTCTCTGTCTTACAAACATACGGTATAGTCAATTTGTGTTAAATAACACAAATGTTGTGCCGTTAGTTTTAATATTATATAGTGAACTGACCTATTACCTGACTTGAAAGTAAGAACGTTGTCTGTGCCATTACATCGGTGGTTTTTCGATATTTTAATTTTTGAAGCGAGAT